AGTCAATACATTAAGAAATCTGCATGATGAATGTATTTTGGACAAAGTGGTTTTGTGGCAATGCATTTTTTGTCTGCAATTTTAATATCAGATGTTTTAGACAGTGTGACCTTGTAAGAATGTTGATATCTGATGTTTAGACAGTGTGACCTTGTAGCAGTGTTGATATCTCATGTTTTAGACCATGTGACCTTGTAGCAGTGTGAGATATCTGATGTTTTAGACAGTGTGACCTTGTAACAATGTTGATATCTGATGTTTTAGACAGTGTGACCTTGTAGCAATGTCGATATCTGATTTTTAGACAGTATGACCTTGTAGCAGTGTTGATATCTGATGTTTTTGACAGTGTGACCTTGTAACAATGTTGATATCTGATGTTTTAGACAGTGTGACCTTGTAGCAGTGTTGATATCTGATGTTTTAGACAGTGTGACCTTGTAGCAATGTTGATATCTGATGTTTTAGACAGTGTGACCTTGTAGCAATGTTGATATCTGATGTTTAGACAGTGTGACCTTGTAACAATGTTGATATCTGATATCTTAAACCGTGTGACCTTGTAGCAGTGTTGATATATCATGTTTTAGACCATGTGACCTTGTAGCAGTGTTGATATCTGATGTTTTAGACAGTGTGACCTTGTAGCAATGTTGATATCTGATGTTTTAGACAGTGTGACCTTGTATCAATGTTGATATCTGATGTTTTAGACAGTGTGACCTTGTAGCAGTGTTGATATCTGATTTTTAGACCATGTGACCTTGTAGCAGTGTTGATATCTGATGTTTAGACAGTGTGACCTTGTAGCAATGTTGATATCTGATGTTTAGACAGTGTGACCTTGTAGCAATGTTGATATCTGATGTTTTAGACAGTGTGACCTTGTAGCAGTGTTGATATCTGATGTTTTAGACAGTGTGACCTTGTAGCAGTGTTGATATCTGATGTTTAGACAGTGTGACCTTGTAACAATGTTGATATCTGATGTTTTAGACAGTGTGACCTTGTAACAATGTTGATATCTGATGTTTTAGACAGTGTGACCTTGTAACAGACTGTGTGACCTTGTAACAATGTTGATATCTGATGTTTTAGACAGTGTGACCTTGTAACAGTGTGACCTTGTAACAGTGTTGATATCTGATGTTTTAGACAGTGTGATCTTGTGGCAATGTTGATATCTGATGTTTAGACAGTGTGACCTTGTAGCAATGCTGATATTTAATGTTTAGACTGTGTGACCTTGTAGCTATGTTGATATCTGATGTTTAGACTGTGTGACCTTGTAACAGTGTTGATATCTGATGTTTTAGACAGTGTGACCTTGTAACAGTGTTGATATCTGATGTTTAGACTGTGTGACCTTGTAACAATGTTGATATCTGATGTTTTAGACAGTGTGACCTTGTAGCAGTGTTGATATCTGATGTTTAGACAGTGTGACCTTGTAGCAGTGTTGATATCTGATGTTTTAGAGAGTGTGACCTTGTAGCAGTGTTGATATCTGATGTTTTAGACAATGTGACCTTGTAGCAGTGTTGATATCTGATGCTTTAGACAGTGTGACCTTGTAACAATGTTGATATCTGATGTTTTAGAGAGCGTGACCTTGTAGCAGTGTTGATATCTGATGTTTTAGAGAGTGTGACCTTGTAGCAGTGTTGATATTTGATGTTTTAGATAGTGTGACCTTGTAACAATGTTGATATCTGATGTTTAGACTGTGTGACCTTGTAACAATGTTGATATCTGATGTTTTAGACAGTGTGACCTTGTAGCAGTGTTGATATCTGATGTTTAGACAGTGTGACCAATGTTGATATCTGATGTTTTAGACAGTGTGACCTTGTAGCAGTGTTGATATCTGATGTTTAGACAGTGTGACCGTGTAGCAGTGTTGATATCTGATATCCTAGACCGTGTGACCTTGTAGCAGTGTTGATATCTCATGTTTTAGACCATGTGACCTTGTAGCAGTGTGAGATATCTGATGTTTTAGACCGTGTGACCTTGTAGCAGTGTTGATATCTCATGTTTTAGACCATGTGACCTTGTAGCAGTGTTGATATCTGATGATTTAGACAGTGTGACCTTGTATCAATGTTGATATCTGATGTTTTAGACAATGTGACCTTGTAGCAGTGTTGATATCTGATGTTTTAGACAGTGTGACCTGTAGCAGTGTTGATATCTGATGTTTAGACAGTGTGACCTTGTATCAATGTTGATATCTGATGATTTAGACAGTGTGACCTTGTATCAATGTTGATATCTGATGTTTTAGACAATGTGACCTTGTAGCAGTGTTGATATCTGATGTTTTAGACAGTATGACCTGTAGCAGTGTTGATATCTGATGTTTTAGACAGTGTGACCTTGTATCAATGTTGATATCTGATGTTTTAGACAATGTGACCTGTAGCAGTGTTGATATCTGATGTTTAGACAGTGTGACCTATTAGCAATCCTTATATCTGAGATATTTTAGACTGACAGAATGATCTGTTATATTGCAGCAATGCTGGTATATGTGATATTTCTATCTGAGAGCTGTTGTTTATGTCTGTATATGTGATATATCTGAGAGCTGTTGTTTATGTCTGTATATGTGATATTTCTGAGAGCTGTTGTTTATGTCTGTATATGTGATATATCTGAGAGCTGTTGTTTATGTCTGTATATGTGATATTTCTGAGAGCTGTTGTTTATGTCTGTATATGTGATATTTCTATCTGAGAGCTGTTGTTTATGTCTGTATATGTGATATATCTGAGAGCTGTTGTTTATGTCTGTATATGTGATATTTCTGAGAGCTGTTGTTTATGTCTGTATATGTGATATTTCTATCTGAGAGCTGTTGTTTATGTCTGTATATGTGATATATCTGAGAGCTGTTGTTTATGTCTGTATATGTGATATTTCTGAGAGCTGTTGTTTATGTCTGTATATGTGATATTTCTATCTGAGAGCTGTTGTTTATGTCTGTATATGTGATATATCTGAGAGCTGTTGTTTATGTCTGTATATGTGATATATCTGAGAGCTGTTGTTTATGTCTGTATATGTGATATATCTGAGAGCTGTTGTTTATGTCTGTATATGTGATGTTCTGAGAGCTGTTGTTTATGTCTGTATATGTGATATATCTGAGAGCTGTTGTTTATGTCTGTATATGTGATCTTTCTGAGAGCTGTTATTTATGTCTGTATATGTGACATTTCTATCTGAGAGCTGTTGTTTATGTCTGTATATGTGATATATCTGAGAGCTGTTGTTTATGTCTGTATATGTGATCTTTCTGAGAACTGTTATTTATGTCTGTATATGTGACATTTCTATCTGAGAGCTGTTGTTTATGTCTGTATATGTGACATTTCTATCTGAGAGCTGTTGTTTATGTCTATATATGTGACATTTCTATCTGAGAGCTGTTGTTTATGTCTGTATATGTGATATATCTGAGAGCTGTTGTTTATGTCTGTATATGTGATATTTCTATCTGAGAGCTGTTGTTTATGTCTGTATATGTGATATTTCTATCTGAGAGCTGTTGTTTATGTCTGTATATGTGATATTTCTGAGAGCTGTTGTTTATGTCTGTATATGTGATATATCTGAGAGCTGTTATTTATGTCTGTATATGTGACATTTCTATCTGAGAGCTGTTGTTTATGTCTATATATGTGACATTTCTATCTGAGAGCTGTTGTTTATGTCTGTATATGTGATATATCTGAGAGCTGTTGTTTATGTCTGTATATGTGATATTTCTATCTGAGAGCTGTTGTTTATGTCTGTATATGTGATATTTCTATCTGAGAGCTGTTGTTTATGTCTGTATATGTGATATTTCTATCTGAGAGCTGTTGTTTATGTCTGTATATGTGATATTTCTGAGAGCTGTTGTTTATGTCTGTATATGTGATATATCTGAGAGCTGTTGTTTATGTCTGTATATGTGATATTTCTATCTGAGAGCTGTTGTTTATGTCTGTATATGTGATATATCTGAGAGCTGTTGTTTATGTCTGTATATGTGATATTTCTGAGAGCTGTTATTTATGTCTGTATATGTGATATTTCTATCTGAGAGCTGTTGTTTATGTCTGTATATGTGATATTTCTGAGAGCTGTTGTTTATGTCTGTATATGTGATATTTCTATCTGAGAGCTGTTGTTTATGTCTGTATATGTGATATTTCTGAGAGCTGTTGTTTATGTCTGTATATGTGATATTTCTATCTGAGAGCTGTTGTTTATGTCTGTATATGTGATATTTCTATCTGAGAGCTGTTGTTTATGTCTGTATATGTGATATTTCTATCTGAGAGCTGTTGTTTATGTCTGTATATGTGATATATCTGAGAGCTGTTGTTTATGTCTGTATATGTGATGTTCTGAGAGCTGTTGTTTATGTCTGTATATGTGATATTCTGAGAGCTGTTGTTTATGTCTGTATATGTGATGTTCTGAGAGCTGTTGTTTATGTCTGTATATGTGATATTTCTATCTGAGAGCTGTTGTTTATGTCTGTATATGTGATATATCTGAGAGCTGTTGTTTATGTCTGTATATGTGATATTTCTGAGAGCTGTTGTTTATGTCTGTATATGTGACATTTCTATCTGAGAGCTGTTGTTTATGTCTGTGGTGTTTGAGTGGAACTGCCCTATCAATTTAAGCACACTTCTGCCTGTTGTTTTCTGGCCTGAAGCTGATTCTTCCTTTTATATTTGAATGCTTCAAGTACCGTAAATTTGCGGGTATAATGCGCACTCGGGTAATCAATATTCATGTTTAGGGGAACTTTATTTATAGAACTAATTATATTCTTAGGTAAGTGGCTGATATTGTATTCTGATAAAGTTGTTCTTTTGACCAAACAAGTACATTGTATAGTAAGATGACTAAAACAATCAATTTCGAGGCAAATTTATGTTATTTTAGGTCTGTCCAAAAATGTGTCAGGAAGTGCTTTCACCTTGCCAACATCTACCATGGAGCCTGGAATTGTGTCAGAACCTATAACTACAGGTGAGGAAGGCAGCACTCTGGCACAAACCTCCATACCTGGCTTTCTGCTGGCGTTGACTGACAACTCGACAGACAACGATAATTCATCATTCAGCTCCTTGCTGATGCACGTCCTTGGTAACCAACTCATGGGAGTTTTCAATAACTTGACCAGTCCTGAGGAAGCCAACAGCTCTGGTTAGTTGTACTACTGCTAGAAATTAGACTTAAACAGTCACAAAATGAATATTATTTTTGAAAAATATTGTCCATGGCAAAATGATGATCTGTTTGATGTTGTCGTTGGTACACAGAAGTTGGGCTACATCTGTGATAATATCTAGTCTAAATGTCATGTTTCAGTTGATGACTTGACAGGTTTTATACAAGACTTGTCATATGTCCTCCAGAACACCAAGCCTAAAGACAACACCACTACCGGTTCAGCTGTAGCAACCAAACGGGCCTCAGTCATCCCCATGACAATCACCCCTACAACAGCCATTTCCTCAACAGTATCCTTTTCAGGAACCACTGATGCCAACTTCTCGACCAATATGTATGATCTACACAGTCTCACGGATGTAAGGATAAAAACTTAAACCCTCTGTGATGACCAAGTTACAAAGCTTATTGGTTTAATTTAGGGTCATTTAAAACACACAGAAATGTGTTTTGTGTTTTAGTATGAATCCTGACAAGCTGATCAGACAAAAGTTGGAATCATCTATCTAAAAATACTACTGAGCAATAAATACTTATGTGTCTTCACATTTTGTCTCATCTGATCGTCGCATCTTGCTTTCATTTGCATTTTTGGTCAATGGGAAATAAAATATTTAAATTATACACTACCAGTGTCAGCAGTTGTGGTGTAAACAGAATTAAAAGGACTATCAGTGTAAATATAGAAGTATGGGGACGATCAGTGTAAATATAGAGGTATGGGGATGATCAGTGTAAATATTGTAAATATAGAGGTATGGGGATGATCAGTGTAAATATAGAGGTATGGGGACGATCAGTGTAAATATAGAGGTATGGGGATGATCAGTGTAAATATTGTAAATATAGAGGTATGGGGATGATCAGTGTAAATATAGAGGTATGGGGATGATCAGTGTAAATATAGAGGTATGGGGACGATCAGTGTAAATATAGAGATATGGGGACAATCAGTGTAAATATAGAGGTATGGGGACGATCAGTGTAAATATAGAGGTATGGGGACAATCAGTGTAAATATAGAGGTATGGGGACGATCAGTGTAATTATAGAGGTATGGGGACGATCAGTGTAAATATAGACGGGGATGATCAGTGTAAATATAGAGGTATGGGGACGATCAGTGTAAATATAGAGGTATGGGGACGATCAGTGTAAATATAGAGGTATGGGGACCATCAGTGTAAATATAGTGGTATGGGGACGGTCGGTGTAAATATAGAGGTATGGGGACGATCAGTGTAAATATAGAGGTATGGGGACGATCGGTGTAAATATAGAGGTATGGGGACGATCGGTGTAAATATAGAGGTATGGGGACGATCGGTGTAAATATAGAGGTATGGGGACGATCAGTGTAAATATAGAGGAATGGGGACGGTCGGTGTAAATATAGAGGTATGGGGACGATCAGTGTAAATATAGAGGTATGGGGACAATCGGTGTAAATATAGAGGTATGGGGATGATCAGTGTAAATATAGAGGTATGGGGACGATCGGTGTAAATATAGAGGTATGGGGACGATCAGTGTAAATATAGAGGTATGGGGACGGTCGGTGTAAATATAGAGGTATGGGGACAATCAGTGTAAATATAGAGGTATGGGGACCATCAGTGTAAATATAGAGGTATGGGGAAGGTCGGTGTAAATATAGAGGTATGGGGATGATCAGTGTAAATATAGAGGTATGGGGACGATCAGTGTAAATATAGAGGTATGGGGACGATCAGTGTAAATATAGAGGTATGGGGACGATCAGTGTAAATATAGAGGTATGGGGACGATCAGTGTAAATATAGAGGTATGGGGACAATCAGTGTAAATATAGAGGTATGGGGACCATCAGTGTAAATATAGAGGTATGGGGATGATCGGTGTAAATATAGAGGTATGGGGACCATCAGTGTAAATATAGAGGTATGGGGATGATCGGTGTAAATATAGAGGTATGGGGACGATCAGTGTAAATATAGACAGGGATGATCGGTGTAAATATAGAGGTATGGGGACGATCAGTGTAAATATAGAGGTATGGGGACGATCAGTGTAAATATAGAGGTATGGGGACGATCAGTGTAAATATAGAGGTATGGGGACGATCGGTGTAAATATAGAGGTATGGGGACGATCGGTGTAAATATAGAGGTATGGGGACCATCAGTGTAAATATAGAGGTATGGGGATGATCAGTGTAAATATAGAGGTATGGGGATCACTGAGGAATATGGAGACTTCTGTAGAACAGATCATGGAGACTACTGTAGATGTTGTGATGGAACCTTTCTCACAACAAACATTCAAGACATCAACAATCTTGGTTTGTTTGATTTCAGGTTATATCTATCCTTCACACAACAAAAGTTTCGGACATGAGCCTGAGTCACTTAAATATCATTACATCTCGTATCGAGACAATTTTGCACACTCAGCCGTTTGATGTACTCAACATGTCTCATGTGCTGACCTATCTCAATTCCGCGACCCAAACCAATGCTGATACAGTGCAGGTTCGTCTGTATTCTTATATCTTTAACCTTACAATAAAGAAATTGTTACAGGTATGTTTATGTAATGAACATTTATATATGTCCATACAAAATAACTGCAGTATAAACAACATATTGAAACATTCATATTTTAGCACATTAAATACTTCCAGTGCAATGAGCACTAAACTAAAATTACAACTGAAATAAATATGTGTTGATAGTAAGTTACAATAAACAATTTTCTGTTGTGTTCTGTAGAAAAGTTCTCTCATGCATAATACAACATTACATGACTGTCCTGTACATGTGATTTATTGATTTTATGGTACACTCTCTGAAAGAATGATACTAAAGTGTCACCAGCTATGTTTCTGATTTTTTTATTTGACATACTTTCCAACTTTTCAAATTCTCATTGGGGAGAAAACAGAATTTTGTGATGCTTTGGTGTAAATGTATGGTAAACAGATTGCTTATTTAGGTGTGTACTGTTAGGTAAAAATTGTCAAAAACCTGGTGATTTAAAGCCTTCTGTTGTTAGATTGTTAGCTTGAATGATTTTTGTAGATGTTGACCTCCATTGTGTCAAAGATGATAGCGAACGATCCCACAGAAGAGGATGAGGACATATTTGGGGTATGGAATTAGTGGTGTTGGTATTGGATGGAAACCAGTTTTCATGTCATGAAATATTTCCATAATCAAGTATTTCTGTAATCTAGTATTTCTGTAATCTAGTATTTCTGTAATCTAGTATTTCTATAATCAAGTATTTCTGTAATCTAGTATTTCTATAATCAAGTATTTCTATAATCAAGTATTTCTATAATATTTCTATAATCAAGTATTTCTATAATATTTCTATAATATTTCTATAATCAAGTATTTCTATAATATTTCTATAATCAAGTATTTCTATAATATTTCTATAATCAAGTATTTCTATAATATTTCTATAATCAAGTATTTCTATAACATTTCTATAATCAAGTATTTCTATAATATTTCTATAATCAAGTATTTCTATAATGTATTTCTATAATATTTCTATAATCAAGTATTTCTATAATCAAGTATTTCTATAATATTTCTTTAATCAAGTATTTCTATAATATTTCTATAATCAAGTATTTCTATAATATTTCTATAATCAAGTATTTCTATAATCAAGTATTTCTATAATCAAGTATTTCTATAATATTTCTATAATCAAGTATTTCTATAATATTTCTATAATCAAGTATTTCTATAATATTTCTATAATCAAGTATTTCTATAATCAAGTATTTCTATAATATTTCTATAATCAGGTATTTCTGTAATCAAGTATTTCTATAATATTTCTGTAATCTAGTATTTCTATAATCAAGTATTTCTATAATCTAGTATTTCTATAATCAAGTATTTCTATAATCAAGTATTTCTATAATATTTCTATAATCAGGTATTTCTGTAATCAAGTATTTCTATAATATTTCTGTAATCTAGTATTTCTATAATCAAGTATTTCTATAATCTAGTATTTCTATAATCAAGTATTTCTATAATATTTCTATAATCAAGTATTTCTATAATATTTCTATAATCAAGTATTTCTATAATCAAGTATTTCTATAATATTTCTATAATCAAGTATTTATATAATCAAGTATTTCTATAATATTTCTATAATCAAGTATCTATAATCAAGTATTTCTATAATATTTCTATAATCAAGTATTTCTATAATATTTCTATAATCAAGTATTTCTATAATATTTCTATAATATTTCTATAATCAAATATTTCTATAATCAAGTATTTCTATAATATTTCTCTAATCAAGTATTTCTATAATATTTCTATAATCAAGTATTTCTATAATCAAGTATTTCTATAATATTTCTATAATCAAGTATTTCTATAATAATTCTATAATCAAGTATTTCTATAATATTTCTGTAATCAAGTATTTATATAATCAAGTATTTCTATAATATTTCTATAATCAAGTATTTCTATAATATTTCTATAATCAAGTATTTCTATAATATTTCTATAATCAAGTATTTCTATCAAGTATTTCTATAATATTTCTATAATCAAGTATTTCTATAATATTTCTATAATCAAGTATTTCTATAATATTTCTATAATCAAGTATTTCTATAATCAAGTATTTCTATAATATTTCTATAATCAAGTATTTCTATAATATTTCTATAATCAAGTATTTCTATAATATTTCTATAATCAAGTATTTCTATAATATTTCTATAATCAAGTATTTCTATAATATTTCTATAATCAAGTATTTCTATAATATTTCTATAATCAAGTATTTCTATAATCAAGTATTTCTATAATATTTCTATAATCAAGTATTTCTATAATCAAGTATTTCTATAATATTTCTATAATCAAGTATTTCTATAATCAAGTATTTCTATAATATTTCTATAATCAAGTATTTCTATAATCAAGTATTTCTATAATATTTCTATAATCAAGTATTTCTATAATATTTCTATAATCAAGTATTTCTATAATCAAGTATTTCTATAATATTTCTATAATCAAGTATTTCTATAATCAAGTATTTCTATAATATTTCTATAATCAAGTATTTCTATAATCAAGTATTTCTATAATATTTCTATAATCAAGTATTTCTATAATCAAGTATTTCTATAATCAAGTATTTCTATAATATTTCTATAATCAAGTATTTCTATAATCAAGTATTTCTATAATATTTCTATAATCAAGTATTTCTATAATCAAGTATTTCTATAATATTTCTATAATCAAGTATTTCTATAAATATTTCTATAATCAAGTATTTCTATAATCAAGTATTTCTATAATCAAGTATTTCTATAATCAAGTATTTCTATAATATTTCTATAATCAAGTATTTCTATAATCAAGTATTTCTATAATATTTCTATAATCAAGTATTTATATAATCAAGTATTTCTATAATAATTTCTATAATCAAGTATTTCTATAATATTTCTATAATCAAGTATTTCTATAATATTTCTATAATCAAGTATTTCTATAATATTAGTATTTCTATAATCAAGTATTTCTATCTATAATCAAGTATTTCTATAATATTTCTATAATCAAGTATTTCTATAATATTTCTATAATCAAGTATTTCTATAATCAAGTATTTCTATAATATTTCTATAATCAAGTATTTCTATAATAATTCTATAATCAAGTATTTCTATAATATTTCTGTAATCAAGTATTTATATAATCAAGTATTTCTATAATATTTCTATAATCAAGTATTTCTATAATATTTCTATAATCAAGTATTTCTATAATATTTCTATAATCAAGTATTTCTATCAAGTATTTCTATAATATTTCTATAATCAAGTATTTCTATAATATTTCTATAATCAAGTATTTCTATAATATTTCTATAATCAAGTATTTCTATAATCAAGTATTTCTATAATATTTCTATAATCAAGTATTTCTATAATATTTCTATAATCAAGTATTTCTATAATCAAGTATTTCTATAATATTTCTATAATCAAGTATTTCTATAATATTTCTATAATCAAGTATTTCTATAATATTTCTATAATCAAGTATTTCTATAATATTTCTATAATCAAGTATTTCTATAATCAAGTATTTCTATAATATTTCTATAATCAAGTATTTCTATAATCAAGTATTTCTATAATATTTCTATAATCAAGTATTTCTATAATATTTCTATAATCAAGTATTTCTATAATATTTCTATAATCAAGTATTTCTATAATATTTCTATAATCAAGTATTTCTATAAATTTTCATGAATTACAAGAAAGATAGTATACATTTATTGATTAAAGTCATGAATCAGTCCAACATTAGAAACTAGTACAGGTTGTTACAAATGGAGAAGGATGCTGTACTTAAGAAGAATCTACTTCATCATATGAACCCGCGTGTGAACACTGTTAGCTGTTTTAAGAAATGTATGTGTAGGGTATACTTTCTTAAATACCGTATAAAGCTCCTGGAATTTAAACTCCTCTATATGATTTGAAGAGCTTACGTGAAGTGTGGTATAAATTGACCTAAGTCTCCTATAAAGCTTGTGAGAGTTTGTTTTATTTCCGTGTGTTTACAGACAATGATGCCGGACTTGATGCTTACCATGGAGAGTGTTCTATCAGCATCACATCCATCAGATGTTGTCAGTTTCACAACACCTGAAATAGGTAACTCTACAGTTTTAAATTTGTAAAAGAGTTACCAGCTTTTTGTTGTTGAAATTGGAAATGAGGCATAGTCAATAAAAAATGATCACCAGAGTTTATAACATTATAAACCTTCATCCTTAAATACCTGATGGTTTAAAAATGTGGTATACTAGAATCATAATCACTGATGTACATAGACATATTTGCCTCCTGTTGTAGAGGTTTCGTCGGCAGTGATTCAGTCAAACGAAAGGATCGACGGTTATGTAGTGATGGAGACCATTGTTGGGCAAGTCACCATGCCAGTCATCCTGGTTGAAGATGGACAAAGTAAGAACAGGGTTTGGATGACCCAACAGAACCTGTTCGTAACAGCTGTAGTCAAGAGTAGAATTATTGTCTGGAAATCGGGGTTCAGTAGTTGCTTCTCTTTTTTCATTTTATGTACAACACCAAACCAGGCAGCATACTGCCTTGACATGTACAATACAACATAAGGCAGCATACTGCCTTAACATGTACAATACAAAGTAAGGTAGCATACTGCCTTAACATGTACAATACAAAGTAAGGTAGCATACTGCCTTAACATGTACAATACCAAGTAAGGTAGCATACTGCATTCACATGTACAATTCAAAGTAAGGTAGCATACTACCTTAACATGTATAATACAAAGTAAGGTAGCATACTGCCTTAACATGTGCAATACAACAAAAGGTAGCATACTGCCTTAACATGTACAATAAAAAGTAAGGTAGCATACCGCTTTAACATGTACAATACAACATAAGGTAACATACTGCCTTAACATGTACAATGCAAAGTAAGGTAGCATACTGCCTTATTATGTACAATAAAAAGTAAGGTAGCATACTGCCTTAACATGTCCAATACAAAGTAAGGTAGCATACTGCCTTAACATGTGCAATATAAAGTGAGGTAGCATACCGCTTTAACATGTACAATACAACATACGGTAGCATACTGCCTTAACATGTACAATAAAAAGTAAGGTAGCATACTGCCTTAGTGTGTAAAATTCAAAGTAAGGTAGCATACTGCCTTAACATGTACAATTCAAAGTAAGGTAGCATACTGCCTTAACATGTACATTAAAAAGTAAGGTAGCATACTGCTTTAACATGTACAATACAACATAAGGTAGCATACTGCCTTAACATGTACAAAACAAAGTAAGGTAGCATACTGCCTTAACATGTACAATACAAAGTAAGGAAGCATACTGCCTTAACATGTTTTGTGTTGTACATGTTTATACAGAATGCTTCCTGACTTTTCGTTGTGTGAACAACATGTAGGAATGCAGCATATTTAACCAAAGTATCTTTTCTGTGTTCACACAGTCCGGATGACCACCATTGTGTATCGGAACATCCAAAAACGTTGGACCATCCAACAGAGTTATAGCCACGCCCAGATTGGAAGTAATGTCATGTGTGTCTCGCTTCAGCGACTCCATAATACAACATCAGAAAAACTCAACATCAGCCAACCAAAGTTAATCACCATGGTACTGCCTACCAAAGTCAATGGAGTAAGTGTTGTACAGAACATTTAGTCATTATAATATCAGCATATATTATAACGTTACAGAGATTGTGTGAACAACATGTAGGAATGCAGCAATATTTAACCAAAGTATCTTTTCTGTGTTCACACAGTCCAGTGTGACCACCATTGTGTATCGGAACATCAAAAGGTATCTGACCATCCAACAGAGTTTAGCCAGCCATTTTTAGAGAGAAATTGGAGATGTCATGTGTTCTCGAATTTCAAAGGGTAAGCTTGTACTAGCGACTCCATAATACAACATCAGAAAAACTCAATATTAGCCAACCAAAGTTAATCACCATGGTACTGCCTACCAAAGTCAATGGAGTAAGTGTTGTACAGAACATTTAGTCATTATAATATCAGCATATATTATAACGTTACAGAGATCTGCTAGGATTTGAACCCATGACCTCTGGCTTACAGGAAAGATGATACAGGAAAGATCTACTATACAGGAAAGATGATTGAAACTATACAGAAAGATGATACAGGAAAGATGATATCTACTATACAGGAAAGATGATACAGGAAAGATGATATCTACTATACAGGAAAGATGATACAGGAAAGATGATATCTACTATACAGGAAAGATGATATTTACTATACAGGAAAGATGATATCTACTATACAGGAAAGATGATATTTACTACACAGGAAAGATGATTATCACTATTCTGGAATTTCAACAAAGGGTAAGCTTGTATTTTGGAATTTGTACAGAAAAGATGATATCTACTATACAGGAAAGATGATATCTACTATACAGGAAAGATGATATCTACTATACAGGAAAGATGATATCTACTATACAGGAAAGATGATATCTACTATACAGGAAAGATTGACAATACTTATGTTTCTTTATCATCCCACTGATTGAGTGAGTGTAAACTTTTTATCTTGTGCCCATGGAAATTTGAGAAGGATCATCGTTCCATCCAAACGTCTGTACCTCTGTCAAAGACACATTTTAAAAACGATTCAAGAGAACGGCTCAATATTTACATATTCAATTCTTCCTTATCATTAAAGTATTCACGTGTGGAAGTCATGTCAGAGTTAGCATAACCTCTATAATGGTCAGCAGAAATGAATTGTAAAGAAAATGTGAGAGAGAAAGTCATGTTCTCGCACCTCAGACAGGGATATCCCATGTAATACCCCATCCCATCTGGCTAGTACCCTTACATGTGTTTTCGTGGCTTTTTTTATGCATTGGTATATTCATCTGGGTGTAGGCGTAGGTGGCACCTACACCCGCGCATTAACATAGGTTAAGTTGTGATCTCAGGCTAAGATCCTGTAACATCCTAACCTCGCCTAATGCCTCAATTGGGATTATGTTATAGGCTCTTAGCCCTCAGCTGAGATACTCTGATCTCACTCAGTTACAGGTAACATATTTTATTAATCCGTCTTTATTTCCAAACATTTGATAATTAATTCTGAATTATCCAATATCTATACATGACAATGAAGTTTGAGATCTGTATGGAGAGAAACGTTTCTCTTGTTCTGTGTAGTTATTTCTCATGATTTTGAACTTTGACACTAACCAAGACATTTCAATGATAAGCCTAAGTCGTTCCTGAGAGATAATAAAGAATATAAAGTTAGCTCTACATATAATTCTACATATCTAACATAGGTAGAAAAACATGGCACAGATTTCTGTGATATTTCTGATGCAAATGATAGTGAAGTAAAGGAAAATATGTATTTTCAAATTTCTCTTGTTCCTCCTGTTATCTGTTGAGTAGAGAAAATGTGGAGGAGGAGGAAATGTAGACTTGTATAGAAACATAGAAGATGATTCCATGTGCCAAAATCATAGACATACAAAAACATATTCAAAATTTTAACTGATGCCTAGATTAAACATTTTGATGAGTTTAATTCATCAGTGATACAGGATACTCTTACATATGTACAGGTGTTTGGCAGGGTACATGTATTTATAAAGTCCCATGTTTCCTGTTTAAGCTGTTGATGGATTACTGAAATAATGTCGGGAATTATGGTCAAACAGTCCTACAGCCATGAAAATAATCACCACACACTACTTTTACTGAAGAATGACTGGCAAACAATTTTTTACAATATACTACATTTTTTTCACAGTGAAAAGGTAAGGGGTCACCTGCCCGACCACGTGGGTTTTTCCCAGGTACACCGGTTTCCTCCCACAATAAGACCCCTCGCGCGCTTACATCCGGGCCAACGAGAGTGATTAGTATAAGTTAACATAAGTTGTTTCGCAATTGTTGTAAAATAAATAAAGTTTACATATACCTTTTACTCCAGAATCTGGGACACAGCAGGTGGCCGTCTGCTGACAAAGAATATGAGTCATACAGAGTGTCAATTTGATCATCTCACCAACTTTGCTGTTCTTGTCCTCTACTACGACCAAACACCCAATGTGAGTCAATCTACCTTGCTCTCTACTTTGATGAACCGCTCATTGTGAGTCAATCTACCTTGCTCTCTACTATGATGAATCACTCACTGTGAGTCAATCTACCTGGCTCTCTACTATGATGAACCACTCACTGCGAGTCAATCTACCTTGCTCTCTACTATGATGAACCACTCATTGTGAGTCAAAATATGACTAGTCACTTGATGTGAGTTAATTTATCTAGTTCTTAATTATGACCAAACACCCGCTATGAGTCAATGAGTCAATTCACCTAGTTTTTTTTAGTAGCACCAATGACTCACTGTGAATCAAATTTCCTTTTTCCCCAACTATTTATATCTATGTTTACACCAAATGATGTGCTCCATGCTTGAACTCTTTTCATGTTTTGTATTGTGTATAATATAACCCATCGTATCTCTTTATTAATATTTAACTCAAGTATTTATTCTGAGGAAACACTTTATTCAATGTTGACCTATTTTCCTTGTTTCATGTAATTTCAGATGTCTAAGCATCAGAAACAGGCCATGTTTATTCTGACAGTGGTCAGCTGTAGTGTGTCCATCACCTGTTTAGGTGTGTGTATTATACTGTACTTATATCTACGGTATGTATAATACTAGTTATATATCCTTTATATCCAAAATGTGTGTTTTAGTGTGAGAGATATTGCAATGTGTTTATACAAGTTTTAAAAGTTTTGTGTCTGTTTTGTAGCCTTCTTTCTGATGAGAAGATCCTTATACATACCAACTTGTGTGTCGCTTTGATGTTGGCGCAGCTTGTTCTTGTGACATCAGACGGGGCGGAGAAAGTCTCGGTACGTCATAGATCACCGATATATACTGACGTTGTCACATCATGTTCTTGTTCCAGATGGGGTGGAGAGTTAAGGTATTTCGTACATCACTGATTTATGCATTGGCCAAGTTTGTCCTTGTGACATCAGATGGATAGGTCATATATCACGGATTTACAGCTGAATGACAGTGGTCAGTACAATTATATGACCTACCTACTAAATATTATTTTGCCAAATTTTGTCATTTTGTTGTTTTTTTGGGGTTAGGTGGCAAAAAGTTATGAAAAGGAAAAATATTTTTTCTTATTCATTTTTTTGCATTTCTTACATTTTTTTTTCTTTTGTATTTTTTTTGAAAGATCGCTATACTGGTTTGATTATGTCAAGATAGGTTGGATGACGATAATTCCTATCATTGTTTGTAACTGTGAGTAATTTTGTCTGTGTTATCTTGACACCAATGTTCTGGTTTGTTCTGGCAGGCTGCGTGTAAGTTAGTGGCGGTGTTACTTCACTTCCTGTTCATGGCTTCTTTTTCCTGGATGATGTTGGAAGGTCTGTCTGTGTATTTAGCCTGTACACGAGGATTGTACAACTACGGTGACATGCGCTTGAAGTTCTTCCTAGTTGGCTGGGGACTTCCAGCAGTCATTGTTGTTGTATCAGTTGGTGTGCAATTTCCGAACTATGGGGAGACAACTGATGACAGGTAGGCTGCATGGATTTATACACCACAACAAATTTGGCAGAGTCTCAATCTGTCTGAGGATATTGTACTGTTTAGCTGACCGGACACTTTCATCCAGAATAGTTTCATTACATTTATCCTTGCCTATTATCAATACGAAAATGTATCTGAAGAATGACTACAATATTGTCTACTTTCTCCAAACTTACTATATCTATAAATCTGTTGAATGCTGCATTCTACAACAAATAAAGCCAGAAAAGGGCATCCCTATATCTTCTGAAGTGTTTAAAGGTAGAAGAGTTCTATTTCAAACTTCTTTATCGGGTGTATATGTTTATCATCTGCTGTTGCAGCTGCTGGCTGTCTGTGAAGGATGGTTTGATATGGGCGTTCCTGGGGCCAATGCTGGTCATAATTGTGGTAAGATAAAACTAGTAATTAATAAGAAATTGAAGTGTTATTTATGAAAAATATTTTGAAATATAAAATTTTTATCCTATGGACCTTAAACTTTTCAGTAAGTAGTGTGAACTGGCCCTTGATTGGCATTGTTTGTATAAATAGAGGGGTGGAGAGACTTGTACTTGTTAAATACAGTCCCTCTCACACATCTGACCGACCATAATCCTTTGACTCCGTTGGTAAGATTAAGGTTCATTTTTTTTGTCTGGACACACAGCTGAAAAATGTTTTTACCTGTTTTTTTCACATTTGCCTATCCACCTGCAACAAAGTAGAACAGGAGTTGATGACGGAAGTTTCACTGCTTATCAGATATAATACTAATATATATGTTACTGTTGCCATGCTTTTCAGTTCAATTTGTTCATACTGTGTTTGGTGATCAAAGTGTTCCTGACCTTAAGGGCTAATTCAAGAAAGACTCAAGCAGAAAAATTGCGGTATGTAGGCATGAAAATTGGTTGAACCTTGATGATGTTGCTGTTACACTCTGTGGTGATATTTATCTGAAAATTGTCAATGATGACACCTTTCCACCTACACAGGCCACTCATGGATAATTCTTTTTTGAAAGAAATCCTGTCAAAGTTAATTGCGTAATAAGACAGAATTTTTAGTTGAGGGACCAAGTGAATTTCTAAGTTCTGTTGACAGGCCCAGTGTAAGGGTGACTTTGCTGCACCTCTTTATAGCTACCGGGGTACAGAGATTTTGCCCCTGTCTTCAGGGTTTGATGAACGGAGTAATTTTCAATATCTTTTTCACAGGGCCAGTGTTAGAGCTATGGTTACATTGCTGCCCCTCCTCGGAGTTACGTGGGTTCTCAGCATTCTGGTCCCCCTCCACTATGTATTTCATTACCTATTTACCATCGGTAACTCCATGCAGGTAATTGTGTACCACCACATCTAACTCCATGATTGCCAGTTACAATTCTAGTTTACAATTGATATTGGAACAAACATAGAATGAAATACTGTGATGACTCTGTGTTTGTAAATGGATGACATTTAGTACAGGGAAAGTGATAGCAAAGAGACACTTTTATAGAAATTACTGTTGTTTTATAGTAATTATTAGTTTAATAGTAATTACTACTGTTTTATAGTAATTACTACAGTTTTATAGTAATTACTACAGTTGTATAGAAATTACTAGTTTAATAGTAATTACTGTTTTATAGTAATTATTACTGATTTGTAGTAATTACTGTTGTTTTATAGTAATTATTACTGTTTTATAGTAATTACTATTGTTTTATATTAATTATTACTACACTGATTTATAGTAATAGTAATTACTGTTGTTTTATAGAAATTACTGTTGTATAGTAATTACTATTGTTTTATAGTAATTACTATTGTTTTGTTTTATAGTAATTACTATTGTTTTATAGAAATTATTATTTTTTTTTATAGAAATTACTACTGTATTGTAATAATTACTAGTATTTTATGCTTTTCATAACTATTTTGTTCACTCCGTTATGTGTCAAATTACTATTTAATGTATACACGTAGAGTAAGAAATATCAGTAATCATTATTATTTTTTAAAATGTTCACAAAACTATTTCTCATGTTCAAAATGACTAAATTGCATTCTGAAATGTTGGCAGGTCTATATATACAGGTACATCAGTAAACATTTATATAAAATGTTTTCTCTCCACAGGGGATAATGATCTTCCTGCTACATGGGATAGGAAATGAGGAGGTTGGTATGACTTCCTCTGAAGGTCACAAATCTGTCCTATATTCACAATCTCTTCCTGATCATCTGTCCATCTAACTGACCGTCTGTATAACAGTCTAGCCATCCGTCCATCTGACTGACCGTCTGTATAACAGTCTAGCCATCCATCTAACTGACCATCTGTATAACAGTCTAGCCATCCGTCCATCTAACTGACCGTCTGTATAACAGTCTAGCCATCCGTCCATCTGACTGACCGTCTGTATAACAGTCTAGCCATCCATCTAACTGACCATCTGTATAACAGTCTAGCCATCCGTCCATCTGACTGACCCTCTGTATAACAGTCTAGCCATCCGTCCATCTAACTGACCATCTGTATAACAGTCTAGCCATCCGTCCATCTAACTGACCATCTGTATAACAGTCTAGCCATCCGTCCATCTGACTGACCGTCTGTATAACAGTCTAGCCATCCGTCCATCTAACTGACCGTCTGTATAACAGTCTAGCCATCCGTCCATCTGACTGACCCTCTGTATAACAGTCTAGCCATCCATCTAACTGACCGTCTGTATAACAGTCTAGCCATCCGTCCATCTGACTGACCGTCTGTATAACAGTCTAGCCATCCATCTAACTGACCATCTGTATAACAGTCTAGCCATCCGTCCATCTGACTGACCCTCTGTATAACAGTCTAGCCATCCGTCCATCTGACTGACCGTCTGTATAACAGTCTAGCCATCCGTCCATCTAACTGACCATCTGTATAACAGTCTAGCCATCCGTCCATCTGACTGACCGTCTGTATAACAGTCTAGCCATCCGTCCATCTAACTGACCATCTGTATAACAGTCTAGCCATCCGTCCATCTAACTGACCGTCTGTATAACAGTCTAGCCATCCGTCCATCTGACTGACCGTCTGTATAACAGTCTAGCCATCCGTCCATCTAACTGACCGTTTGTATAACAGTCTAGCCATCCATCTAACTGACCGTCTGTATAACAGTCTAGCCATCCGTCCATCTAACTGACCGTCTGTATAACAGTCTAGCCATCCATCTGACTGACCGTCTGTATAACAGTCTAGCCATCCGTCCATCTAACTGACCGTCTGTATAACAGTCTAGCCATCCATCTAACTGACCGTCTGTATAACAGTCTAGCCATCCGAGTAAATTACTGTGTATGAGTCTTATTTTTCACAATCATTATCGATAGAACAAGAAGGGTGTCGTTATAAATTTTACATATCTCATGAAACCCACTTGTGTATTCGGAGAAGTTTTGGGTAACCTGTTTCAAATTGTCAGTTAGGCTGCCATCTTGGTTTTTGACAATGAAGATATTGCTATTTTTCAGCCAGTACCAGGTCTATATAAAATGGTTGTTTGTAATTCATATATCTCCCTGAATCTCAAGTCATATTGTATACCGCAAGATTTTCATCCCCATTTAACGTTCACCCTTTTCGTTCATAAACAGAAAGGGCTAAACATTTTATAAAATCCTCAGAGGGCGAAATGAACATGAAGTGAATTCGTGTACAATAGTAAAAGGATGAAAATTACCTGGGTTGAAAATATCCCAGTATTCAGTTACACGAATCAACAGCTGGTCAGATTAAAGTCTAATGAGGTGAAAATTTTGTTTGAATCTCTCCAGGATTTATGGATAGTGACCCAGTTTGACAGAGCCATTGCAGAGTGTAGGTTTATAAAAATAAAACTTATCATAATATCAGATATTATTATAAATCCCTCCCCCTTGTTACAAATATCATATTTCTGTCATGTACCTCTATAAATGAAATTAAATAATACTATTTATTATGATACATTTCAAAATAGAATATAAGTTATCATGATGTTTCTGTCTGCTTGGATTTCATTTTCCTAAACCCAGGCAGTTGTCTGTATTTGATACCAGTGTTGTTTCTATTGATGATTAAATATACGTCAATAAAAATATTGATATCGCTAATAATTCATGTTGATTTTAAAGCTTACAAAACGCAGTGATCTATCGATACAAAAAATATAAACTTGTTTTCATTTCTGTTGATAATAAAGTAGACTTGGTCGTCTTCTGGTTCTCACACGCAGTTGACTTCCTGGTGTAACTTTTATTACGATACTTTTAGTTCACCAGAGTGAGGCTGTTCACGATGTCCTTGGTGCAGCTGTTCAATCACAATCCTTGTAATCACCTTTAAATGTGTTAGAAGGATATTTCTCAAACTTGGTGTGTATCTTCTCCTTGGTCCCTGGTTTAACCCATTCAATTTTTTGTTTGCTCGAGAAAAGAATGGCTAAAAGGAGGCCATCTTGGATTTTGACAGTTGAAGTTTGTCATCAATAATTCGCAGGAAAGTTCTTGTTACATTTTTTTTTAGATTTCATATGTAGAATTCTCTTGTTATCAAATGATTCAGAGGAAATGGGGAAAGTTGGGGAAAGTAGGAAAGATTAGACTGGTATAGAACCAAAAAAGATCTTTGAATGGGCACGAAGATCCCACATGGACCTCTTGTTATTTTGAAAATAGAACATCATGAGTCAGTTCCAGAGTACATGAAGGTTTTGAAGTCCTACAAGGACCACTGTCTGTTACAAGAGTTTGTAGGATCATTGTTAGGATTAAAAACATACAGTGTTCCAATCTTGACAGGTGAGGAAAGGGTTGAGTGAGAGACGTAAACGACATTCTATGACAAGTACGGAGTCAATCACAACCATCAACTCCAGTCAACCTAAAATTGTGGTGAGTAATATCAGAAGTTGTATATTGGTTTGAAAATAAAATTCTTAACACTGCTTTTAGCTCACAGGAGCATGCTGTATTTTCAATTGTCAGGTTTATGTCTAAATATTGTGGAGTAACACCAGAGTATTTTAATGCATTGTGTTATTAAATTAACAATAGAGGATTTTAGAGGGTTTTTGAATACTATCTCATTATTTGTAGATGATTGTGAATTTCAATTTTGAGATAATTTTGAAACACATCATTTTCAGAGATTCAAACAGTTACTTGTGCCAGTGGAGACAGTGGAAAAAGGTAACAATTTTGGGGAGTGTAATAGAGGATTACTGTAAATTATTTCATTTTTGTGGGGATTTAATGTAACCGTTTACTGTGAAATAACATTTTTAATGGGTTTTATTTTTACCGATTACTTAAAAATATTTAATTTTTGTCAGGTTCATTTTTGTTACTGATTTCGTGGGTATTGTTAATCCACAAGTTAATTCGTACACAAAATGATAAACAGTTAAATTTCACATTTTAGTCTGTATACTAGTAACTTTTTTGAGTACATGGAACAATATTTTTTTTTGTCTGAAAAACCTTGGAATTCAGACCCAAGGAAATATTTCATTGTATAGTAAACATCCTGATTCATCAGTAGATCCTTGTCTCCATATATAAAATAGGAATAGTATACATCCTGATTCATCACTAGATCCTTGTCTCCATATATAAAATAGGAATAGTATACGTCCTGATTCATCACTAGATCCTTGTCTCCATATATAAAATAGGAATAGTATACATCCTGATTCATCACTAGATCCTTATCTCCATATATAAAACAGGAAAAGTATACGTCCTGATTCATCACTAGATCCTTATCTCCATATATAAAATAGGAATAGTATACGTCCTGATTCATCACTAGATCCTTGTCTCCATATATAAAATAGGAAAAGTATACGTCCTGATTCATCACTAGATCCTTGTCTCCATATATAAAATAGGAATAGTATACGTCCTGATTCATCACTAGATCCTTATCTCCATATATAAAATAGGAATAGTATACGTCCTGATTCATCACTAGATCCTTATCTCCATATATAAAACAGGAAAAGTATACGTCCTGATTCATCACTAGATCCTTGTCTCCATATATAAAACAGGAATAGTATACGTCCTGATTCATCACTAGATCCTTATCTCCATATATAAAATAGGAATAGTATACGTCCTGATTCATCACTAGATCCTTGTCTCCATATATAAAATAGGAATAGTATACGTCCTGATTCATCACTAGATCCTTGTCTCCATATATAAAATAGGAATAGTATACGTCCTGATTCATCACTAGATCCTTATCTCCATATATAAAACAGGAAAAGTATACGTCCTGATTCATCACTAGATCCTTATCTCCATATATAAAATAGGAATAGTATACATCCTGATTCATCACTAGATCCTTGTCTCCATATATAAAATAGGAAAAGTATACGTCCTGATTCATCACTAGATCCTTGTCTCCATATATAAAATAGGAATAGTATACGTCCTGATTCATCACTAGATCCTTATCTCCATATATAAAATAGGAATAGTATACGTCCTGATTCATCACTAGATCCTTGTCTCCATATATAAAATAGGAATAGTATACGTCCTGATTCATCACTAGATCCTTGTCTCCATATATAAAATAGGAATAGTATACGTCCTGATTCATCACTAGATCCTTATCTCCATATATAAAATAGGAAAAGTATACGTCCTGATTCATCACTAGATCCTTATCTCCATATATAAAATAGGAAAAGTATACGTCCTGATTCATCACTAGATCCTTGTCTCCATATATAAAATAGGAATAGTATACGTCCTGATTCATCACTAGATCCTTATCTCCATATATAAAATAGGAATAGTATACGTCCTGATTCATCACTGGATCCTTGTCTCCATATATAAAATAGGAATAGTATACATCCTGATTCATCACTAGATCCTTGTCTCCATATATAAAATAGGAAAAGTATACGTCCTGATTCATCACTAGATCCTTATCTTCATGTATAAAATAGGAAAAGTCATTTTAGAAAAAAAGGAGAATTTCAAAGTACAATTTTAAACAAATTATGATGAAAATCAAAATTTTTATTTTGAAAACATCAACATTCATATTTGTTACGAAAGCAATCAACTTTTTGTTTATCTGACCATCAATCATAAACATTGTCAAAGACTATGGAAAAGAAACAAAGTTCCAACCAAACAGTAAATTTTTCAAAAACTTTAAAATTTAAGCCCCAAGAAATTGTTGGATTTTATAAGATATATGTCCCTGATTGGTCACCAGAAAAAAAGGTTTCGGTTGAAATTAAATACCAGTTAGTAGTATGATTTAAAACAAACAACAACAAGGATATTACATTCTGAAAAAAGGAAACAAATCATTATCACATCACAAAAGCAAGCAGTTAACTTTAGCTCAGCTGGCTCTCAATCATTAACATTCCCGTATACTACCGCAGACAAGCAATGAATTTGTAAAAGTTAATTCTGTTTTGATTGGCTTCAAAAATATGAAAGTGAATTAAAAAAAGAAGACAAAAAAAAAAACAAATTGAAATTTTACAAAATATATTTATCAAAGAAAAAGCAGATATGAAAGTTGAATATGAAAGAGAATTTGTGAATTAGAAAAAGATGATTCTGGTTTGATTGGCTTCAAAAATACGAAAGTAAATTTAAAAAAAAAAAAAGACAAAAAAAAACTAATTTTAAGTTTTACAAAATATTTTTATCAAAGAACAGACAGATACGAAAGTTATATGGTCTTTCCTGTGTTGTAGTGTCCGACAGGAGACAAGCATGGACGGAATTGTAACCTGACTGACAAAGTTACAATACCAAATCAGAATGTTATCAAAACCCAGCAGACCGCAACATCTTATTCAAGCCAAGGGTATCCAAGATATGGTGAGAGGACCAGCTTGCATCATATATGATAAGGGATTATGATACAATGTATTTGACAACCCAACAAGTTTTCATTAAGAAAATCCTATGTATTTTTGACCAATGGATAATACATAACAAAGGAATGTTGCTTTCAAATGAGATAAAAAAATGGACTAGTGACATCAATAAAATTGTGTTAAGTATAAATTTTGATTTCAGAATCGGACAACAAAATCTGAGGTCGTATAGACCATTTCTTTGTAAAACACCAAAACAGATTTGTTTTGAGGTCATGTATCATTACACTATCATTCCAACTTTTCACCTGTCTATGTAGTCTTGTAAAGATGAAAGTTTGTAGTTTTCTGTGTGGTTGTAATTGTAATGCTGAGTCTTCAGTCTTCAATCCCATTAAAACACCAATGTAGCAAAATAAAAAAGATCTCTTTAAAAATATATATTTACAAAGTATCATTAAAGTAAACAGAAACAATAAAGATATTCAATATGTATTTTTTTTATCAAAAATCAAATACACAAAAGCATCAATCTTTGCATTAAGCCACATCAATTTGAAAAATAGTCCTTAGGGAATTACTGCTGTGAGAAAAAACGAAAAGAAAAAAAAGAAATAACTGCTCCTCAAAAAATATCAAAATTGTTGAATTTTTCCTTGTTTGATTTTAAGTTTACACATCGCAACTTTTAGATGCATAGATACTTGAATTGCCAGGAAAGTGAACACAAATCAAACTGACCTAGGTTTACTAGGTGGGTGTTGTCAATGAAGCAGAAGATGCTTACTCTTCTGGAACACCTGGTCTTATTCTCCTTGTACGTTTTCAGGAGTCTCTGTGTAAATCATTCTTTTGTTCATATTTTCTCCCAGTTTTATTGAATTTGAGTTTGAATTATGTTGACATGTTGGTATTTTCTTGTCACTTGTTACAAGTGTAAATTGACATGGAGCTGTATAAACTACTTATCACGGGTTTGTGGTCAATTTCTTTCTTTGTCTCTTCTTTTTATCCTGTCTTTTGATAATGATATACAAAACAACATGAATAGTTTAGAAATTGGTTATACATATGCTATGCTAACATGACTGAAGTCCTAAGGAATGTCTTGTTCCCATGCTTGCTATATAGGGTCCAAATTTTACCAGCTGATATGGTTTTGAATAAATTAAGTATTTAAAGTGAATTCATGAATTTATTTTTCATGCCATATGTTACTTTGGAGTTTTTTTGTTTTGTTTTACTAATCAACTTATAAATTCCAACAATAATTGAATTTACCTGGTGTGAACTACCAGTACTTTGAAACACCATACAAACACTGTACAGAGAAAAATAGGTATCATTTTCAAGCAAAATATTTACCATATGCAAGAATTAAAATGTGTGTTTGAATGTTCCCAGTACAAAGAATATCACCCAGAAGCAAATCCATTGTAAATATCAACTGTGTGTACCAGGCAGTAAATCAATGGGTTGGTAAAGTCTACTTCTGATTGTACTGAAATTGACCAAAACTAGAAAAGAAATAAAATTCAATGAAAAATCCACCCTCTCATCTTAATTTTTTCAAAATTTCCAAAAGAACTACTTTTGAAATTGATGTGGCTTTAAACATATGTTCATACATATCAATGTTAACAAACTTCTACAACAAAACAATGCAACCCCCAGAAATGGTCAGCAAAAAGACGGCAAAAATACCCACAATACACAAAAAGGCAATTAAGCTGACATCTTGTTGGAAATTCTGTCATCTGTCTTTTATCAGCTTTGTAAATGAGCAAACTTCTTCTCAATAACCATGAGCCTAGAGTCAAGATATTCAAATGAACAACCTTATTGCCTGCAATATATCTCTGACCCACAACATGTGTGGATACAATTTGATAATACAATAACACAAACCTGTCCCAGGCTTTTATTTTGGCATCAAGGACCACGTTAAAATTTTCCCAAAGTCATGATAATAAAGCTATTTTTTGGTAACAGCAAGCTTTAGAATAAAGAAAAGTCATTGCATCTATTCTAAAAACAATTACTGCATTGTTTACACCGTTGCTTTGTGAAAAAAACCCAGATGGTCAATATCTGTACTGAAATTACTCTTTCCCTGAGGATGCTCCTCCAACTTGTTCTTTATGTATTGCGTGTTTGTATGATATCCCTCGAGGAATGACACCACAAGAGCGACATAGATTTTCTAAATATGGTAACAGTAACCCTCAAACTCGAGCTAGTCTGAGATATCATGGTCCTTTATAAATGTGTACGTGAAGTTCGGTCGAACTTCCCGGAGGAATGAAGCCAACAGAACACTTAGCAGTTTCAGTGTTGTACGACTCCATAGACTGTCCAGTCATGACTCCTTCAATATTTCTAGGATGAAAATGTCAATCTACACTACAGATGAAAAATCCATTGATTTACACATGAAGCCTTAAAGCTCCTCACCAATATATGTATACATACTGTTACGGTCTAACTTGCAGTGTGATGGAGTATTTAAAGATATATTTCTTAGCATCGTACACAAATTGCACATAACAGAAAACAGAATATAGTGGACAATATCACCGATTAAATACTGTATTGATTTATCACATCTGCTTGTTATCCAATCAATTCTTCCACATAGCATTTTTGTGTATATTTCACGAGTGTATAAAACGTGGAGTGATTTCACCCGTTGATGGCCCTAATGACCTTTTATGTGTTGATAGGCCGTTAAGAATGCAATAATAATGATATCTTTGGCTGTATGTCAGAAATTAATTATAATTTCCTATGAAATTTGCATAACATCATGAACTGGACAAAGAGGCCAAAGGGGCCTGCATCACTCCACTGGCTAATTAAAGTATTCAGCCATTTTACAAAGAATTTCAAATATGACAAACTATTGCTAAAATAATTTCCCTATTGGGTCCACATCCTGTGGCCAAACATAAAATTTTCTTCAGATCTAATATGGACAATTTGCCCTATTGGGCCAAGCCCCTTCAGTTCAAGGGGGCTGAAACCCAATATTCATAAAAAATTGATAACCCATCATCCAAGAATGCTCCACACCAAAATTTGGGCAAAATCTGATCATTCCTTCATTAGAAGTAGGATTTTAACGAACTTGCTCTATTTCTACTATTGGGTCCCGCCCCTTCCGCCTCAAGGGGTCAAGACCAATCGCTTACACAATTTTGTTCCCTTCCCCCAATAATGCACAAGATATGGTCAAAAATGGCAGAGTTGTTCACGACTAGTAGCATATTGTCGAAAAAGTTAACGGACGGACGATGGATAAATGGACGCACAGACAATGGATACTGAGGTATGCCAATTGCTCACTTGGCCATCTGGTACCCAGGGGTGGCATAGTGTAGTGTCCACCAAATTATCAATCAAAACCTGGTATCCAGGGGTGGAATAGCTGTTAGTCCACCAACTGAGTCAGACTTTTTATTACGTTTGTCCCCTGGGCTTATTGTTAGACAAATGTGTTATGGTTCAATGACCCTGGAGAATTGTCTTTAAGTAAACATCAATTAAAATGATCACAATTCCATCTTTTAACTAAACATCTTATCAAAGGCATATGAGGTGACTTTCCAACGCCATCCAAAGAACATTGGGTAGATGAGGTAAGCCAGGTAGCCGAAGGCTACACCTGTAGACACATACAAAATGGCGTTGATTGACGGCAGAAATCTTTTGGACAATGATGGGGCTGTAATAGTCTTCATCGTGCTGGAAATCCCTGTCTCTGACCATTGTATGGCAAGTTTGTCTAAAATCTGAAAAACAACACTGACAGTATGCAATTGATTTGATTTCCTTTAAAAACTTCTATAACACTTTTATCAAACTTTTACAGCTCATTCTTCATTCTTACTTGTGAAAGAAATTTCTTATGAAACCATATCTTCTTCAATGAAGTCGAATTTCAATTTTATTTTCAAAGCACTGGCATTTTGTAATAAAATCAATTGATATTTGAGACATCTGAACGCTTAATTTTCTTACAATCCTGCAGCTAAAAATTCAAACTGAAATTTGGAAATGTTAAACCAAGGAACAGTTGAACCTGTTCATGACACACATACTGTCTCTGAAAAATCATTCATGCAATAACGTCCTCATCACTTGTTTATACAAAAACGGGCAATGAGGCGATGACACTGAACTACAAAACCAGGCAATGAGGTGATGACACTGAACTACAAAACCAGGCAATGAGGTGATGACACTGAACTACAAAACCAGGCAATGAGGTGATGACACTGAACTACAAAACCAGGCAATGAGGTGATGACACTGAACTACAGAACCAGGCAATGAGGCAATGACACTAAACTACAGAAACGGGCAATGAGGTGATGACACTGAAATACAGAACCAGGCAATGAGGCAATGACACTAAACTACAGAAACGGGCAATGAGGTGATGACACTGAACTACAGAACCAGGCAATGAGACGATGACACTGAACTACAGAAACGGGCAATGAGGTGATGACACTGAACTACAGAACCAGGCAATGAGGTGATGACACTGAACTACAAAAACAGGCAATGAGGCGATGACACTGAACTATAGAAACAGGCAATGAGGTGATGACACTGAACTACAGAACCAGGCAATGAGGCGATGACACTGAACTACAGAACCAGGCAATGAGGTGATGACACTGAACTACAGAACCAGGCAATGAAGCGATGACACTGAACTACAGAACCAGGCAATGAAGCGATGACACTGAACTACAGAAACGGGCAATGAACTACAGAACCAGATAATGAGGCGATATTGACACTGAACTACAGAAACAGGCAATATGGTGATGACACTGAACTACAGAACCAGGCAATGAGGTGATGACACTGAACTACAGAACCAGGCAATGAGGTGATGACACTGAACTACAGAACCAGGCAATATGGTGATGACACTGAACTTCAGAACCAGGCAATGAAGCGATGACACTGAACTACAAAACCAGGCAATGAAACGATGACACTGAACTATAAAACCAGGCAATGAGGTGATGACACTGAACTACAGAACCAGGCAATGAAGCGATGACACTGAACTACAGAACCAGGCAATGAGGTGATGACACTGACCTACAGAATCAGGCAATATGGTGATGACATTGAACCACTAAACCTGGCAGTGAAATACAGAACCAGGCAGTGAGGTGATGACACTGAACTACAGAACCAGACAATGAGGCGATGACACTAAACTACAGAATCAGGCAATGAGGTGATGACACTGACCTACAGAACCAGCCAATGAGGCGATGACACTGAACTACAGAACCAGGCAATGAGGTGATGACACTGAACTACAGAACCAGGCAATGAGGCGATGACACTGAACTACAGAACCAGGCAATGAGGCAATGACACTGAACTACAGAAACGGGCAATGAGGCGATGACACTAAACTACAGAATCAGGCAATGAGGTGATGACACTGACCTACAGAACCAGCCAATGAGGCGATGACACTGAACTACAGAACCAGGCAATGAGGTGATGACACTGAACTACAAAAACGGGCAATGAGGCGATGACACTGAACTACAGAATGGCAATGAGGTGATGACACTGAACTACAGAAACAGGCAATGAGGCTGATGACTGAACTACAGAACCAGGCAATGAGGTGATGACACTGAACTACAGATGACACAACTACAGAGGCAATGAGGTGATGACACTGAACTACAGAACCAGGCAATGAGGCAATGACACTTAACTACAGAACCAGGCAATGAGGTGATGACACTGAACTACAGAAACGGGCAATGAGGCGATGACACTGAACTACAGAACCAGGCAATGAGGCAATGAGGCGATGACACTAAACTACAGAATCAGGCAATGAGGTGATGACACTGACATACAGAACCAGACAATGAGGTGATGACACTGAACTACAGAACCAGATAATGAGGCGATATTGACACTGAACTACAGAAACAGGCAATGAAGCGATGACACTGAACTACAGAACCAGGCAATGAAGCGATGACACTGAACTATCAAACCAGGCAATGAAGCGATGACACTAAACTACAGAATCAGGCAATGAAGCGATGACACTGAACTATCAAACCAGGCAATGAAGTGATGACACTGAATGACACTGACAGTGAAATACAGAACCAGGCAGTGAGGTGATGACACTTAAATACAAAACCAGACAATGAGGTGATGACACTGAACTACAGAAACAGGCAATATGGTGATGACACTGACCTTCAGAACCAGGCAATGAAGCGATGACACTGAACTACAGAACCAGGCAATGAGGTGATGACACTGAACTACAGAACCAGGCAATGAGGTGATGACACTGAACTACAGAACCAGGCAATGAGGTGATGACACTGAACTACAGAAACGGGCAATGAGGCGATGACACTGAACTACAGAACCAGGCAATGAGGCGATGACACTGAACTACAGAACCAGGCAATGAAGCGATGACACTGAACTATCAAACCAGGCAATGAAGCGATGACACTGAACTACAGAACCAGGCAATGAGGTGATGACACTGAACTACAGAAACAGGCAATGAGGCGATGACACTGAACTACAGAACCAGGCAATGAGGTGATGACACTGAACTACAGAACCAGGCAATGAAGCGATGACACTGAACTACAGAACCAGGCAATGAGGTGATGACACTGAACTACAGAAACAGGCAATATGGTGATGACACTGAACTACAGAACCAGGCAACCAGGTGATGACACTAAACCACAAAAACCAACACAAACCAGGCAATGAGGATGATGACACTGAACTACAGAAAGGCAATGATGAGGCAATGATGACACTGAACTACAGAACCAGGCAATGGTGATGAGGCAATGATGACACTGAACTACAGAACCAGGCAATGAGGCGATGACACTGAACTACAAAACCAGGCAATGAGGTGATGACACTGAATGACACTGAACTACAGAACCAGGCAATGAGGTGATGACACTGAACTACAAAACCAGGCAATGAGGCAATGACACTTAACTACAAAACCAGGCAATGAGGTGATGACACTGAACTACAAAACCAGGCAATGAGGTGATGACACTGAACTACAAAACCAGGCAATGAGGTGATGACACTAAACTACAGAACCAGGCAATGAGGTGATGACATTGAACTATAAAACCAGGCAATGAAGCTATGACATTGAACTACAAAACCAGGCAATGAAGCGATGACATTGAACTACAAAACCAGGCAATGAAGCGATGACACTGTGTAAGTATTGAAACAGGCAACAATTGGCCAAGAGTGCCTGTATCACTCACACGGATATAAAACAACAATGTCAAAATAATCAGGAAGCTTTATGTTTGTATATATGTAGCTCTAGTGATAAGCAACAACAATCACTCTTTACCTTCATGTCAAGGTTATTTATATGAAGAAACTTGTTAGCACTTCCATCGGTAACCTAGGTCTTACAAAACATGAAATTATTTTGTTTAGGTTTTATGTCCTTAAAAAAAGACCAATGTTACTCATTAGAAAGAACATCTAGTCATGAATGGCTACCTAAGCTAATTTTGATAAAATTCGGTTGTTTGCATTCTTTTTGTATAAATGTAGGTTCTCTGCCCTCTAGGTTTCTTTAAAATCCTACTCCTGTCTGTTATAATACAATAACATGCAACTACAAATGTAACTATGGTAACAGACCACAAGGCAATGATGTGTGATTATAAAGACACATTACCATATTAACAATATCTGATAACTTCTAGTAAGCTGATGACAACATGTAACTATAAAAACACAGCCAATAAGTCAATGACAATCCTTATCTAGGGTAACGGCCAATAAGTCAATAACAGTCCTTATCTAGGGTAACAGGCAATAAGTCAATGACAATCCTTATCTAGGGTAACAGCCAATAAGTCAATGACAATCCTTATCTAGGGTAACAGCCAATAAGTCAATGACAATCCTTATCTAGGGTAACAGGCAATAAGTCAATGACAGTCCTTATCTAGGGTAACAGACAATAAGTCAATGACAGTCCTTATCTAGGGTAACAGCCAATAAGTCAATGACAGTCCTTATCTAGGGTAACAGACAATAAGTCAATGACAATCCTTATCTAGGGTAACAGCCAATAAGTCAATGACAATCCTTATCTAGGGTAACAGCCAATAAGTCAATGACAGTCCTTATCTAGGGTAACAGACAATAAGACAATCCTTAATGACAATGACAATCCTTATCTAGGACAATAATGACAATCCTTATCTAGGGTATCAGCCAATAAGTCAATGACATTCCTTATCTAGGGTAACAGGCAATAAGTCAATGACAATCCTTATCTAGGGTAACAGGCAATAAGTCAATGACAGTCCTTATCTAGGGTAACAGACAATAAGTCAATGACAGTCCTTATCTAGGGTAACAGGCAATAAGTTTATGAATTTGTGTAATTAAATGGTCAATAATGCAAAGATAAACTGTGGTATCAGAATTGGACAGAAAATTTAAATATAGTGATGTAATAACAAAATATACCGTTTGTTACAGCAATCAGGTTATGTTAATGTGTACGTATGTTAGCAGGCAATGTAGATGTGCTCCTTATAATGTTGAGGGGCGGTTATGGGGTGGTAAGGAGAAAGATAATTGAGGGATCGTTATGAAGTTGAAAGGACAAAGATAATTGAGTGGTGGTTATGAAGTTGAAAGGAGAAAGACAAGAGGCCCACGTATGTTGAGGGTCATCTGATTATAAAGACCTATATATGAAAGAGGCCAAATAGGCCTAAAACAAACTGCTCAATTACTCTACAGCTTACATAAAATACATTGGTTGGTTCATAATGACATTTCTGTAAACTTGAAATCATATATTTTATACATACTACAGGCCCTTGGTAATGAAGGAGTTGCTTATGCATTTCAACAAATTTGACCCCTGTGACCTTGACAGTAGGTCAAGGTGAACAAACTTGGTAGCCCTTCATCAAAGCATGCTATAAGCCTAATATCAGTACCCTGAGCCTTCTGGCAGTTCACGAAACATGATTGCTTTATGTCATCCTGACTCTTCGGGTCAGATGAGACCTATTAATTGAGGAGTGTATTTGGTGTAAATAGAGATAAGGTAATTCAGGGGTGGTTAGGAAGTCGTTAACGGTGTAAAAAAGGAGAATGATAATTAAGCAGAGGTAAAGTGTTAATATTAGCCATGCACTATCTGACAGATTCCAAGTGATACGTACTAGCAGTTAGAGTCACAAAGGGTGAGAATCTGAAGCAAAAACATGTTGAAAGTTGAGGTTAGTGGCAAAATTTCATTAATTTGGTGCATTTTGAAAAAAAGTGTTATATTTGAACTACCTTTATACAAGTAATACAATAATTTGTCTCACATCAGATAATAAGAGATTAAAGAAAAACGAGATTAATAACATCGAATGAAGATTGTCAATGAATTCCATAAATAAGGCAAATTAAAAACAATGGATATATTCTGAAAAATTCGAAGTTGATAACATCCAGTGTGGATGTAAACATAGGTCTACATGTAAACATAGGTCTATTCATGTTAAGTCTACAATGACTTACGTATTCACATGAAACAAATCCCACTTCACATGCACAAAGAAATAATTTCCCATTGAATATTGAATCAACCAGCCGTGATATGTAAATACCATATATTGGGGAAGCAAGTTTGTTACTATCTAAAAATGGAAAAGGAGACACTGTCACCAATAGGGAATTAGGTTATAGACACACCACATTACCATATAACATAGTTTAGACCTTTTCTACATGTAAAAAAAAATGGTAGCACAGCACTGTAGAATAACACTGCACCAGAAATAAGGCACGTACTATCCATGTAGCACTTATATTATTTAAGATGTTGACATGCATCTTGAGAAACATCTTTCATCATTCTTGAAAGTAAAATCCACTAGGAACTTTGTTTCCTAGACGATGGACTGGCAGTTTTGACAGAGACATTCATGAAGCATGAAGGTAACATGCATATGGTAGAAAAATCTTCACCATTCAAGCAAGTATTACCAGAATGTGCAACTTATATCTCCCAGATGAGGCCTGATACAATTCAGGATTTTGTCATTGAAGCATGAAAAAGTAATAGGTGGGTCATTTTCAGTTTCTGCAATATGCATCCTGTAGAACAGACCTTGTCAGGAATAGATTGATAAGTTTTCTTAAATTTTCTAATGAATATGAATTTTGTACTAATTAAAAATCTTAAACTTGTTACCATGTCATAGTGAATTAGATCTAATGTTTGTCTCAATGTTTATGTCATATTCAACATGGCCTGAAAGTTAATGGCAGACAAAATGCTCCTCAGGCAGATAATATAAAATCTGTTGACAACAGCTTACTACAGAACATAGTCTAAGGGAGACAACTCACAATTTGTAATGATTCAAATCAAAGGCTGGAAAAATTTTCTTTATTTTCGATGTGAGTGAATTAGGACTGACTCTAAGTAGAGTTTGAGGTTTACTTTGGACTGTTGATTACTTTGTAGCATAAACCAAAGTGATACATATTTAATTTTTTTTAAGTTGTTACTTCAAGAAATCAGACTTTCAGCTACCTTTGTTTTATTTCTCTTAAAAAATGATACATCAACATATGTAGTTATACATTACAAACTTCAGCAAAGCCTATAAAAGTAAACTTAAGTAAATCTTCATATTCCAAAATTCTGTTTTCTGTTGACCTACCTCACGAGCTGCCCGTTCACCAGATTGAAGAGCTCCATCCATGTACCCCATCCACTCGGTAGCTGTTTCTGTCCCAGCAAAATGGACATGACCTAGAGGTTTCCGCAGCATTCTTGATAAGAATGAAATACATGCATATGAATTGTGGCATCCTGTTAAATTTGTATGTCCTTATAATTGTGTGTTTTATGTGTATTTTGTTTTTATTCAGGAATCTAACACTCTCGTGTGTTGACTGCGAGTCTGTATTGTTTGTGTAGTTTTGTTTTGGCCCTCGCAATGTATATGTGCTCTGGAAATATGATAGTACCCATTTGTATAGAGTAGGTCCAAATTAAATACATGTTATTATTTAGAGTATCTATAGGACTGACCATTGACTGACCAACTGACTGGACATACGCAATTAACATTCTCTTTCCTTGCGTGTATCTCCCTTTCCTTTATAGCATCTTTCACTTTGTCTTTGGGAGCTGGTCATGACAAATAAATGTTTATTTTGTAAGTATCTAAGGGACTCGTCTACCTATTTGGTAAGTATCTAAGGAACTCACTTGTCATGCTTTTTAAGATTAAAAGGAGTATGTCAGTGTGGCTTGTACATAAGTCTCTGTCACTCTGCTAATGGAGGACTTCTTTGGCTCAGTTGGTGGAGCCTTGGATTATCACAGAGATTCTGGTTCAATTCCTATTGTGAGACTTGGCAGGAATATGTTTTTCCCTGTTCTATTACATAAGTACCCAGAACTCACCTGCCATACTTTGTAAGTACTCCAGGAGGCATTACTCCCAAATAACATCCTCCGGAGAATTCCTCCGCCATCCAGTTCTTCTCAATGTAGTCAATGGGCTGTAAGAAACACAATACTTATATATTTTTCTATAAGTTTTTTTATAATACACTAAATGTGTGTTCAGGATACTCTAAGTTCTCTCTCCTTAAGAATAAATAAAATATTCTATATATAAACACCACTATAAACAACCACAAACAACTTCTGTTAATATGAATCATGGGAAAGCCATTTGGAGCCAGTATAGTATTATCATGGATGTATTTCATTGTGGTAAACGTGACAAAATATTTGTCAACAATAATCATTTACCCTAAGTTTGAGCAAAATTTCCTTCCTTGAATATTGTATTCATTAAGTTCCTAACTAGTTCATGTTTTTTTTTTGTATTTTCCCTATTTATCATTTTTGCACAATCTCTATATGTTTGCCTGGTAAGTTACTTATTGCTTAGTCTCGTTCAGGAAGACTCTTGTTGTCTGTACATGTGATGAAGTGTCTTGGTAAATGAGACAATTTGTTGCTATGTTTGCCATGTTGCTATCCACCATTGGTGCAAAGCATTACTGGAAATTCAACTTCTATGTCACAACTTTGTAACTGATAGTATGTGTGAAATTTTTCACTCTATTTCATTCATACCTGTAATTTTTAGGACTTGCTACCATGAAAACAAGAGTCCTGGTGGGTCTGTACCACCTTCATGGTTTAACAAAATCAGAGTCCCAATAATGTTTAAATCCAATGCAATTATACTTTTCCAAAATAATTTATGTCTGTAGCATGTCAAAATAACCTGTGTGTTTGATTTAGTTTTGAGAACACTTCTGACCAAATTTGGTGAAAGTCTGCTTATGTGGTCAAGAGGAGTAGTGTTTTATGAATGTAAGTTACAATTTCTCCTTGTGAAATCTTTTCCTTCCATCTAGAGTGTTGAAAACATTCTACAGCAATGAGTTTGTATTTTAGAGCACAGTATCCTACATTCCACCCTTAGTAGCCCCCTTTTTAATGACATAAACAGATGGATGACCTCAATACAGTACTGCTTACTTGCATCTGAATACATAAATAAAGGGAGATAAATCTTACCTGTAAGAATACATCCATTTTGAAGGCTTTTGCATAATACTGGCACAAAATGTTCTTTCTGTAATGTACACATAATATACATGTATCAGCTTTTGAATGTTTTTCGACAATTCAATATTTGAATTTAAAAGAATTACTTCTGCGAGCAATACAAATACTATAAGGACCTTTCAAAAAGGTTGTCCTTAACAGAAAAAACAATTAAAGGATGTTTAAAGAAATAAACGAAGACGAATGGATATTATCACTGATAAAGATAACTCTATCACTGAGGACGTTTGCACCAGTACCTTTCCGACTCCGACATTTCCACAAGATCTCGAGATTTGTCTGCCAACACAAATCCCATAATGCATGGATGAGATCCGTCAGGTTTTGTGTCATCCAGACAGAATGCTACAGGTCCAAAATCTGATGTTATCATTCCATTGTAATCTGTTAGAAAAATAGTAGGTTAAAGGTCACTGGGTCATACAAAGGACACAAGGTCATATAAAGTTATAAGTTAGGTCATAAAAAAGTCACTGGGTCACAAAGGTCATGAATTATATCATAAAAATTCAACAGGTCATTAAGGTCACAATGTCATATAAAGGTCATTCGGTCACTAGGTCAAAATCAGGCAATATAGAAGTCAAAAGGTCATATCTTAAGGTTGCCATTGTATACAATTGTCACCAGGTTAAGAACATCAACAGACTAAACAAGTCAGATAAAGGGTAGCACTTTCTATACCTTAAAAGGCCATTCACGAGTAACATCAGTTTTCACTGACAAAAGAACAAAAAGATGATGTGATATCTGCTATCTGATGACCTACTTTGTTCCCTCCAGAAAGGTTTGTCGTAAAACATGAATGTCTTGATGATGGATCCCATGGGCATCCTCTGTATGAGTTGAAGCTTGAGGTCAGGGAGAGGTGGATAGAAAGTGATTCTGTTCAACAACGCGTGAGGAACTGAGCTCACCACATATTTTCCCTATAACAAAATCCAAAGAAAATGTGCCAAGCCTTGTTAAGCTACATGTTGACAGTTTAAACACTATCATCCCATTACAATCAGATCAGTACAGATGTTCAATGATTTTACTTTGGTTAAAGATTTTTCCTCTCCTCCTTGTGCTAAATTTGTTTCCTGACGATTTGGAATTGTGACAGGGCAACCTTCATCACTTTCACAAGATGCAACTGTTTGGATGTTGAATAGTTTACAGATCTAATGGTTTACAGATCTAATTGTTTACAGATCTAATGGTTTACAGATCCAATGGTTTACAGATCTAATGGTTTACAGATCCAATGGTTTACAGATCCAATGGTTTAAAGATCTAATGGGTTACAGATCTAATGGTTTAATCTAATTGTTTACAGATCTAATGGTTTACAGATCTCATGGTTTACAGTTCTAATGGTTTACAGATCTAATGGTTTACAGATCCAATGTTTTCAGATCTAACGGTTTACTGATCTAATGGTTTACAGTTCTAATGGTTTACAATTCTAATGGTTTACTAATGGTTTAAAGTTCTAATGGTTTACAATTCTAATGGTTTACAGATCTAATGGTTTACAGATCTAATGGTTTACAGTACAGATCTAATGGTTTACAGATCTCATGGTTTACAGTTCTAATGGTTTACAGATCCAATGGTTTACAGATCTCATGGTTTACAGTTCTAATGGTTTACAGATCCAATGGTTTACAGATCCAATGGTTTACAGTTCTAATGGTTTACAGATCTAATGGTTTACAGATCTAATGATTTACAGATCTAATTGTTTACAACTCTAATGGTTTACAGATCTAATGGTTTACAGATCTAATTGTTTACAGATCAGTTTCATGAACAGCCAGAGTAATTTTGAGATAGGATCTTCTTGTAATAGCTGGTAAATATATCACTGAACAACACACAGGAGGCCCATTGCATGCCATCCAGAGCAATAATGGTAAGTGTCTTGCAGAAAGACACAACCTGAACAGTACAGGTTCATTTCTCAGCTTTCTAAAATACAACCATCACAGCTAAGGGGTAATGTGTTAAAAGGTAGTTACAATGTATTAGAAGGTAGTTACAATGTTAGAAGGTAGTTACAATGTTAGGAGGTAGTTACAATGTTAGGAGGTAGTTACAATGTTAGAAGGTAGTTACAATGTGTTAGAAGGTAGTTACAATGTGTTAGAAGGTAGTTACAATGTGTTAGAAGGTAGTTACAATGTTAGAAGGTAGTTACAATGTTAGGAGGTAGTTACAATGTTAGAAGGTAGTTACAATGTGTTAGAAGGTAGTTACAATGTGTTAGAAGGTGTGTTAGAAGGTAGTTACAATGTTAGAAGGTAGTTACAATGTTAGAAGGTAGTTACAATGTGTTAGAAGGTAGTTACAATGTTAGGACGTAGTTACAATGTTAGAAGGTAGTCACAATGTTAGGAGGTAGTTACAATGTTAGGAGGTAGTTACAATGTGTTAGAGGGTAGTTACAATGTGTTAGAAGGTAGTTACAATGTTAGGAGGTAGTTACAATGTTAGAAGGTAGTTACAATGTGTTAGAAGGTAGTTACAATGTATTAGAAGGTAGTTATAATGTTAGAAGGTAGTTACAATGTTAGGAGGTAGTTACAATGTTAGAAGGTAGTCACAATGTTAGGAGGTAGTTACAGTGTTAGAAGGTGGTTACAATGTTAGGACGTAGTTACAATGTTAGAAGGTAGTTACAATGTGTTAGAAGATAGTTACAATGTGTTAGAAGGTAGTTACAATGTGTTAGAAGGTGGTTACAATGTGTTAGAAGGTAGTCACAATATGTTAGAAGGTAGTTACAATGTTAGAAGGTAGTTACAATGTTAGAAGGTAGTTACAATGTTAGAAGGTGGTTACAATGTTAGAAAGTAGTCACAATGTTAGGAGGTGGTTACAATGTGTTAGAAGGTAGTTACAATGTGTTGGAAGGTAGTTACAATATGTTAGAAGGCAGTTACAATGTTAGAAGGTAGTTATGATGTATAAAGCCTTACTTACTACTGGCTTATATAGGTTTCTGGATTACACAGGTAAACAGTTTAGACTAACTTACCTGGTATTCATGTCCATGAACATCTTTGACCAGCACTTTTTCCTTGGTTTGGTCAACACTGACCACTGGACAGGACAGATGGACGGTGCCTTTTAGCTTTTTGGTCATGCCTTCTGATAACTGTTGTGTTCCGCCAATAATCTTCTGTTCCTTAAACACCAAATCAAGATTTATTTTGGTACACTGAGGGAGTGATTGGAACTGTTACCCTGAAGTTCAATGCAGTCATTCATGATACAGGTAAATTTTGGCAAGTGTGAACCTGTTTGACAAAAAGAGGAGGAAACACCACAAACGCTAAGAGGCAGGAATTTAATGAGTTTGAGAAATGCAAGGTATTTGAAGAATAAGGTTTTGAGAAATCCGAGTTTAATAACTAGAAACATATAAGAACACCGTCGGGACCAACCCGAAAGTTCAGCAAATAGTGGGTATTTGATAAATACAGGTTCGAATAACAGCTCTGGGTTTTACTGAATATTACATTTTCTTCTACAGCATGTTACAGACATGTTTTGGCCTTAAGCAGGGTGTCATCAGGCACAGCTTACATGGTGTACATGTAGTTAGAAGTTAGAGTTTGTAGCAGTACTATACTTGTGCTCCATCCTTGACAGATGCTAATCTCATCACACCTCCTCCAGAATGAACAAACCACAGGAAGAAGAGGAAAGAGACTTCATGCGGCTCGGATGTCAGCGTCGATCGAACAAACAGTAGGATATCTGATGCAGCACTAAATGAAAATCATACAAAATCTATGTCTTAGTATCATCAAATGACACATTAATTTCTTCATTGGTTTCATTTACATTTGAATTCAATAAGTCCACCAAATGTGATAATTAGTATAAGTAGACTTATGTAGCTATACTTATCCATGAAATTGTACATTCAAAACAAAAAAAACAACAAAAATTTAGTCTCATGAAAAAATTCTGATTTTACAGTAAAACTTACACCAATTAAAGAAATTACCCTCATGATATAAATAACTGCTGCAATAATTCCTGTGTTACTGGAAAGTTTTTTTTTATAGTCAAGGTTTTCAATTTTTCACAACTTTAAAAAATGAGAAAAATGTGAAATACAGATACTTTGTATATAAATCATCAGCTGTTTAACGAAATTTGATGAAAATTTATCTTTTTTCTTTCTCTTAAATCTTTGGTTAAAACTTAAAATATCTGAACCACTAAAAGTTGAGACGGACTTTACAGTATGATATATAATTTGAACACTTTTACTAACAAATAAATGAATAAAGTGGATTGATACTACATCCAAGATTCATCACTAAAAAATACCAAGTGTCCTGATTAATTCAGATATTCTTACTTTGTCCAACAATTTCTGTCAATGAATTCCTTTACTGTCATGCTGTCCCATTCAGCAGCTTTCTGGGCCATCCACGGAGCATTTCGGGGCACCTGAAATGAAGAATTTGTAAATAGTTATAATTCTTTATATTTCTTGTGTGATTCAGAAAATTCTAGTTTTGTTGTACATGTCATGGCATGCTATCTTGCTATAACATACATGTTAAGGGAGTATGCTACCTAACTATAACATACATGTTAAGGGAGTATGCTACATGAATCTTACTAAAACATTCATGTTAAGGGAGTATGCTACATCACTATAACATACATGTTAATGGAGTATGCTACTTCAATGTAACACACATGTTAAGGGAGTATGCTACTTCAATGTAACAAACATGTTAAGAAAGTATGGTACCTTAATATAACATACATGTTAAGGGAGTATGCTACCTTACTAAAACATACATGTTAAGGCAGTATGTTAACTTACTATAACATCCATGTTAAGGGAGTATGCTACCTTACTAAAACATACATGTTAAGGCAGTATGTTAACTTACTATAACATCCATGTTAAGGCAGTATACTACCATACTAGACTTTGCCAGGGGTATAACACTCATATTAAGGGAGTATGCTACAATATTCCAACAATAAGCCCCTTTCTACTGATACACAACATTAATATAACTTGGTTAAATGATGCAAAGGAGGTTCAACAATACTGAAATGCTAAGAGTTAAATTTAATATCAATCACTATTCTGTTTTATCACATAATGGCTGTTGTGTCATGTCATACAGCCATGTCATTGATGTTGTAAGATTTGTGTAATAACACTGTTGTGCTGTTATGTCAACAATAAATATTTAACTGGTGACACTACATGATTGTCTCCGTGGCGAAAATGTACGAACTGTGTTAAAATAACAGCCTTATAGGGAAATTAATTTAGGATTTTTTGTTTTTGTTTTTTTTTTTTGAGAAATGCTGTTTATATCATAAATGGATTTTACAGTAATTTGGATGTAACATGAGATTAAACCCATTAAATAAATGATAGGTCATTAACCGTTTCTGACCTCTAAAATTATTGAACTTATTTACCAGGTTCCATATAACATGAACTCTCCTGTAATATGCTCTATTTCATTCTCTCACCTGTTTAGCCATGCGGTCTATTGTCCTGATGATATTGTTCAGGTCCAATAGTTTGAACGGATTCCAATAAGGAGGAACAACCCCACCAAATGTTGCCCAAATACTCTAAAATGATAAAGATAATGTAAATATCTTAATTATTGGAAACGTGTTTATTTGTCATTGTGCTTAAATGCTCAAAATTTATATTGCACTTAAGTCTGACTGCACTAAAAGATATATGTTAACAGTATCTTTCTTTTCATAATTTTGTTTTAGATAGTAAATTTAACACTGGGCACTTTTTATGCTGGTCAAAAAAAAAAAAGAAATAAAGAAAAGGAACAAAAGAACTGGGCATATGTTTCACTATGTATAGTACGACAACCAAGCTGAGAAAAGATAAACAGATAAAACATGATTGATATCTGTGATACTGATTAATTATTACCTTATAGTTCATGATTGTTTTTCCTACTTCATATACATTGGTAAGTTCTAGTCCTAGCTCTTTGGCGAGGTTTTTGACAATGTCTTGTGTCGGGCCGAAATGTGTTAATTTGTCATTGTGCTGTCTCCCTAAATGGTGAATAATTTAAAAGGCACATTAGTCTGAATGCAGTAAAAATGTATGTTAACAGTATCTTTCTTTGTCAAACTAATTTTGTTGAAACGATAGTAAATTTAACAAAGAAAAAATGATTTATGTGAACAGAAAAAACAAAAACAAAAAAAAAAGAAACAAAATGAACTGGACATAGAAAAAGTTTCACTATGTATAGTACGAAAAACAACCAAGCTGAGAATAGATAAACAGGATAAGAACATGATTAATATCTGTGATACTATGATGTAATTATTACCTTATAGTTCATGATTGTTTTTTGTAAGCATATACATTGGTAAGTATCTAGTTCGTGAAATAGCTCTTTCACAAAGGTAAATTACGATGTCTTGTGTCGGGCCGACATATGCTGCACCTACATCAGTATAGCCATTGTTGTCTCCCTGTGGTGAATAATTAAGAAAAAAGGTCACATTAGTCGAAATCAGTAAAAACAGGAGATCTTTGTTTGTCAAACTCAATGAAATGGTTGAAACGATATGGGTGAAAATATACAGAAAAAGAAAAAATGATTTATGTGAACAGAAAAAACAAAAACAAAAACAGAATCTCTACCCCATTTACAATGATAATGACAAGAGGACATTAGAAAAAGCTATTTCTGCTGCACTGTAAGCTAGATACAAGGAAAAACTTAAAAACTATGCAACTCTGGATCAATTCCGAACCCTTCCAAGGATGACAGAGAAGATGGTGTAACAATAGATGACACCTATGTGTCGGAATCTATATCTACTGTATTCCTGGATGAACTGCATTATTTTGTAAGCATTATACAATTGTATGCAAGGCGTTATGCAAGGTGAGTTCGCGAAATAAATTATTCACAAAGTCAGTAATTTAAATAGTTTACTTTTCGCCAAGTAAATAATTATAACAGGATATACCCAGATCTTTGTCCCCGTGTATAATTATAACATGAATACCCAGATCTTTGTCCCCGTGTATAATTATAACAGGATATACCCAGATCTTTGTCCCCGTGTATAATTATAACAGGATTACCCAGATCCTTGTCCCTGTGTATAATTATAACAGGATTACCCAGATCTTTGTCCCTGTGTATAATTATAACAGGATATACCCAGATCTTTGTCCCTGTGTATAATTATAACAGGATATACCCAGATCTTTGTCCCCGTGTACAATTATAACAGGATATACCCAGATCAGTTGTTGTGCCATGGCCATTAACGTACACATTAGTATTATTGTATAAACACTTATTTTATCATTATTTCATCCCCATTTGAAAGCAATATGTAACACTCCAAAGAAATTTTTTTTTCTTTTTGATAAAAAAAAAAATTAAGCAAAAACAAATTATGAAACGTTCTAATAACCCATTTAAAAAATATGTACATCAACATGACACCTTCAATAACAAAATTTATATTTCTAGGACACACCCATTTTCTGTTAACCTTTCAAGCACTCAACTCAATGATCATATGAAAAATTGACAATGGGCCAGAAGTCAGGAGGATGTTCATTACTAAAAGTCTACTGAGAACAAGGCCTACCTTTATGGTGCAGGTTCGTCCTCCGACGCGATCTCTAGCTTCCACAACGCTCACTGTCAGCCCATTTTCTTCGAGAATCTTGGCAGCATAAAGTCCTGGTTTAAACAAAGTTTTTTTATATCATCTACGTATCCTATTACAAAATTAAAGACTTGAATTGGTATAACAATGGATGACTTGATACATTTTAATAGCATAGTTATTCCCCAATAACCTTGTTGTCAACACATTACCTTTCCCTTTGATTTACAATCATGGTGTGTGTTTATTACTGAAATAGTATATGTTTTTAATTCTGATAAACAGAACAACTTTTTACATACATTTTTTACTCTTGTTGGTTCAGCTGGAAATGTGGTAGGGAATTTATTATGGGAGGAAACGGAAGAAACTCAAGATTTACCAAAATATGCACAGTACTTTTTTTTAATCTGAATTTTCTACCAGCTTGTTTCTGTAAACCGGTAAGTTGAGAATGAAATTTTTTCTTGGGAAATGGAAAGAGACCCATAACTTTCCCTTAATTTGTGAAAATAACACACTTTTAGGGGAAACAATCTTTTTTGGCTGTAAAACAGAGCAAATAACAAAGAAATAATCATAATGTTTGATGTCCGACATGGAAACTGAACCCGAGTCATCTAATTTAGAGGTGTGTTACTGTTACCAATGTAACATCACTGTTGTTTTTTACAGAACAGAGGAAGTGAATTCTGCATTAACTTTACATTTTACTATGTGTTATGTCATCATTTAACATGCACATTTGTATGTTTGGAATTTGAAGTCTAACCAATTTACAATGAAAAAAAAACTACGAAAAAAAGATAAAATGACTCATACAGGAACTTCCTATCAAAGATTTTTCTAACTCCATTTCAATGCCAAAAAAAGTTATTTTCCCTATTCATAGTTTGTGTTACTTTTCCAAAAATGATGAAAAAAATCTCAATATTTTAAGAAAACAAAAATTATAATTTATACACGAACAGACTGCTGTAAAATTCAGGAAGAAAAGTTAATTGAATTTGACTGTATTTCAAAGTATGTTGCATTACATAAACAGTATACCATTATCATAAGGTAACACCAGACTGATACAAAAAGATCTCAGCTAGCTTATTTTGTTTTCTATACCTCACCAAAATGCATAAGGTGCAAAGAGAAATGCGAGATCGGATTTTGATTAGATAACACATGACATCCTCTGGTGTTCAAATAAAAGAGATGCCAAATGGACCTGTATCAGTCACCTGATTTGCTTTTTATCTATAAAATTGGAAGAGATTATTCTAGTAAATTTCGGGTCATGAACAGGGTCAATGTAATTTATTTCTTCAAACTTTATAGCCTTTCGTCTCGGCTTACTACTCGCTCAATGAACATTTTCATCCTGGGGCAACTTGGTTAATATTATTTAGAAGATCGTTTGAAAAAATATCATCAGACGAGCTATAAATAACATACAAGCAATAAACATTTTAGGAAAATAAAAATTAATTACAAAACAAAATAAATTCAAAATGAAAAAAAAAATCAGAAACCTGACCCGAAAAATAAAAGCGCCCGGCATTCATTTTCTATTGTCTTTTGATAAAAAAAGATGCAAAGAAAACAAGGACGTGTCTTAACGTGAAAACTTTACAAGAGGTTGATAACTGATACAATATGCACATCACATATAACAAATGAACAAGGAAATATAGGCAAATAGTGCAGTTGCGACACTTTTATCTAAAGTGAAAGTAGACTGTTTCCATGCAACTCTTGAGTGTTCTGTATTACTGTTGGTAGCACTATGTCACGTGCCGATTGTTTTGCTTTTGTTATATTTAAGTGCATGATGTATGAGCTGAAAGTTAAACAAGTGTAGTATGACAAAAATATTAAGTAATTGACGAACCACTCAATCCTGCACCTATCACTACGACATCGACCTCCGAGCCGGCCATTTTGGACATGTGGGTCATATGATTTTTTTCATATGTTCGGAACGTCTTTGAATTTATCGTAGGCAACGGTAGAACAGTTAGGAAATGAACGAATGGTATCGAGATTTTACGAGACGTTAGTTCAACATTGATGGTGGCGTCGCTAAGGTAAACTGAATGCAAGTTTCTTTGAAAAATGACATTGTACTATGTTTATTGAAAATTAATGTAATTTTATGTAATATGTAAACTCTCACGTGCCACACAGTTCATCCATACATGCATTTTATTCGTTATAATTCACAGGACGTGTTCTCTGAGACGAGCACGGTGCTCGTTGGTAGTTAGGTCGAATGTGACTTCATGAACAGCATTACATGAATTCAAAATGGAGGGTTGCGTCTGTATAGAATGCCCAAATCTCAAAAGAGTCAGCAGCATGCATATTAGTCCGTATTTTCTGTACAAGTAAATAGTAATTGTTTTGACGATATTATCTATCTGACATTTCTGGTGGTTTTTTGTTTGTTTGTCCGTCTCTTTACGTGAAGTTGTCAACAAAGTCGGTTAAAATTGGTTTAACATTTGATCTTATTTTTCAGCTATGCTGAAAAAATACTTCAGAGAAATTCGATATAAGATCTTATTACGTTTGTTCAATGATTAAAAGGAGATTAACATTTGTCAAGTTTTCCAGCAGAGCTAGGATTTAACTTAATTTTTCGATTAGAAAAATTGTTGATATGTCACAATGTTGTTGTATACAAAGTAACTGGTGCATGTCATAATAATAATCAAACTGCTGAATGTCTGTTGTTGAAGCCCACCAAAGTGTATTGATTTCTTGACATAGGCCATTGATATAATCTCAATCATCATTATGGAAGTGTATAAGATTAATTCTATGAATTGTATGAATATTTACTCAAATATTATGGTAGTAATAAGCTTTTCGTTATTTGAAATACTATTCAGATATTACAAGTATTTTCTTAATTCTAGCATACATATAACAGATTATATGTGTCTTTGCTTCTAGCAATTGTCAAAAAAAAAAAAAAAAAAAAGCTTAGACGAGAATTTACAATTAAAGCAAACCAGCTATAAACTCCTGACAAATAACTTTAAATGGCATAATTTTAAACATTAACTGGATCTTTCAAATGATGATTAGCTTGTCTTTTATTGATTTTATTCAAAAATATTTCATTGTTACCTGAAAAGTGGGAAAATAGATACCATCCCCATTAACTTGGTGGTTCCAGGAAATATCTGTACATTTGTACCTTAGAGTTCAAGGAGATTCTTTGTGAATTGCAATGAGGCTAGGTACTAAAAGGTCACTTGTTGTCCAGCTAGGCTGTCAATCATCCCATAAGTTCGGGTTTTGGTTGGTTGGTTGATTGGTTTTATGTCTCTGTGACTCCTCCTGTTGCCGGACATTGTCTCACAGGCGAATATCAGGTAGACATGGTTACTCTGTGTAGTAGGTATCCCTCTAATGAGGGGTGAAATTAGATGATTTTAGAGTCACACAACTGTCAATCAGCATCTGGTAATTTTTTCGTAGTTTCCTGGACTTTCTATTTAAGTCTCTCAAGTCAAGCAGGGTCAGCATGGCTAAGAGAGTTATTCTCCAAGTTTTACTTTTCATGTTTTCTTTTGCTTGATTATCATCTTTGTGTAATTTAGATCATTTAAACATATGTAGTCTAAGACCTGTGATTTAACAGCCATTGTTTTCCTGTCTGTATATAATCAAAATAGAGTTTACTTGCAGCATCACAGTATTAATACATGCACTGTGATACAGTTTTTAAAATAGTTTTAACTAACTAGTACAATCAGTTTTTTATAGGTATTTTAACTTTCTGAATATTTTTTTATCTCTTTTTTTCAGAATTAATTTTTAAAATTGGATCCCAGACTTTTCTTATACTGATGAACTGAAAAAAAGTCAGACATGTCAGAAAAGGGATCACGAACGACGACCCCTAACAAACCTGGATCTAAGAGAGGATCCAAGGTGAACACTCCCAAATCTGGAACCCCCAAGGGATCCAAAAGCAACACCCCCTTGCCTACTGAAGTAGCACTAGTCGCAGCTGAAGATGAAAATGCTGCAGCAACTTGTAAGAATTTTAAACTTTATTTCACTTTTTAAATGTACACAGTTATAGTGATCTGAAGTTGTGAAAAAATACAAAGTTTCTTTTATATCATTTTGGATAGATATATTTCAAAAGTTAAATGTAATTTATTTTTTGGTATGTCTTAAAGTCCTTTACTCTGATATGGCAGCTCCTATGACAAGATTAAATGTATAAATTGAAACAATTTTAAAACATGTCTTCATAAAAATGTATACTGTATTAGTTAATGAATCCCTCACAGATATTCACTGATGTGGAAGAATTTTAGTTTTTACATAATTCACATTGACACGTAAAAATTATTTCTGAGTCTAATATTTTTGGATTTTCTTTTGACAGCTGAGGGTGCATTACAGCCCGGAGAAGGAGAACAGGGTGAAGGGGAGGTAACTGGTGTTGTTGCTGATGTAGGAGGCAGTGAAGTAGAGGCTGAGGAGGCTGCAGCTGTTGATGTAATCACAGTGGTACGTAGCATTTGTAGTTAAGTAGACTGATCTGCTGGGGTCAGATACTGATATCCTTGATAATAGTTATCAGAGAGATAGGTACAGCAGTCAGAAAGAGGTACAGTGGCCAGAGACAGGTGCAGTGGTCAGAGGGAGGTGCAGTGGTCAGAGAGAGAGAAGTACAGTGGCCAGAGAGTGGTACAGTTGTCAGAGAGATAGGTACAGCGGTCAGAGACAGGTGCAGTGGTCAGAGGGAGGTACAGCGGTCAGAGAGAGGTACAGCGGCCAGAGACAGGTGCAGTGGTCAGAGGGAGGTGCAGTGGTCAGAGAGAGGTACAGTGGCCAGAGACAGGTGCAGTGGTCAGAGGGAGGTGCAGTGGTCAGAGAGAGAGAAGTACAGTGGCCAGAGAGTGGTACAGTGGTCAGAGAGATAGGTACAGCGATCGGAGACAGGTGCAGTGGTCAGAGGGAGGTACAGCGGTCAGAGAGAGGTACAGTGGCCAGAGACAGGTGCAGTGGTCAGAGGGAGGTGCAGTGGTCAGAGAGAGGTACAGTGGCCAGAGAGTGGTAGAGTGGTCAGAGAGGGATACAGTGGTCAGAGAGAGGTGCAGTGGTCAGAGAGTGGTACCATTGTAGGAAACAATTATCAGGATGTGACATATACGGTTATCAGTTGCAGTGGTCAGTAGAGCTATGTTGCTCAGTTACATGGCTGCACTGCTGGAGTCAGAAGCTGATGAGGCCAAAATTACAAACAGGATAGAGGTTAATCAAAATTGAATTAACAAAAACATGCAACACAGACATAAAGTAATAAATGAAATGATGCAGAAACATTCTGGATGATTTTCTAATTCTTTCTCACAGTACTCATTGATAAAGGAACGAGTCACAGTACAGAATCTGAAGGAAGAAATGTGGAAAGAGCAGCACGAAGAAGCTGTCCAAGCCTTCATCGACGACCCATCTGTCAAACTAATGGTGGCCTATATTGACCCGTTCAAAGGCTTCACCATTGAGCATGCTATCCCTACCTTTCTAGTAGATCAGCTCACCTACCTGATCAAATCGGCCAAAGTCAAGGAGCTCACTACAGACAATTTCTTGACCGTCGTCCAGTATGGCACTGTCAAGGGCATGCATATTGAGAGTCTCTTGCGAATGATGATGGGAATCTATGCTCCAATATTTTTTGAGAACACAACTTGGCCAGACAGTATCCTTTTTCTATCATTTAGCTGGAAATGATTATATAGAATGTTGATGGTTTAAACTTTTTATGTCATTGCTTCTGTAACCAGTATTCATTGGAAGAACATTCTCCAATGCCTGCTATTTATATTAATCTATCATATTTTCTACTTTGTTTTTTTTCTCGCTGGTCAGACGCTTGTGCAGCTTATATGTGGACGAAATAAAAATGGACAGAATGTAAAAATTAGATGAAGTGTTTCGTTTGGACATCAGTGGGATACTGACACTCTTGTCTATAAAGGCCAATTTTATATGCTTTCTCGAATGGTCTTTATAGACAGGTTTGAAAGAATATTCATTTGATCATTTTACAGACTTCTGTTGAGTGGCATAGAATATTCAATTCAAAAATTCAAAAGACTGTATGTCTCTGTTAAAATTCCTATATCAGTTGGTCATTGCCTTGTGGGCTTGTTTACCTTTGTGGCAGTCACAGAATCATTAGCCTTTTTGAAGATGGAGCTTTGTCGTGTTGTCACACATTGGTCTGAAGGATAAAAGAAATATCATATTGATTATTAATTATCTATAGATCTGTCCTCAGAAAATTTATTCATTGTTGTGTTACATATATTCTAAATCAATCAATCAGTCAATCAATCAAAATCAATCAATCAATCAATCAATCAATCAAAATCAATCAATCAATCAATCAATCAATCAATCAATCAATCAATTAATTAATCAATCAATCAATTAAATCAATCAATCAGTTAATCAATCAATTAATCAATCAATTAATCAATCAATCAATCTCTATCAATCAATCAATCAATCAATCAATCAAAATCAATCAATTAATCAATCAATCAATCTCTATCAATCAATCAATCAATCCTTAGCTTGCATCAGGTATAAAGAATGATTTTTCAGCTCAATTACACAAGTTTCTTGCCAACCTCACGGACACAAGATGGAAATTAGAGGGTAAGACTGTCTTATACATCCCTACAGAAGGACTCCGCCTCACCTCAGAGGATGCTGCCAAAAACAAGGAGCTGGTCCAGAGACTGGAGAGTGAGTTTTCCACACCTCAGTAAAAAGTGCTTTTTTTATACCGGAAAAGTTGTTGAATTTGAAAAGTTTCATTTTCCATTATTTTCAAGTATAGAGTGAAACTGCGAAAAAATGGATCCTTGAAAATATGACATATTGGAAATGGTGGATTTAATATCTATCTTGTACACAACTTTCTAATTTATTGCTTGCAGTGATAGTCAAGAAGGTATGTAGATAGTTTATGTATAGTCTTGATAAACACAATTCAATTCAAAAGAAAAGAGATATTATCAGTGAGCTGTTACAGATTGATAACTTATTTTCAGCTGCTATGATACACTGGGCTAGACAAATCAAGGAAGTGCTCAATAATCAGGATGCCTTTGAGATGGCTGAGAACTCTGGCCCCCTGGATGAGATTGAGTTTTGGAAGAACAGATGTACAGATCTGACAGGCATAAGTACTCAGCTGGACAAGCAGGGAGTGAAGAAAATCACGGAGGTTCTCCAGATGGCCAAGTCCTCATATGTTGCACCGTTCCTCAAACTCTCATCAGAAATCAAGGTGAGTATAATGTTTTATGAGATCAAGGTTGATAAAATTTCAGGAATTCAGAATTCAAAGTAGGAGAAGTTTCACAAACTCAGAAATCAAAGTGGTTGAAGTTTAACAAGGTCAGAAATCGAACTAGGTGAAGTTTTAAGGAAGTCAGAAATTGAACTAGGTGGAGTTTAACGAGGTCAGAAATTAAAGTAGGTGGAGTTTAATGAAGTCAGAAATCAAAGTGGTTCAACTTTAAAGAGGTCAGAAATCAAAGTGGTTGAAGTTTAACAAGGTCAGAAATCAAACTAGGTGAAGTTTAACGAGGTCAGAAATCAAACTAGGTGAAGTTTAACAAGGTCAGAAATCAAACTAGGTGGAGTTTAATGAAGTCAGAAATCAAAGTGGTTCAAGTTTAACGAAGTCAGAAATCAAACTATGTGAAGTTTAACGAGGTCAGAAATCAAAGTGGTTGAAGTTTAACGAGGTCAGAAATCAAACTAGGTGGAGTTTAACGAGGTCAGAAATCAAAGTAGGTGGAGTTTAACGAGGTCAGAAATCAAAGTAGGTGGAGTTTAACAAAGTCAGAAATCAAAGAGGGTGAAATTTAAGAATAGTTATTTGCTTGGAATATTCCAGTTATGTATTTGTCTCACTACATTATGCTATTCTCATATATTGTCAATGTTTTTTTAAAGGAAGGGTCAAGGCAGGCAGAAAGTAACCTCAAGTTCCTCATGGTACTGAAAGACCCATGTTTTGAGTTGTCTGAAGCCAAACCCAAAGATATCCCTGCCATGTTACCCAAGATTCTCAGTACCATTAGGATGATCTGGGTCAACTCGGAATTCTACAAAACCAGAGAGAGGCTCACAGGAATACTCAAGAAGGTAGACTATCTTTATTTCATTTAGACATTATCATGCTAAAAACTTTTTTGAGAAACTTGTTTCTTAAGAATTTTATCATAAGAATTACAGTGCAACCAAACTTAGTAGAAAGTATGAATAGGTATCAAAAAATTGTAAACTGATACTTGGGTAAAGCCCCCTTTATTTCTTAATTTGCCACTAGGTGACATCAGCGATAATAAACATTGTGTACTTCTGGGGGCTCTCAGGCCCTAAATTGGACAAGCTAGTTAGCTGGTGTAACTGATGATAAGATGATGTACTAAAATTTTGTATGTTTTTTTTACAGATGAGTAATGAGATTATTCGAAGGTGTTGTAAGGAAATCAACCTTGACAAGATCTTTGATGGCCATGTACAAACAGGGATGAAGTCTCTCAACGAGTGTATCGAATGTTGTGAGAATTGGAAGGAAATTTACAGCAAGGTACTTAAATCTTTTGCTAGATTATTATTTTTTTTCATTTTTAATATTTGAACTTGTTTGCAAAAAATATTTTACAGTTTTGATTAAGTTATGAACTTAATGAAAAGATCCCTATTTAACTTGGTACATGAAATAAATTGAGTAAAAAGGCACTAGATAATTAATGTTTTACCTCATAGCAGTGAAATTAAGTTTAAACACAAAAACTATTTTGAATGTACATATGCCGAAATTGTTTTCGTTATGTTTATATTTGTAAATGATTTGTATCATTTCACAACATTTTTTGTGTCTTTTTTCAGATGTCAAAATTACATCACAAATTCTCACCAGTGGGATGGGTGCTAGATAAGAGCAGCATTTTTGCCCAGATTGATGCTTTTGTACAGAGGTGTAAGGACTTAATTGGAGTAGGTCTTGTTTGTTTTCCTTACACTTAACACCTCAGTGTGTATACTGTAAAGTCATATATATTTGTGAGCCTTAGATCTACGTTTAAAAAAAAAAAAAGTTTTTCTTTGTGGAAAAAAATGATAAAATCCACTTTTACTAAAATTAAGTGTATATCATTTTCTGAAAATACGATTGAAGAGTACCCATAAAATCAATGAAAATAAAACACCTGGAAAATAATCAACGAACTGGTCGTGTGACAGAACTTGATACCTGATCGTTACAGATTTGTTGCAAAGTGTTTGTACTGTACAAAAATGTATTAACAGGAAAAAATTGTTTCATTACAAATTTTCACTGTTTCTTGTTAGTTCTTGAAGACGTTGATTACTAATAAAAACTGATTCACAGAGTCCTCCTTTGCATGATAATGCTGTATCTATCCAATAATAAGGGTATGCTTGGTAGCAAGTCCACCCTCGTCTTTAGAAGTTTCCGTAAGAAATGCTAATGAATATTGTATCAATGTCCTGTAATATCTTAGCAAGTCTGTAATCTTCCTTTTTACTAGAAATAATGTCTTTGTTATAAAATTTATGACCATGTTCAGTAAGATAAGTACTTTGTCTCTAGGTGTGTGAGGCCCAGATCCATTTTGCTCGTCGAGAAGAGGGAGAGAAAACAGACATGCCTCACTTTGCTGGACAGAAGGGCCCAGAGATTGCTAGAAGTCTACTGGAAATTGAGGCAACATTTGAGAAAAATCTCAGTCAGCTTCGTTCTGTGAAAAACACAATTTTAGATGTCAAAGCCACGTCATGGCATGATGACTATGTGAAGTATGTATTATTTTATATACAATAAAGTCTTTATTCAAGGACTCAAATTTTCACAATTTTTACCAAAAACTGGAAGCAAATCTGATCTCTTTTCCATGAAATTATGAAACAGACCAATTTCATTTTTCATTATTTTATTCCATCTTTGAAAATAATCAAAATTTATAATTTCTCATAAAAAAACCATAACTATGCTAAATTGATAAAAAATCTCAATAATTAATTCCAGAAGAAATGATAAAGAAATCTTTTTTGGTCTGTGAATAATGGTACATTGATCAGAGATATCAATAAAAAATCTAAACAATAGGTTTATGTTTTCATTGTGACTATCACAAATGTTTGCTCATATATAGTTCCACTAATGAGACAACTTTTGTGATGATAGGTTCCGAGCTGGTATCAAGGATTTGGAGGTGATGATGCAGAACGTTATCACATCAGCTTTTGATACAGTCAACACCGTTGAAGGAGGTGTAGAACTTCTTGACATTTTCATGCACTTGGCCTCGAGAGAAGTAAGTAACTTTGAAAATATGTCACCTTTTGATGAAGTAAGACTTTTACCATCTCAAAGTTGTGAACAATTTTATTCCCTTTTAATCACAATATGAAACATATCAGCGAGCATGCCTAATAATTTTTCTGTCCTATTCAGGCTATCAAACGAACTATAGACAAGAAGACGGTGGATGTGTACACGATGTTTAACGAGGAGCTGAATGCTGTCAAGAAAGAGCTTACTCAGAAATCTCTCAAACAGTCACCAAGTCACCCGAAATTTGCTGGCCAAGGACTCTGGGCCCGACAACTGAAACGTAGAATAGAAAGAGGCATGATGGTGTGTAGTGGTATTTTATTGAAAAACTCTTTTGTTGAATTTCAAAAAGAAAAAATGGAAAATATGAATGCGGTTTTACTTTTAAAGTGTTGATATATCCCGTCTTAGCAAAAAAAAAAACAAGTCAAACAAACTGTGATGTATTCGGTGAGAAATAGTCACAAGTATAACAATTTTATTAGTAAAGTTTTTATTATTAGACAGTTTAATTTTTAAAGGATTTACCAAAAGCTTGATGGAAAAGGGATCTACTTTTAACAGATATCACCAAACAGATTATCATTTTTCTTCATGTTAATCTTATTTGCAAGGTTTCTCTCTCATGGTCAGAATCCATTCTCGAAAGTAGAAGCTCTAAAAAATTCCAATTTTTACAGTACATGTATTAATGATAGAAATTTACATATGTTTAGATACTTTAAAAGAGGAATTGTGGGTAAAATGTTCACATTTTGATATTTCGTTGTTTGTGGTATGATCCTACTGGTGAAGAGTTGTCTGGAGAAGGACTTATCATGATGAAAACTTTATTAATCATTAACTATCATATATATATCTTTACAATTAACCTGTGTAATAGTGATTGTGTGGAGAATATTGTTATATTATATTTATTATTATTATTTATTACATCATATTTTTTATTATTATTTATTATAATATATGTTATATTTTATATAGATCCTGGATAGGGCTCACTTCCTGCCTCACATTGGATCTGGTGAGGAGGTGAGAACACAGTACCAACAACTTTGTCTTGCCCTTGATGAGTACATTCGTAAAACTTTCCACGAATGGACACAGACAGTTGACAAGGTAATTCATTATTCCATATTCTTATTGTCCTGTTTTGGTTTTGTACGTTTGAACTTGAAACTAAATTTAAATATCTCTGAAATGTAATTTGATAGTTCTAGGCTCATTGCCAAGGAATATATGAATTTCGTTAAATAGAATTATACTCAGTATGTTACAAGAAGATTTTGAAGAAAATCAAACTATATCTTATCTTTATGAAGTAAAAGTTTTAGCTTAAAATTCAAAAGGAATAAATATTAATTTGAAATGAAATTTTACAGCCAAAATTTTTTCTAAAAAATATATTAAGAATTAAAGTTTCGTTGAAATTCATTGATCTTGTTTTAAAGTTAAAAAGTAAAATATTTGTTTTAGTTTGTTTGTGATTGGATACATTAACATCTTTTTGTGAATTTGTTTGTTTTGCTGTTTTTATGATACATTTCACAAGTAGAATTTTCTTCTATGTAGCATTATTTGAATTGAGGACAAATGAAAAAAAAATGTACAATGAATATTAGCAGGGGTTTTGATCTTCTCATTTTGTACACTAAATTAAAATCTTACTGTTTGTGTATTTTGCAGATAAGTGTAAGTTTATTACTTTTTTTCGTTTGAAAAGAATTTTCTTGTACTTTTCCTTCTTGGTATCTATCAGTTCCTCTTTTTCTATGATTTCTGTGAATGGCAAATCTACATAGAATTATCAAGCTGATGTAGAATACAAATGTTGATCTCCCTTTTTATCATTTTCTTGGAGTGGTTTGTGCTGCTTGGATTTGAAGACTTTATTTTCTTGTTTGAAAATTATAGCGAAAGTTTACTGAAAATGAATAAACTGATCACAGACTTCAGACATTAGTCAGAAGATAATATTCATTTCATGATGTTTACACAAAAGACAAAATCTGTGTGGTAATGTGTTTTCAGCTAACTGTATCTGTTCTTTGAAATTTTTTTTTGGCTTCCGTAGGTTTTGTAGCTAAAGAAAGTTTTGGTGTGGCGCTTGAAATTTCAGATTTTTTTTAGCAAGGGGAACAAAGACATTAAATGAGGTTGATCTATTGTTCTAAGCTTTTAGGTAAATAATGATGTCTTCATTGGTTTAGGGTCTCATTCCTAGCCATCAACCGACCATAATATTGTAGTATTTTATCCTTGGCTATCCTACAGTACATCTATGACGTAGGATTTTGTGATCATATGGTGGTGATGTAGAATTCAGTTCTTAAGTACAAATATATAGCATTAGATATTTTCTGCAGATTTGTTCTTCAACTGCTGTTATCATGAATATTCCGGTAGGTATATACTTGGGTACCACATAAAAAAGTTTACAACAGGGTGGTCCTCCTCTCCCCTTACTCTGGCTCATATAAAAATGTTCATTTAAAAAGATAAAAAGTTATTTTTCCAAGTTTCTTTAATAACAAAACACTTGAACTATAGGGAATAGTATTTGTGATCAAGATTTACTTTACAAGAAATTATATAAATCTTCCTCATAAAATATTGTTTTAGAATATTAAACATGAAATATTCATGATTGGTAATGTCATTTTCTCAAAAATGCTTCTGACTTTTTTTCGAGATTCCTTGACTAAAGAGTTGTTTAAAGTCACAGATTCAGATTTCATTGTGTTTGTTTATTTGTGATAATACATTTCACTAGAATGAATTAAAGGTTGAAGTGTGAAAAGTTGATTAAAGAGGCATTTCTCCTTTGTTAAAACCATTTGGTTCATAAAACAATAACTGAACAGTAAAAGTGACTACAGCAATCAAAGTCTCAAAATTACTCAAAGTTGTTAAATCATAGACATTCAGAGTTCTTATGTCAGCATGAATCATAAAGATTACAAACGTTATAGTGAAATAATAAAATCTGTTATAGGTTTAAAAAAAATGTACTGGACATATGTCAGTATTTACTTATCTATTTATTTCATTTAACGGGCTTTATGTCCGCTAGCCTGGCCTTTTGACCTTTCAGCATTATGTCATTAATATGAGTCAGGGAAGGAGAATGGAGACCAAATCTACTTAAGCATGCTATCAAAGTGGAAAATGTAACATTGACTAATGTCTATACACGTATTACAACGATGTGTTCATGTTAACATTTATCAACGGTTTTAACAATGGGAAAATGTGCATGTTTAGTAAATTGACTGTGGGATATCAAAACAGTTACTCAATGAGTATGAAGGGGATGGTCAAACCTCTCATCCTGAGGCTATAGTTTAGGGCAACAGTTCTAGGTCTTCCATGCTATTATCCATACTATTGTGTACATGTGTCTGCAAAAATAATGACGTCACTCAAACAAAATCTTTCATAAATGACATTGAACAGTTGTCATATTGGTAGAGGTCTAGGGCTCTAATTTACTCTCACACCACAAAACTGTTGATTTGTCAGTTAACACTTTTAAAATTACTAGTTAAAAAAATAATACCGTCTATGTTTTTCTACTTCCTTTTTTTTTTTACTTCAAGAAAAAAAGTGTGAAGAGTTTTCCATAAGTAGTTGTGCAGAATGTGTGTTCAATTTATTTATTTAGTATGTTTTTTTGTTTCTATGCTCCCTGAAAAATTTTGGTAGAGCATATTGTCATTGCCTTGTCCTTGAATTCTTTTGTGTTTGCAGCAGAACTTTGCCCCAACTTTACATTGGTCATGCTAAGGGAATGTGTAGTATACCAAATTCATGTCCCTTAACCCCTCAGTAGCAGAGTCACTGCCTAGTGTTAAAATTTTGTGCCATGAACATAATTTTGCTTGCTTGAAATCTGGAATGCTATGAAACTTGGTGTTTACATCAGTCATACTAAGTGAAAGTGCAGTATGCTGAATTCAGAGCCTGTAACCTCTTAACTACAGAATTATTGCTGTTTGTTAAAGCTGTATCTAGTAAAGTCATGGTCGGGGAGTAATCATCAGTTTCACTGATACTCTTGTCTTTTTGTTGTTGTTTGTTTGATTTTTTTTTTTTCAATTATATTGAAACTAAAGCCAGAGACAAGTCTCCATTGTTTATAGTTACAACAGCTGCAAGTGGTATGAAATCTAGAATTTGAAAATATTTCAGAGTGGCATGTATAAATTATTTATGTAAGTACTATAGAAATGAATTAAATGTGATCTGACTTTAAAAGCAGCTTCAGGCTGAATAAACAATGTTTCTGAGCTGTTTTAGTCCCAAACAGAATTAACTATGTTTCCAGGCTGCATCAGTAACATTTAAATATGGAGGGGACTCAAAGTCCCAGACTGAATTATCAATGTTTCCAAGCTGTTTTAGTAAAGTTTCTGTTTAAATACGGAGGGGACTATACACAAATTCCCAGGCATTTTTTGTATTTGTGGCTCTGTTTTTTATGTATATATATTTTTCATTTTATTAAATTCTGAAGCAAAATGACTTATAACCATACAAGGTATAATTACACAATTACAAAAATTAGTTTCCTTGGAAATCTTCTTGAATTGAAATCATTTGTTGACGTTTTATTTAAATGTAAATATTATCATTAAAAAGTATTTCAAAATATCTATGAGCAATATATCAGAAAAACAAATGTTCTGTAATAAATTGTATCATAACATATTTCGATAATTTTTTGTGATCTGGACGACTTGGGTTAAAAGGGAAAATTTTTCATGACAGAGAACAATGCAAGACTGTCCAGGTTGTTATTGTGTAGATTTCCTAGTCATGTTAAGCATAAAACTGTTTACTAAAAAACATATATATATGGTGGTAAGTTCTTCACTGACTGTAACTATGAACTACTTTAAGATCATATTTTTTGTGGGCAGAATTTTTGTGGTTTTCCAAAGAATTATTTTTTGTAGACGTATGATTTTGTGGATAAATATAACTCAATAAATCTAATTTTATCAGCTTATGGACATATGAATTCAATAAAAATAAATTGCCCACAAAAAAAAATGATTTTATAGTATATTGCTATGGTAATTTTGTCTGCAGGTTCCTGGAAATAACTTTAAATACTACCTCTATGACTAACAGATAACAATATGTATGTGGGGATATTTATGAGTTTCTGGTTGAATACCATGTATATTTCTCAAGTATGATAATATTTGATATATATCAAGACACAGTTTTCTTTTTATGTGCTGTTAAATATTCTGACAGGACAAATTATGGTATGGCATTGTTCGTCCATCCTTTCAGTGTAAACTGTTATTTGTCCATTAGGCTTCCCTCATCGTTTCTAACTGATCTTTCAGCCATGGAAGGCTTAATCACTGTGACCTGAAAGTTTGTTCCTCTGACCAGCAGTTTGATTCAACATAGTTTGAAGGGGTTACTTCCCTTTGTTTTTTTTCAGTATTTGTGTCTTGTCCAGCCTTCTCCCACAATTTTAGCTCGTTTCTCTTAGACTTTGTCAGGCTTTATAACCATATCATGAGATTTAGTTTTAATGAGAGACATTCTAATTCAGCAATACCAAAAAGAGTATCAGTTTGAAAGGCTGTATCAAATGTGATTATCTGTGTATGTAAAACAATGTATACTGATTAGAAAAAATCAAGTTGTGGAAGCAAAGTTAAATATATTGTAATTATTCTTAATATAATCAAGATTTAAAAAAATTTAATTACTCTATTGGTCATTTTTGTACTGAAATAAAGATATTGAGCTTTAATGTTTAACTTTTTTCCATAGAAGTGTTTAGATTTTTTTTTTTTTTTTTTGTATAGAATTATCAAATGAAATGATAAAATTATTTCAAAGGATTATCACCTGCTGGTTAACTATGGGTAATTATGTTATACAGGAGCCCATGAAATTATTAGAAGTGCCCCTGATGTGTAGAAGCAGTGAGAAGCCTCCCATGTTGGACATCAATTTCAACAGGTAAGACAATGTTGATTTCAGCAGTTAAAACAATGAAAAATGTAATTTTCAATAGGTAAGATGACAACAGATGTTGATTTCATCAAGTGTAGTCACTCCACAATGTTCTGATCTTTTGATCTTAGATCACCTGATCGACTGAAATTGACAATTCTACATAGAATAATGATAAACTGTGGATCAGTAGTTTATGAAAATGAAAGGGATTTAACAACTTTTGAAATAGTCTTATAGAATGAATATTTTATGCAAAAGGATTATAAGATTCAAACAGTATGGAGAACTGGTGATGACTTAAGCTACAAACACACTTTGACAGTAAAAAGTACCAAATCTAAATTGAGATACTATGGCCAGTATGAAAATTCTTTATAATGGTAGATATGGTAAGCTTTTTATATAGACAATTATGACAAGTTGTTAGAAAGTCACCATTGTCAGTTTGATGAAACTTTCAGTTGAACAAACAATGTTACAAAAACATGTCTAAAAAAAGACACCTCCTACCCCCAAAAAAGAGAAAAAAAAATTACCCCCCAAACCCCCAAAAAGAAAAAAAAAATACACCCCTAAACCCCAACCCCCCCCCACAAACCCCCAAAAAGAAAAAAAAATTACACCCCCAAACCCCCCCCCCACCCCCCCACAAACCCTCAAAAAGAAAAAAAAATTACACCCCCAAACCCACCACCCTCTAAAAGAAAAAAAATTAAACTTCATGTAAAAATGTGCAAGTGGCATAAAAATGTCTGTAATGATGTTTGTTGTGTGCCACATACAGGAGTTTGCTGAAGATTTTCCAGGAGATACATTACTGGGAACGCCTCATGTTTGAGATTCCTCACTATGCTACAGATGTGTACAACAAACGAGAGGATCTGCGGTCTCTGAGGGAACATGTTTTGTTAGTCGTGCGTGACTACAACAGGTAAACATAGTCACTGATTCTTCATTGTACTGTGTTATCAGTTCTCCATTTTGTTTTCCAAGTTTTCAATCCAGAGTTTTAAAATGCTCCAAATACTGAAGAATATTATTGTCATGGGATATATATTGTTTGCTTTTGGTAAAATCTTTAATTGTTCAAAAAATTTATAGCAACTTTCAGTATTTTCATTGTAAACAGCCAGCCAAATAACAGTTTATTTGTTGGTTGAATTTGTTGGTTCAGAAAACCGATGAAATCAGCGAAAAAAAAAGATCACAAAAATGATGATTTAGCAGTATGTATGTCCAGATTGAAATTTCCGCTTTTGGTTAACATTGTGTGAACAGTTTGTGTATGTATGCCATTCATTATTGATAATGATTAAGGAAAAAAGAAAAAGTGATCATATAAAATTAGTTATTCTTTAAAAATTGTTTGTGTCAGACTTCTAGCCATGATGGCTCAATTTGTAGAGTGTTGACCTGTGTAAACTCAGGTGAAGGTAAGATCAGTGCTGACCCTACCAAAGTGATTTTTTCTCTCAGGAAGCTGAAAAACGGACCAGTTTGCATTGATATTAGGCACTGCTGTGTTTTTAGGCATAACATTTTACACAAATTGAACTATGGCATAAGACCTCCCATATGTTGTTCAGTGGTGTAGCCACCAGCTACTAGAATCTTAAAATGAACCTGGTTGTTCACAGGTCAATAAACCCTACTAACAAACAACTTAATGCTTAATTAATGAAGCTATGTTTGTTTTTCTTTTCAGAATTATTGCAGCACTGTCTGTAGAAGAACGTGGACTCTTTAAAGAGAGAATTCGTTCCCTAGACAAGAAGATCCATCCTGGTTTGACAAAACTGACGTGGGCATCAAAGGGAATCTCTGACTTCTTTGTGACAGATTGTCGTATCAATGCTAGTAAGATACAAGTGACAGTGGACGATTACAAGAATGCCAACATGGAGATTTCTAAACAGTGTGTCCAAATCAGTGATATGTTGCTCATAAGCATAGACAGTCGCAAAGTCTACGAAAACCTGGAATTTGATGAGGAACAGGTTGGGAAATAATTTTTCTCAATATTTCTTTTTTCGTAGACTTAAGAAGCATTCAATGTGCCACAGAAAATGGTTGATTTTAACAATTCTTTTTATCAATCATATGTCACAAGGTACAAACTTTTGCAATTTTACTAACATCTTGATGTAAGCAGGATGTATCGGGAAAAAGTCCTGAAATGGACTACAGTTCTTAATTGCTTTTATTTCAAAGTATCAATTCTTAGCAGTTTTATTTCATCCTTAAAAGCCTGTGAAAAATTTTTTTTTTCTGTTTTTCAGGCAAATCACAGGGAAAATGTTTCAAAAAAACTGAAAAACCTGCATGAAGAGTTAGTCAGGATGATGCGAAATACATATGAAGTGTTCAAAAATGACGGCATGGAGGTATGTGTTTGTGTTCATGGGTTGATGGTAGGGTAGGTGTGGAGATATAGTTTTACCCATCAGAATCCTGGCCTGTATCAGTAGGATGAAAACCAGGGAATCATGCCCAAAAGACTTTTCTACTGCTCATGGGATAGAGTTATTTTCTAGAAAGCTTCCGGTTTCCTTCTGTAACATGGAGAGAAATGTTGTGGGTTTTCAAATAATTAAAGAAACACACAGTGACTTACCAAAAGATAAAACAAAATACAAGACAGTGTGCACAGACATGGCTGATCCAACTTCACATCAGGCTGGTGAAGTATTGTACAGTATTAGTTGAGTTCCCATCGTGATGAACTTTCTGCTATATTCCATACATCACAGACAAATTTTGACACAGAATTTTGGTAACTATAGTAACTATTTTGGATTTACCACACACCATTTCATTATTCCACAGGTACAACAGCATTGGCACAGATACACAGAGAAGATGGACAGGATGGTGGAGGAGGCATTCAGACTTAACATCAAGTGGTCACTCCAGGAACTGTCCAAAGCAGTGAACGGTGATGGCAAGTCTGCCCCTAACCCACTGTTTAGGGTCAAAGTTTGTCTCCAAGGTGACAAGGTAAGGAATTGTTATAACACAATAAGACTTTGTCAGTAAAACAATATTTTATAATAAGCCCTGCTAAAATGACTAGGTAAATGAATGCTTTGAATCAAATCATATTTCTGCCACCATTTTACACCAAAACCATGTTATACTGCCACCATTTTACACTAAAACCATGTTATACTGCCACCATTTTACACTAAAACCATGTTATACTGCCACCATTTTACACTAAAACCATGTTATACTGCCACCATTTTACACTAAAACCATGTTATACTGTCACCATTTTACACTAAAACCTTGTTATACTGCCACCATTTTACACTAAAACCATGTTATACTGCCACCATTTTACACTAAAACCATGTTATACTGTCACCATTTTACACTAAAACCATGTTATACTGTCACCATTTTACACTAAAACCATGTTATACTGTCACCATTTTACACTAAAACCATGTTATACTGTCACCATTTTACACTAAAACCATGTTATACTGCCACCATTTTACACTAAAACCATGTTATACTGTCACCATTTTACACTAAAACCATGTTATACTGCCACCATTTTACACTAAAACCATGTCATACTGCCAATATTGTACAATTAAACCATTGATGCCATAATATTATCAAAATGACTTGATAATAAGATAGATTTAACTTCTTTGATACAGGTTGAATTCCAGCCAACACTAAAACAACTGGCAAGTGTAATTGGCAGTATCGGAGGTCAACTGACCAAGGCTGTGTCCCCGATTGTCCGTCTCCCTAACATTCTGACCAAGAAACGTTCTACAAAAGACGTAAGTAAAGAGTGTGTAAGGATTTAAACAAATGTCCAGAATATATGTCATACAGTTCATAAAGCTGGCAAAATTTTTGTTAATAAAACTGATCGACAAGTTGTCTCACACACACATGTTTGTGATATTTTCCAATGAATACAGTTAATAGTCACACAGGCCACTTGTCTATAAAGGTCACTTTTCTGCTTTACGTGACCTTTATAGACAGATTTGACTACATCAATGAAAGTTTTGTAATTTTATATGACTATATATTTGAACAGGTAATGTATATTGAAACCTGTTTATAAATGATATTGTTCTGTATAAAGAGGTACAATTACTATGAATAGAATTTCATTAGATTGAGACAAGTGGTATTTTTAGCCATTTATTGGTTAAAACAAACAGCTTCTATAGACAGGTATTTGTTATGTAGAGGTGGCCTATATAGATAGGTATTTGTTATATACAAGTGGCCTTTATAGACAGGTATTTGTCAGATACAGGTGGCCTTTATAGACAGGTATTTGTTATACACAGGTGGCCTTTATAGACAGGTATTTGTTATATAAAGGTGACCTTTATAGACAGGTATTTGTTATATACAGGTGACCTTTATAGACAGGTATTTGTTAGATACAAGTGGCCTTTATAGACAGGTATTTGTCAGATACAGGTGGCCTTTATAGACAGGTATTTGTTATACACATGTGGCCTTTATAGACAGGTATTTGTTAGATACAAGATGACTTTATAGACAGGTATTTGTTTTATACAGGTGGCCTTTATAGACAGGTATTTGTTAGATACAGGTGACCTTTATAGACAGGTATTTGTTATATACAAGATGACTTTATAGACAGGTATTTGTTTTATACAGGTGGCCTTTATAGACAGGTATTTGTTATATACAGGTGGTATTTGTTAGATACAGGTGACCTTTAAAGCAAGTTTGACATTATATTCTCTGACTGGTGATACAATATGCTATTTGTGCAGCCTATCCATGATGTTATTTCGCGGGATGAAGAGACAAAGAAGATCCAGACAGTTATAAACACTGGAATGCAGACAAATGCGACCAACCTACAGAACTATCTGAGTACTTGGGATAACTACCGTGAAATCTGGGAGATCAACAAAGATATGTTTATCAAACGCTACCAAAAACTGAACCCCCAGGTGTCTTCCTTTGATGCTGATATTGCCAGGTGATGTTTCATAAATATCCCAAGTCTTTTTGTTTATTCCATTTAATGTTGTATAGTACAATTCATAAATCTCATATGTATAGAGCAGTAAGCCCATGCCTTGTATTAAGCTCTTGCAGGAAGCCGAGTCCCATCGTTTATTTAAAATTGATGTTGTGGTCACTAAGGCTTATTGCAGTATTTATATCATCACACGACCACCCCTGAACTTTTTTGCAATAGCTGATTTTGAGTATTACAATTATTTTTTAAATAGGTTTTATTTTTTTTTACTGTTTTCCTGAACATTCTAAAGCAAGTATGCTGCATTGTTAACAAAAGACATGACAGGAGCAAACATTTTCTCACAAGGATTTATTTTGTTTTTTTATTGTATTTTTTTTGTAATTTTTTTCCATCAACAAAAATGTCGAAAAACAGAAGTCCGCAAAAAATAGTCACTTTAACAGTCCTGTACAATAACTTTCCTCTGACCTTTGTCCCCTACAGGTATGATGAGGTCGCCAATAATGTGCAGACTCAGGAAACCATCCTCAACATTCAGTTTGTATTACTGGATTGTTCTCCTCTCAAGTATGCCATCCTCGGCCATTGTCAGGAATGGCAGAACAAATTCACCACCCTCCTCAGTGAGATTGCCACCAGTCGCCTCAAAGAACTCCATGACTTCCTCAAGGATAACGGCACCAAGTAAGCATGCTTCATAATCTAAATTAGAGAAGTGTTCTGAATTCATAAATTCTTATTTAACAAGAAAATTGGAAAAGCAAAATTAATTGACACCAATTTTAAATGGATGTCTTTTAGTGTAACAGTCTAACAGAACACATTATCCTGGAAATCATGTGCCCACAGATTTTGTTTTTTTTTTCAATGAAAATTAATGATCATATTTAACCTTTCTGTGGTCCATAAATTTTTGTGAAGTTAACCTTATATTAAACATGATATATGTTCACATTATTTTTTTTTCTTCACATTTTTAAGATACTGTACATTGTATGTTCAGTATCCATTTTACTGCCTCCAAACTTGTCATTTTTTTTGGATCATGTTTGAGTGACAACTGTGATATCCATTTCCAGTGTAAGCAAGCCTCCTCAGACTTTGGATGAGCTCGGAAACAGTCTAAATCTGTGGGAGGAGCTACACTTGGGACTGGCTGATACAGAGGCCAAGTTCCCACCCCTTCATGACCAATTCAGCATTCTGGAGAAGTACGAAGTGCCCATCCCTGAGGAGGTAACACTGACAGTTGTTTGAATAAATGTATACACTCACTTTCAGAAAGAACATGTCTGTCAAGTTTTGTCTCTTTTTCCAGGTTGTTATGGTTTAGGTAAATTTGGATTTACAATGATTGATTTCTTGTCTTGAAGAACTTGAATGTTATATACTTTGGGGGGGATTAGATTTCTCGTCTAGTGAAGAATTATATGCCCAATATGATATCTACTGGACAATTATCCCGCTAATATATGAGCAAAATTTTCTCATCTAATTTGAAATAAGGACGAGAGATGATGGATGTTTACAAGTCAATATCTGACTAAATGGATGTTGTTGTTCTTTCCACCAGGTGACGGCCATGTTGAATGAGCTGAGCAATGAGTGGGTGACCTTCCAACAAATCCTCATTGATGCAGAAACCATGCTGAAGAAACACAAGGTCAGTGTGAACACATATTCGTCAGTTCTGACCACTGTCTATCTGTTTTCGAGTTTAAGGCCATATGCTGTCTTCAATATTTTACCTGCGATTTGTGTTAAAAGTTATCTCTCTTACGTCAATAAACTTCAAGAAGTCTTGTTTTAGTCTTACGTAATGACCTGGTTTATCATGAGGCTTGTATTGTGATCCGATCACTTGAAGTTATGTTTTTATGATTATGCATCAATAACAGAAGTAGAACATAAAGAAAAAAAACGATAAACTTGCTATGACAATACCATTAACAAATGAAATAAGTTCATGGTTTAAAAATTTCATGATTCTTTAAGAAAGAAGTGATGTGTTCATGTGCACCCATGTTTTTTACAGGCAGTTCTCACGGTTCATACATATCTTATTTTTTCATGGCTTCTTCATGGCTTCTTCATGTACTTTCTCCCAGTAAATTGTATACAAACATCCAGTATCTATCATATCATGCCTTGTGAATTGTAGGAGAAATTCAAGAGTGGATTACTTGCTCAGTCAGAGGAATTCAAGAAGCAGGTTCACAATTTAATGGACGAATTTGCCACGAAGGGTCCATTTGCTGCCAATATAGTAACAGGTGATGCATTGAACAGCGTAGCGGCCATCAAGGAACAATTAGACGCTCTGAAGAGACAAGAGCAAGAGATCAGGAAAGGTCTCAATATCTTCAAGATAGACCAGCCGCCATCAAAGGAAGTCGCCAATCTGGACAAGGTAGGATAATATACTGTGGTTTTAGTGTATAAAGTATTGAAAATTTTTTACTTTTGTAGACTTTTCTTCTCCTTGATAAGGATTCTTTGTAAATTGTTTTTACATCTTTGATGAAGCTTAGGGTTGCTGTGCTGCAGTATTTTACATATTCAGTAATAACCCCAGATATCAATATACATTACTTTTAATACAAGTGTGAGTATAGCTGGACTATAAACCAAAATTTTTTTCAATTGGTTCACACGAGTATGAAAAATGATTGGGTGGTTGGATGAAGTAGTGGAAACTTAGCTGTCACTTAGCTGTCTAGGGTTAGACTCAAACTATGGAGGTGAAAAGGTATGGGTCACCTGTCCGACTGCATGGGTTGTCGGTGCACCCCCATTTCTTCCCACAGTAAGATCCCTTGTATGCTTGCATCTAAACCATATAGAGTGATAAATATAAGTTGAAATAAGTTGTTTCAAAACTGTTGTAAAATTAATAAGTTTATATTTACATTAAAAGTCCTTTACTTTAATGTCACGAGGTCCTTGATAAGTCTTGGAACTTTTGATGTCTCAAGTCTGAATGATCGCTGTTTAAATACCTGACATGGTACAGAAAAAAATTTATTATACATCATGCAGGACTGTTTCATTCTTATCTAGAAGACTTAAATCAATTGTATCAAAATTTCACTGTTTAATAAATAATATCCTCTTTTTCCAATTTATAAAGAAAATGTATCACAAAGGAGCAAATGATACTGAAGTATTTGGCATGGATACAGAATTGATGTATATTGGCATATAATATGCTAAATAAAAGATAATTTTATCCGATGAAAACTTATTTCCAATTCTATTTTATGAAATCTAGGACCTGGAGTTGATTGAGACTATCTGGAATCTGAATAAGGAATGGGAAGGTCTGTGGTCTGACTGGAAGGGGAACAAGTTCACCGAGCTACAGACCACTGACATGGAGAATAATTCTCAGGCCATTTACAAGAAACTAAACCGCTTCAGCAAAGAACTCAAGGTATCAGCTTTACCACTGTTTTCTCCCATCAGTTATGAATTTGTTTATTCCTTCAATTGCTTTCTGTTTTTTTTTTTTTTTGGTTATTTGTTTTGACAGTTAAAAAATTTTAGATATATATATCAGAAATTTTTTTCAATTTGTAGAAATAGCCCTTGTGGCAATCACGGAGGGGATTTAGCATTCTTTTCTCAACTTATTTTGATCAAACTTCATATTTTGATAAAGTGTCAAAATATCTTGAACAGGTTTGTGTTTCAGTGTGCCAGGGTCAATGACGGAAATTTCTTTGCAATATTCTGATTGGTTGAAAATAATCTCGATGCGATGACAAAAGTTAGATATATATTGTTGTTGTTTTAACATTTGTGCAAAATGTTGTGCTTCAGGACAAGAATTGGGAAGTGGTGGATACCAGCAGGAACAAAGTCGACCAGTTCAAAAGAACCATGCCTCTTATCAATGATCTCAAAAACAAAGCCATGAGGCCCCGACATTGGACACAAATCCAGGTATCACATAATGCTATGTTTAAACAAGACAGAGCTGGTTTATAGCTCATCAGTGGTGTACACAACCTCAAACAAAGATCTGAGATGTGTGGTTTGATTCTCCATACTCCTGGCAGTTTATCTGGAAGCTGAGAAATAGACCGGCTTATGCTGTTTTCTTTGTGTTTTTGTGCAAGATGCATTAATGGTGTTGTTCATTGAGGTAGCCACGTGTTTCTAAATGATCCCCTCTCACAAAGATCCTGGCTGGGAACGATGTGATAAATCCAGTCAACAAACACACAAAACACAAAAACCAATTAATTTTCACACTTATTCATTCGTATGATTTTACTCTGTTAAACTTTTCTTTGACAGTACATTTGTTTTTGCAAATCTTACAGTTTTTTTTTTATCATGATATTATAAAGTTAATATATTTGCAGTGGGTTATTTTTGTGGCCTTTCTGTCCTGCGAACATCTCGAAAATAAATTGATCACAAATATTTGTTGGTTTTACAGGAAACAGGTTTAGTTGTTCTTCGTAGCAGAATAGTCTACAGTTCAATATTAAGTCCGAGACTTGAGGGGACTTCTATACATAAATCGGATTTTGTAACAAAAGCCTTCCACATAGTCTTTTGTAGCCAAGAAATGAAAAAGGGCCGCCATTCAAAATACTGTAAAAGAATTTAATTTAGTGCAGTCAATATTTAGCGGTATAAATTTAGAAGTCATACAAGTGGGAAATTCCAGTTCTATTTATAGCGTAATCTCAGCTGTCAGAACAGGCCAACAGAGTTACGGGTATGGTTCACTGATTTTCGGTATGTGATCTTGAAACAACAGTTTCATAGTGTGGTAGAAAAAGGGTGGCACTGACAAAACTAACGTTGACTTAAGACTCTCAGCGCTGAAGCCTGTTCACGCTGCGTGGCTCATGAGAGCCCGTGGCACCATCACAAGAAACGAAGAGCTCCTTATTAAGTCAGTTGGGACTACTGGAATATTTGATGTGTTATAAAAGCAGACTCTCCGAGCCACATTGTGTTACTTGATTGTTGTACAAATTATTGGTGTTAATAAACTGTTTGATAATCTGATTCAAGCATCATGGAAATTTTCATACATATTTAGCGCTTTGATGGTTGTATGGAAAATTTGCTATTATTAAATGACTGTTAAAATTTCTCGTTTTGAATTACACAGAAGGATTCATGTTATTTTGAAACGGTATCCATTTATAAAAAAGACAAATGCAGACCCTGCAGATGTTATTGTCACTCAAGACTCTGGAGTTTATAGAATATCTAATGTCGTTTACAGAAAGACATGGCAAAGGAGTTTGATCACAATAGTGAGGAGTTCACTTTGGAAAAAATCATAGAGTACGGGTTTGACCAGTTTGCCGAACAGATCAGTGACATCTCTGGGGCAGCTACTAAGGAATTAGCCATTGAGCAGGTGAGATGGAATTTTCTTGAACCGGCTTAAATATATCATTATTCAGTGCAGACTTTTAATATCTATTTACATATTACTTGAGGCATTGTTAAGATAGACTATATTTTTGGAGGGTCCTTATTTTGGCAACTTTACAGAATGGAATATAATTACAGAAAAAAAAATACCCCAGAAAATGAAACATAAAGTAATCTGAAGTTTACATGTCCTTTTAGCAGAAATTTGTGCCATCAAAAGATCCTAACCTTTACTGTATCTCCTACTGCAGTGAAAACTTTTATGTGTTGTTGTTGGTTGGAAATGTCATGCTGATTGTACTTTTAATTCCAGGGTCTGGCTGGTATAGAGAATACCTGGAATATCACAGATCTCGATATTGGACCTTACAAGGACAGAGGCCACTTCAAACTCAAGTAAGTCTGACTTTCGAAAAACTGGGTGGAGTTTTCTAGCTACCTGTAATAATTACGAGGTAACAGATTTATTGTAATACCTACATGTATTGATGGGGCTTAAGCTTAATCATTGTAACAAATAGTAGTTAATTAACACTTAGTTAATTGCATAACTTAATTAACTGTAGTTGAATAACTTTCCATTGAAATGGTTGATCTGGTGTAGTATGATAAAGTGAAGCCCTTATTTGAGTGAGCCATGGTTCACTGCACTGTTATGGTATTTTAACCCCGATTCATTTGACCATGCTTCACAATACCACGCTACATTGGTCCCTGTTAGTTTCAATTGATTTATCTTGAACTTGATAACTTAACAATGTTTTGAATGGATTTGTCTCCCCACATAACTCATTGAAAAAAATGATAAAATGTACTTAATCTGGTGTAATCTAATTACAGCACTTTTATCATTGTTTAAAAGTTTATACAATGATGGATTTGGATAACTCTTGTATAAAATATATAGAATCAGAAAGTAGGGAAATTAGAGCGCTAAAAACCGATTACTGAGGGATTAATTATGTTTACTGTGAAATATTTGTGTTTTACATACACGTCTAGGTCAACAGACGATGTGTTCTTGGCTCTTGAGGATAACCAAGTTCAGCTGTCGACCATGAAGGCATCGCGATTTGTGAAGGCTTTCGAGCAGGAGGTTGATCGCTGGGAGAGGGTTCTCTCACACATCCTGGAGGTGGTGGAAATGTTACTACAAGTACAGCGACAATGGATGTACTTAGAAGTGAGTTTTACTGAACTTTTCCTTCATTAAGCCCAGGAGATCAACAAAGATATTCTTACTTAAAGATGTGGGCAGGGGGTGGGGCAGGCTTGTTGAAGAACAATAAAGAATTTGTTGGTAAATTTGTTAGATAAATAGATCAACGATTGGCTTATTGCTGGATAAATATGGTATAGAAGAGAATAACGAAGTAGATGAGAGGGTGACCATGACAGACAATCATGACAGACAGATCTTATTGTCTTACAGACTTACAGGAAAAAAAATTAGTTGAAAATAAAATGAACTATAACAAAATAAAAACAGTCTTCAGCAAATCATATACTTCTGCATTAGGCTTTTGGAAAAACTTTAGTTGTTTCCAAAAAATGAATACATGAATAAAATCACAAAAATAAGAAAATAAAAGTGATCACAGAAATGTTTTCTGTTTTATCGATTTGGTAAAAAATACTGGAATGTTGCCAGAAGTTTTTGTTAAAGTCATAAAAATTTGAACAATTCAAAAATAAATACCAAGACACTGCACGTATGTAAGATTCTTTTTACTCTGTAAAAGGTACTTGATACGTAATTCAACGCCAATGTATTGTTTTCAGAATATTTTCCTGGGAGAAGATATCAGAAAACAGCTGCCTAGAGAATCAGCAGAGTTTGATGATGTCAATGGTAAATGGAAAGTGATAATGTCACGTCTGAACAAAGACAGGAATGCCCTTAGGGGAACTCACCACGAAGGTACTTACTGCAAATCACTTAATTGTCGTGTAAATAATATGTAATTAAATGTAAAATGTTCTGTATATCAGATCGTTACTGACAAATCATAAGTTTAATACTATCATGCAGCAAAAAATTCTCCAAGCAATTTTTTTTTGGGGGCCTTTCAATAATGAGTTGTCTTTTTCTGTAAGTCTTCCTTTATTTTTTCCTTATTGCTATTGTATCAACAATTTAGAAATTACAACAATTCATTTGTAGGTCTGTTGGAGAGTTTGAATGATATGAACCTTAAGTTGGAGGAGATTCAGAAATCACTGGATATGTACCTGGAGACAAAACGGCAGATCTTCCCTCGATTCTACTTCCTGTCCAATGACGACTTATTGGAGATCCTCGGACAATCTAAGAATCCGAAAGCTGTTCAGCCCCATCTCAAAAAGTGCTTTGATAACATCAAGTCACTCGAGATGATAAAGGTAGGATACCTTACTATTCGTAGAAATTAGCTCTGTTTAAGACAATTTAGCATAGAGATATGTATTAAGTAAACATAAGCCATGGGTAATATCACCAGTAGTTATGATTCATGGTTGTTCTGAAATAATTCACAACTTATGAAGACCTTCTGACACCATAGAGTTATATTTTGAGATTAGAAATGATAGGAAGTTTACAGATGAAAAGAAAAAAAATTTAAATTATCCAGAAATTGGTTTTTAAATTTATTGAAGATATGATTCTCTACAAAAGTAAGTAGGAACATTTGTAGGTGACAGCGTTGAAAAATTGTAAAAAGATAATGGAAAACCTCACGCTGAAAATATAATTAGTATAATCTCAAGATCATACTGTTAGGGATCATTGCCTACACTAAAGTGTTTTTCAATCAAATTCAGCCAAGTTTGAAGTGGGAAGCATCTGGAATGTGGTCGACAGAGGGAGAGTTTGTCGAATATGAGAAGCATGTCTACCTGGAGGGGCTTGTAGAGGTAAGTTTATTCTACCATGTTTTGAAATAGGTCTTTCCCTTCTCACTTTACTAGGGAAAAAAATTTTTGTGGGGCTCAAATTTTTTTAAGCGCCAAAAATCAATTATTTTGTGAACACTGTATTTCTTGGATCAGTAGAACTCAATAAATCTACTGATATTGAAAATTAATGTAAAATTAATCAATTCTAGGACATATGAATTAATGGATATAGTACATTCAAGAACTCCACGAAACAGAAAACTTTCACAAAAATTAATGATTTTGAAGTAAAACCTGAATATATGGATATGAACATCTGAATTTTTTAAATTATTGATTTTCAAGAACTTGAAATTCTGTGAAAGATTCAAGACATGTCTTTCTGAATTCCTTGTTATAAAATGTATGGTAGGAATGATCATATCATACTGTGTTTTCATTGTACAAAAATGAAGTTGTAAGTTGATATGTAAAGTTGGCATTTTTCAACGGATTAAAACAATTTTTTTATGGTTTTACTAAAAGCTTGAAACAAATAAGATGTATGAGTATTTGTTGGCAGGTTTGCCTAAAATGTATTTGTTTGCAATGGTGAAGCAAATGGAAAAATAAAAAAGATAGGAAAAGTTCACTGTGTGACATAATTGTATTTAACAGGCGTGGTTGTGTGACGTAGAGAAGACCATGAGATGGACATTGAAGGATGAACTGAAAAAGTGTCGTGTGTCTCTGAAAAAACACATGACGAAGAGAGACAAATGGATTAAGGAGCATCCAGGCCAGGTAAAAAAGTTACAAGTTGCTGTAATAACAATTTTGTGGTGATCAAAATATGACATTAAAAATACAACTACAAGTTTGCTTTCTACAACATTTGATAAGTTGACGTGTGGTTGTCCATTAATTAAATAAGAGTAAATCCATCTAGTTCATATCTTATCTAGTTAATCTTTGACGAAGTTTTCGAGACCTGTAGTAAAATCTGCAGGTCAGCCCTAACTTTGACTTGAAATGTTACACTACAACTGTTATAACTGTTATATCTTGTTTGTCAACAATGTAAATTTCTCTTTGATTGTTTGTTTTTGTTGTTTACACATCAAATTCAACTGTGAAATATTTGAAACACAAGCAAGACGTGAAGTGATAATCTGGAGTTTTTTTGGGTTTTTTTTTGAGAATTGCTCTTTTTTTTTCAGGTAATTTTATATACATGCAAACATTGATTTATAGATGTAATGTATATGTATCATTAAAATCCAATAAATTGTTTTGTATTTCCAGTTGTGTATAACAGCAAGTCAGATGCAGTGGACAACTGATGTAGAGAGAGCACTCAAACTGACAAGAGACCGCGGGGACAAGAAAGCTCTCAAAACAATGAAACGTAAACAGGTTAGTAATGATGCTTGTCAATGGAATGGCTTCTGTCCAGCAAATTTAACAGGAAATGATGTTTTTCAGAATTTGAAGGTCAAGGTCAACATAACTTTTTATGGAAATTGTCAAATATTGAAATTTATTTGTATGGAACTGAGGTGTTCATGTTCTAGATATTTTGCAGTCTTACAACACATATTTATATGTTTCCTATTATCATCAACTATTTGTAATCTTCTCCTTAGGTTGCCATGTTGAACAAGTTCTCAGAGGCTATTCGTGGAAATCTTTCCAAAATGCAGCGGTTGAAAGTGGTTGCCTTGGTTACCATTGAAGTGCATGCTCGTGACATCATTGAGAAGCTGATTAAGACTAACACATCAGATGAGAATGCATTTGAGTGGCTCAGCCAACTTCGTCTGTACTGGGAAAAGGTTGGTTGAGCAGGAATTGTCTACAATGTAATGCTTATTTGAATCACCTTGTCTGACCATCCGACAGTCTGACCGTCCGACAGTCCAACCATCCGACTGTCAGTCTGTCTGGAATTTTGTGTCAAGATCTATTAAAGTACCGAAGCAATATTTCTCAAACTTTGCATGCTATAACATATAGTTATGCCACTTTTTGTTTAAACTTGATCAAATGCTGAAGCTCATTATAGTCTATAATTTGACATAATAGGTGTTCCAAAACCATTGCCATGGAAACACTTTGGAGGCTTCTGATTGGTCCAGATTATTAGATATTATCTGATTAAAATGAAAATTGGTTTAAAAAAAGTTTAAGGGGATGACAAATACAATGATACCATATTTGGAAAAAATTAAAAGTATTTCCATTTGGTTGCCATGGTGACTTACAATATATTTTCAGTGATAAATTGTTTATATCTCAAAAAAGAAATCTTTTCATTGAAAGAATGTATTAAAGAATGTATTTCCAAGAAATTTGATTTTTATATATCTGTATGGCAGTGAAAATTGGTGTTCCATTTTACCAACATGGTCATCTTAATGATGGTGAAAATATATAAAACTGAAGACTGTTTGCAATGCAGAGATGCCTTTGTTTCACCTGTGGATGTGTTCTGTTTCAGTCTCCCATTGATGACTGTGTTGTCAAACAGACCAACACCCAGTTCCCATACGGATATGAGTACCTGGGTAACTCCGGCCGATTGGTCATCACACCACTGACCGACAGGTGTTACATCACACTGACCACAGCTCTTCACCTCCACAGAGGAGGTAGTCCCAAAGGACCTGCTGGAACTGGTAAAACTGAGACAGTCAAGGACTTGGGCAAATGCCTTGGAATGTACGTCATCGTAGTAAACTGCTCTGAAGGCCTTGACTACAAGTCCATGGGTCGCATGTTCTCAGGTCTGGCACAGGTAAGTAATGTAGATCTACAGTTTTAACAACTCTTTGCTGTTTGGTGGAAAATTTATATTTCCTTATGTCGTATTCAAGCTTGTAGAATACCACATGAAAACATGCAACTTAAATTTTTCAGAAGAAATATATATTTCAGAATTTTCAAGTTGAAACTATTAAAATTTATTTTTGAAGTTTGAATTATGTGGAAATCGAATGCTTGATTCACTTATATCATGTTTAAAAAATTATTGCAGAAAGCAAATTATAAAACATCAAATTATAAATCTGAACATGTGGCATACTTAGTATGTACCTAGTAAATAGCTGGAAAACTTTTCTAATCTGTACCAAGTGTGATACATATATACCTGGTCAATATCATACATTTCTGTTCTGTGATTTGTTTTAAATCAATATTTATTGTTAACATCACTGAACCTGTGTTTTTTTACAGACGGGTGCCTGGGGTTGTTTTGATGAATTTAATCGTATCAACATTGAGGTGTTGTCTGTGGTTGCCCAACAAATCTTGTCCATCCTCAGTGCCTTGGCTGCCGGGTCTTCTCGGTTTGTCTTTGAAGGTCGTGAAATCGACCTGGTGTGGTCGTGTGGTATTTTCATCACTATGAACCCAGGTGAGTTGTTTTTGTGTAGCAGAAGTCAATATATATTACACCCATGCTATTGTGTTGCTTATGTTCATCCATCATATCCTGTCCCGTTACTTCCTGTGCAAAACCAAATTCATACCTTGAAACTATTGCAACTAAATTAGTTGATGTTTCCTCATAGTATCATAACATCATGTTCTACACCTGATCAGATTCTGGTTCACACTTACCCTATAGTATCATAACATAATGTTCTACACCTGATCAGATTCTGGTTCAAACTTACCCTATAGTATCATAACATCATGTTCTACACCTGATCAGATTCTGATTCACACTTACCCTATAGTATCATAACATCATGTTCTACACCTGATCAGATTCTGGTTCACACTTACCCTATAGTATCCTAACATCATGTTCTACACCTGATCAGATTCTGGTTCACACTTACCTCATAGTATCATAACATCATGTTCTACACCTGATCAGATTCTGGTTCACACTTACCCTATAGTAAATCTAACATCATAGAGAGTTTCTATAAGGCATATGTAAGGCAGTTTAGAATGGGATTGAAAGTTGATAAAATTCTACTTAAACTGAACTCAAATTCTACAACAATTTCTAGAAATACAATCAACTCTATGTTGACAAAGTTTTAAAAACAAATAAAAAAAAAAAACCATTGTGCTACAGTAAACAGATCTCGTCAGAACTTGAATATGTCCCTTGTGTTTTGTAACAACTAGCTCATGCCATGTTTACATACAAAAGAAAACTCCATGTTGCCAAAATACTAGCTTTATCACCCACTTGTCTTGTCCTCTATTCCCAGGTTACGCTGGTCGTACTGAACTGCCCGATAACCTGAAGTCCATGTTCCGACCGATCGCTATGGTGGTACCGGACTCCAACCTCATCGCAGAAATCACACTGTTTGGTGAAGGCTTCGGAAACACCAAGGTTGGTATTGGGTATTTGTATAGAGCCAAGCCCCAAGGCCATATCTATTTATATGTACAAACCACCCCCATTTGTAATTTTTGCTGTATATTTATGCATGTGTGGAGAGTTATGTATATTTTGAGTGCCCTGTTCATGCTTATTTTGTCATGTTTTCAGGGTCCATGTTGTGTTTATCATTTCATGCTGTGAGCGTCCTGTCCATGTTTTGGGTGTCCTTATGGCTATATATATTTGTCAAATATTGAGTGCCCTGATCATGTATATTTTGTTTTATGTTGAGTGCCCTGATCATGTATATTTTGTCTTATGTTGAGTGCCCTGATCATGTATATTTTGTCTTATGTTGAGTGCCCTGATCATGTATATTTTGTCTTATGTTGAGTGCCTTGATCATGTATATTTTGTTTTAAGTTGAGTGCCCTGATCATGTATATTTTGTCTTAAGTTGAGTGCCCTGATCATGTATTTTTGTCTTATGTTGAGTGCCCTGATCATGTATATTTTGTTTTATGTTGAGTGCCCTGATCATGTATATTTTGTTTTATGTTGAGTGCCCTGATCATGTATATTTTTTCCTGCAGGCTCTAGCAAAGAAGGTATACACTCTGTACTCTCTGGCTGAGCAGCAGCTGTCCAAACAAGACCACTATGACTTTGGTCTGCGTGCTTTAGTATCTGTCCTCAGATACGCTGGCCGTAAGAAACGAAGCAACCCCAACATGCCTGATGAAGAGGTAGGTCTTCTGGTTTGTAAACTAAAAAGAGACAAAAAGAAATGAAACACGTTCATTATTTTATTGTTCTGTGCTTTTAGTTTTTATTTATTTTTTTTTTTGTTTGTTTATTTTTCATTTAAAATTTTTGGGTCTCATTTGATTACAAATTACTAAATCTACATAAAATTCTCTCATGATTTTGCCAGAAGCACTTGAATAGAAATTTTTTTTGTTAAAATTAAGAAATAATTGTTTTTTTCTCTCTCTCATTTTTAAATATCTTACTCCTGTTGCTCGTGTTTTGAATGCTGAATCTTGTTCTGTTGCTATGTTTGAGACGTTCAGTTAGAAATTGCTGAATTTACCTGTAAAAAAAAATGTTCTCACCAGTTCTAACACCAAATACATAAACAATCTTATCTTAGTGACTACTCTTTAGCAGTGTTTGTTTCAGGGAATGGAATATATTTTTCAGTGATGGTTTTTTAGAAAGCTAGTTTAAAGTGATGTGTTGCAGCAGTGATATGTCAATATGCCCTTTATATTGAATTTTTGGTTTTGATAAAATCCAGGGAGCAGTTAAGAAGTTTGAAAATGAACTTGTTACAGATGAAGAGGTAACAATGATACACACAAAAATATGAAGGTCACGAAAAATTGGGTCAAATTATAGCCAAGTCGAATTTGCGATAATCCTATTCGATTAAGTATTGATTATGAACTTGTATATTAATGATTTGATGTATAAGGTAAAACTCATTTGATCTTCCAGTGAAACATTAAAAACTATATACGTGACATAAACTAGCTGAATTTTATATCTTAATCAAATAATTCTCAAAGATTTGTTCTTTGTCAACTCAGTCAATCAACTGTCATTTTTTATGGGAAACTGCTAGCAGTTAAAGGGAGATAATCTAAAATTAATTTTTTAATGTTGGTTAAAATTTTGGCTGTTAGGACAAAATTTGCACACCTGGTCCAACTCTTTCTTACATAGCACACATAAAAATTGTTTTAAGTGAGCTGAATTCTTTGTTAAGGAAGTTAAATGAATTCCCTTGTCTAGAAAAATCTATAGTAACACTTAATAGTATGAATGGCTGTTAACAGATCAACACCTTTATTTATTGTCACAAACACATTATGAGTACACCCATGTAGCTTTTTTTTTGATTCAGGGCTACCAAATTTATCAAATAAACAACCTTATCTTGGTTTCGTTGACTAACAAATATAAAATTTTTTTTTTAATTTAAAAATGAAAAATATTGGTAGGTTGAAACTTTCAGGAAAAAAAAAAGAACTTGAGTATTTTTGTGTGTTGTATCTATACAAAGCAAATGATAGCACTATTATTTTATCTATATTACATGTTTAGTAATAATATTTACGTCATATTTAAATTTCATAAAAAAAAAAGCTAGGTAGTGTGAATTTGCTAGAATATTCAACATATTTCTGATAGAATACCTTCTTGTCTTAAAATCTGGGGAAAAACGTTATAAATTGAATTTTAATATTGCAGAAAATGACAGCAATTTCAAGTTATCACCATGGACAGATAAATTCATTACCAAAATCTGGATCTGTAACCTTTTAATTACAGAGTTATTGCCCTTTATAAAAAAATTATGTCCAGAACATAATACTTTGCCTACTGTTAACCAAGGATCATGAAACTTATTGGATACATTGAGCATACTAAGACACTAAGATGCTCAACCCATCAGTAACAAAATTATTTCCCTTTAAATATCTTCTCCAGAGTATAACTTTGCTTACACTTAAAGTAGGACTATGAAACTTGGTGTATACATTGGTCATACTAAGAGAATGTGCAGTATACCAGATTCAGAGCCTGCAACCCCTTAATTACAGAATTATGTTAAAATTTTGTGTCCTGGAAAGTTGTTTTCAGGGAGCATTCATTAGTTTCATTGTTGCCCTTGTTTGATTCAGTGATGCTTGTAAGTAAATTGATATACTTTTCATTGTTACTGGCATGGAAGGCTAGAAAGGACTGGTTAGTGGTCAGATGCATGCTGAATATCTTTGTCATAACTGTTCCATGCTTACTTTAGCTGAAAAAACCCTGCTAAATAAGGAATTGCAGTACATAAAAAATGATCTCATCTTGTCAATGTAACATTGACAGAAAAGCTGCACATAACAAAGTTGTTGTCCATGAAACACATTTGAGTGTTGATTCAATATAATTCTCATCTTGCTTCTTCATTAAAGTTATGTATGTGCTAGCTAAATATAGCTCAAGGATCTAGGTATAGTGTCTGAAATTGTCAGTACAGAGTATGGAACATTGATGTCAGCTAAAGACAACTCAATGTCCTGATTCGGATTACAGAACATAGATGTGGATTTTATATGTACTATGAAAGCCATTAGTATTGTGATCATGCTTGCTGATGGGGAGTTCAAGGTCAAGGTCAACTTCATAATGTCAACAATCTGGTAGCAATGTTTCTTGACAACAGTTTATGTTAGAATACAAGTACTTGAATTAGGTATACCTTTTACAAGTTCAAGGTCAATGTTTTTTGTAAAGTTTACTCTGTTATGCCATACTGATATGCCAGTCTCTGAGTACAGTCAGTACTTTGATGTAGATAAGCTAGTTATTGTTGCCGAATTTTTAAATGTTTGCTTTTTAAAATAAAAGACAAGACCATTTATTCTGAGAGTTTTCTGATGGTCAGGAATGTATCTCTAGTTTTTTGAATGTTAGAAAAGATTTTAAATTTTGAATTCAGAAAACAACTACTGATGATATAGTAATTAAAAGATATGAAGATCCGAGGTGATGATTTGTTTTGTTTCTAACCAAAAATAAATCCATTTCTGGTAATAAGCCCACCCATATTTCTGTACACAGTAGAATTACCAACAATTGTATTGTTGTGTAATATAAGTCTCCGCTTGTCTATGAGTCAAATGTTAGCCCACTGGGCTTATTACAGGATATAAACGCTTTACACAGTACCAACCCATTTTTACAGTTGCTGCTGCTGTCTATGAAGGACATGAATGTTGCAAAGATGACTGCAGTAGATCTGCCATTGTTTAACGGAATCATGTCCGACCTGTTTCCAGGAATAGAAACACCAGCTATTGACTACAGCAAGGTAAGTACAGGGCAACTGAAGGCTTGGAGATTAGTCTCTAGCAAATTTAAAAAAGAATTAGGGACAAAAATGAAATTTGATACAGAAAAAAAAGATAATTTTACATATATTTTCAACCATATTGATAGAAAATTCCACCCACGAAGTGTGTAAATATAAAATTCTATTTAATCACACAATGTTGATCAGTGATGCCTTTTGTCTGCAGATGAAGAATGCTATCACAGCAGAACTGAAAGAGAATCAACTTCAGTGTAACAATCACACCATCACCAAAATCCTCCAGCTATATGAGACAAAGACTTCGCGTCATTCCGTCATGATCGTTGGATCAACGCAGTCAGGGAAGACAGTTGCATGGCGCATGTTACAAGGGACTTTGTCTCGTCTCAACAAAGAAAAAGACAGCGGTTTTCAGATTGTCAAGGTAGAGCTTATATTAAATGAAAATTCCAGCCTCAGGTTAGAAAAAATTGTGCATAAAATGTTTAATTGTTTTACTGAAAATAAAACAGCACTGGAAATTTCTATATTTTTTATCTGAATTTTATCAAATTTACATCGAATAATTACATCTACATTTTATGTGGTAACCTTTTTAAAACAATCTTCCTGCAAATTATTAGAGTATTAGACCATCAACTGTTTTAAAATGCTGCTTGCTTTATATTTCAACATTCTTGTTGTAGGAGTACCCAATCAACCCAAAATCGCTCTCCCTGGGGGAACTCTATGGTGAGTTTGACCTCAACACCAATGAGTGGACTGATGGCGTACTATCCAGTGTTATGAGACAAACCTGTGCTGGTAAGTACTGACACATATCACTACACTTACAGGTAGCTTATTCAACATATATATTAATTATATTATTATTTAACAAAATACTAGGAGAGATCAAGACTTTTGCAGAAAATTATAAAATTATACGAAACGGAAAATAGTGGCCATTCTTCCGGGTAGGATTCTATAGATACAAGATTGTATTGTCACACTCTCATTTTCTAATTTCTTTTGGACAAACATGCTAGCATCACATAGCAAATGGAGAGAGAAACAATGGGCTCTTCCACAAAAATCTAATTATGTTTTGTTTCATGTCATGAAAGCGCCTTGATCAACAGTCTCAGTTCCTGCTTAAAACTGACTTTATTCAAGCTCCTTGAATGAATTTATATAAAACATTAAGATTACAGAGATCGGTAACACTAAATGCTGACAAGAAATTACTTCAGTACTAAACCCTACAAGACTATGATACATAAATGACTACATATTATTTCAGATGAGCGCCCAGATGAGAAATGGCTTGTTTTTGATGGCCCAGTTGATACACTTTGGATTGAGAGTATGAACTCTGTAATGGACGACAACAAGATCTTGACCCTGATTAACGGGGAGCGTATTTCTATGCCGGAACAAGTGTCACTTCTATTTGAAGTGGAAGACTTGGCAGTTGCTTCCCCTGCAACAGTATCACGCTGTGGAATGGTGTATGCAGACTACAATGACAATGGCTGGGAGCCATTTGTAGAGTCCTGGCTGGAGAAGAAGAAGGAGAAGAAGGTTTGAGAAAACAATTGTTGTTCTGAAAAAAATAATTGAGCACATCTATATATAAGTTTATCTTGTATTCGTAAAATTTTATTGATTTTGTTGGTGATCTCCATCATAAAGAGAAATATTTTATGTCATTATGCAGTATAAAATTTGATACTCATTAGTATGCTTGATGACTTAATTGTTATCAACTTGGTTCTCATTCGAGCATGTTACTTCTTTGGATTGATCTGGACTTATATGTGTTATTGATAAAGCAGAAGACACTTACCCTTTCAGAACACCTGGTCTTATTATCTTTTTCCAGGATTTTCATATGATTCCTGTTCACATTTTGGCCCTGTTTCACAGATCCTTAGTGTGAATTGGGATTTTGTAAGTGTGTCAAATTTCTCTTGTCTACTATTTGTAATCATGTTTTATTTTGATTTTACAGCAATTGGTTGAAGAGTTGCGTCGCCTGTTTGACAAGTACTTGGTGAAGATCCTGGAGTTCAAACGCCAGAACTGTCATGATTTAATACCAATTGCTCAGCTTAATGGAGTGACCTCCCTTTGTAAACTCTTCGACTCTTTGGGAACACCGGAAAATGGCGTAAGTTTTGAAATCTCCAGTTTTTAGCTATTTAAAATCTTTTATAAAACTTTTTTATCATTATGTAATCACAGGCATTGCCTCTTAAGTTTTGGGGAAGAGGTGGAGAGTATGTTGGAATAGATGTGTATATTTGTCTTTCTGTAGTTGATAATGTGTCGGAAGTGATATGCCCAAGTGACCCTCTCAACCCAATCTTATGCCACGCCATCCAGGAGCATATAGGCTTTTCTGATCTGTTTATATTCTCAGATCAATTCATAAACATAGATGTGATGAGTACCTGGGTACTAGAAATTCTCATGTGTCAATTATCTTATACTTGTCATCTAAGTGTAAGTGTTTCTCATAAAAAGTTGTACTTTATTTTTCTCAATAGTTAATCTCTTTAAAAAAGCATCATACAATAGCTATTCAGAGTAGAACTCTGATGTGCATGGGTGAAACAATGTCTAGAGGTTGACAGACACATGAAAAAAAAATAAGTGAAAGAAATCAACCAATATTTCTATATACTTTTTCAAACTATTTTTATAAAACTTGTTACTGTTGTTTAATATCAGGTTGACCACAATGATGCTGAAAACTTTGTGAGGATGGTGGAGCTCTGGTTCCAGTTCTGTATGATCTGGTCAATCTGTGCGTCTGTAGATGAAGAAGGACGAAAGAAGATAGACAATTACATCCGAGAAATGGAGGGGACCTTCCCCAACAAAGACACCATCTATGAATATTGTGTTGACCCGAAGGGAAAAACCTGGGTTCACTGGGAGGAGAGGCTCAGAGGTGGCTTTAAATATGCCCCAGGGTAAGTTGATATGTCTCAAGGAAAAAACCATGATCTGTAGGGCAGAGAGAGAGAATGACTCAAGGAAGATACCATGTTCTGTAGGGCAGAGAGGGAGAATATCTCAAGGAAGATACCATGTTCTGTAGGGCAGAGAGAGAGAATATCTCAAGGAAGATACCATGTTCTGTAGGGCAGAGAGAGTGAATATCTCAAGGAAGATACCATGTTCTGTAGGGCAGAGAGAGAGAATATCTCAAGGAAGGTACCATGTTCTGTAGGACAGAGAGAATGACTCAAGGAAGATACCATGTTCTGTAGGGCAGAGAGAGAGAATATCTCAAGGAAGATACCATGTTCTGTAGGGCAGAGAGAGTGAATATCTCAAGGAAGATACCATGTTCTGTAGGGCAGACAGAGAGAATATCTCAAGGAAGATACCATGTTCTGTAGGGCAGAGAGAGAGAATATCTCAAGGAAGATACCATGTTCTGTAGGGCAGAGAGAGAATGATCTCAAGGAAGATACCATGTTCTGTAGAAGATACCATGCTGTAGGGCAGAGAGAGAGAATATCTCAAGGAACATACCATGTTCTGTAGGGCAGAGAGGGAGAATATCTCAAGGAAGATACCATGTTCTGTAGGGCAGAGAGAGAGAGAGAATATCTCAGAGAGAAGATCTCAAGGAAGATACCATGTTCTGTAGGGCAGAGAGAGAGAGAATATACCATGTTCTCAGAGAGAAGGAAGATACCATGTTCTGTAGGGCAGAGAGAGAGAATATCTCAAGAAGATACCATGTTCTGTAGGGCAGAGAGAGAGAATATCTCAAGGAGGATACCATGTTCTGTAGGGCAGAGAGAGAGGATACCATGTTCTGTAGGGCAGAGAGAGAGAATATCTCAAGGAAGGTACCATGTTCTGTAGGGCAGAGAGAGAGAATATCTCAAGGAAGATACAATGTTCTGTAGGGCAGACAGAGAGAATATCTATCTCAAGAGAGAGAAATGACTCAAGGAAGGTACAATGTTCTGTAGGGCAGAGAGAGAGAATATCTCAAGGAAGATACCATGTTCTGTAGGGCAGAGAGAGAGAATATCTCAAGGAAGATATCTCAAGGAAGATACCATGTTCTGTAGGGCAGAGAGAGAGAATATCTCAAGGAAGATACCATGTTCTGTAGGGCAGAGAGAGAGAATATCTCAAGGAAGATACCATGTTCTGTAGGGCAGAGAGAGAGAATATCTCAAGGAAGATACCATGTTCTGTAGGGCAGAGAGAGAGAATATCTCAGAGAGAGGAAGGATACCATGTTCTGTAGCAGAGAGAATATCTCAAGAAGATACCATGTTCTGTAGGGCAGAGAGAGAATATCTCAAGGAAGATACCATGTTCTGTAGGGCAGAGAGAGAGAATATCTCAAGGAAGATACCATGTTCTGTAGGGCAAGGAAGATACCATGTTCTGTAGGGCAGAGAGAGAGAGAGAGAATATCTCAAGGAAGATACCATGTTCTGTAGGGCAGAGAGAGAGAATATCTCAAGGAAGGTACCATGTTCTGTAGGGCAGCAGAGAGAGAGAATATCTCAGAGAGAGAGAAGATACCATGTTCTGTAGGGCAGAGAGAGAGATAATGTTCTGTAGGGCAGAGAGAGAGAATATCTCAAGGAAGATAATGTTCTGTAGGGCAGAGAGAGAGAATATCTCTGTCAAGGAAGGCAGAGAGAGAGAGAATATCTCAAGGAAGATACCATGTTCTGTAGGGCAGAGAGAGAGAGAGAAATCAGAGAGAGAGGAAGATACCATGTTCTGTAGGGCAGAGAGAGAGAATATCTCAAGGATACCATGTTCTGTAGGGCAGAGAGAGAGAGAGAGAGAATATCTCAAGGAAGATACAGAGAGATGTTCTGTAGGGCAGAGAGAGAGAATATCTCAAGGAATACCATGTTCTGTAGGGCAGAGAGAGAAGGAAGATACCATGTTCTGTAGGGCAGAGAGAGAGAATATCAGAGAGAGAGAATATCTCAAGGAAGATACCATGTTCTGTAGGGCAGAGAGAGAGAATATCTCAAGGAAGATACCATGTTCTGTAGGGCAGAGAGAGAGAATATCTCAAGGAAGATACCATGTTCTGTAGGGCAGAGAGAGAGAATATCTCAAGGAAGATACCATGTTCTGTAGGGCAGAGAGAGAGAATATCTCAAGGAAGAGATACCATGTTCTGTAGGGCAGAGAGAGAGAATATCTCAAGGAAGATACCATGTTCTGTAGGGCAGAGAGAGAGAATATCTCAAGGAAGATACCATGTTCTGTAGGGCAGAGAGAGAGAATATCTCAAGGAAGATACCATGTTCTGTAGGGCAGAGAGAGAGAATATCTCAAGGAAGATACCATGTTCTGTAGGGCAGACAGAGAGAATATCTCAAGGAAGATACCATGTTCTGTAGGGCAGAGAGAGAGAATATCTCAAGGAAGATACCATGTTCTGTAGGGCAGAGAGAGAGAATATCTCAAGGAAGATACCATGTTCTGTAGGGCAGAGAGAGAGAATATCTCAAGGAAGATACCATGTTCTGTAGGGCAGCAGAGAGAGAGAATGTTCTGTAGGGCAGAGAGAGAAGGAAGATACCATGTTCTGTAGGGCAGAGAGAGAGAATATCTCAAGGAAGATACCATGTTCTGTAGGGCAGAGAGAGAGAATATCTCAAGGAAGATACCATGTTCTGTAGGGCAGAGAGAGAGAATATCTCAAGGAAGATACCATGTTCTGTAGGGCAGAGAGAGAGAATATCTCAAGGAAGATACCATGTTCTGTAGGGCAGAGAGAGAGAATATCTCAAGGAAGATACCATGTTCTGTAGGGCAGAGAGAGAGAATATCTCAAGGAAGGTACCATGTTCTGTAGGGCAGAGAGAGAGAATATCTCAAGGAAGATACCATGTTCTGTAGGGCAGAGAGAGAGAATATCTCAAGGAAGATACCATGTTCTGTAGGGCAGAGAGAGAGAATATCTCAAGGAAGATACCATGTTCTGTAGGGAAGACACACAGAATATCTCAAGGAAGATACCATGTTCTGTAGGGCAGAGAGAGTGAATATCTCAAGGAAGATACCATGTTCTGTAGGGCAGAGAGAGAGAATATCTCAAGGAAGATACCATGTTCTGTAGGGCAGAGAGAGAAATGACTCAAGGAAGGTACAATGTTCTGTAGGGCAGAGAGAGAGAATATCTCAAGGAAGATACCATGTTCTGTAGGGCAGAGAGAGAGAATATCTCAAGGAAGATACCATGTTCTGTAGGGCAGAGAGAGAAATGACTCAAGGAAGGTACAATGTTCTGTAGGGCAGAGAGAGTGAATATCTCAAGGAAGGTACCATGTTCTGTAGGGCAGAGAGAGTGAATATCTCAAGGAAGATACCATGTTCTGTAGGGCAGAGAGAGAGAATATCTCAAGGAAGATACCATGTTCTGTAGGGCAGAGAGAGAGAATATCTCAAGGAAGATACCATGTTCTGTAGGGCAGAGAGAGAGAATATCTCAAGGAAAATGACTCAAGGAAGATACCATGTTCTGTAGGGCAGAGAGAGAGAATATCTCAAGGAAGATACCATGTTCTGTAGGGCAGAGAGAGTGAATATCTCAAGGAAGATACTATGTTCTGTAGGGCAGAGAGAGAAATGACTCAAGGAAGGTACCATGTTCTGTAGGGCAGAGAGAGAGAAAGGAAGGTCTCATATTCCCCAATGTATGGGTTGTGTTCTGAGGAGGATTGGTTGGAGCGTCGATTTGGATGTTGTTGAAGGGATGTTGAGTGATGTTGGGAGGGAGGGAATATGGAGGTGCTGTAGTGGTGGTGTAAGATTCTTGGAAATGCTGTCTGGTGGAGTGTTTTTTTATGATGTTTGCGAAGAGGATGTTATTGGCAAGGGAAGAGATTTATGAAGGAGGAAATAGTGTTGTTGTGGGAAGTGGCTGTTGTTGGGGATGGTTTGGAGAGAAAATGTTTTGGGATGAGTGTGTTGTTGCAAAATGTGAGAGTAGACAGTAATAAAGTATCCAAGGATACCAAAAAGATTCATGGGAGTAGATTATTGGGTGGGGATTCTTTAAGGGGATAAAGTAATTATCTTATATAGAAACATTAGAGAACTATACAAAATGTGTTTTTGTGTAACAGGACTCCATTCTATAAGCTGATCGTCCCGACTGTGGACACAGTTCGCTACCAATACCTTGTGTCCACACTGATCCGGTCCTTCAATCCTGTCATGCTGGTGGGTCCCGTGGGAACTGGCAAGACCTCGGTGGTAGAGAACACCCTGGGAAAAGTAGATTCCAAGACCTACAGTCTTCTGACTGTCAATATGTCAGCCCAGGTATGTATCAGGTGTTTTTTGTGATCAAAAGCTGTATTGTGAACATGATTAAAGTTCTGTACAAGCATACCTCAATCATTGTCATCTTTACTTCTATTTTCATTATTTTGGAAGGAAAATTGAAACTATGAAAAAGAAACAGATGACCTGAAGATAATTTGATACAGAAGTCCATAATCTGATTTTCGACTTTAGTGGAAAATATGTTCTTAAAGTCAAAACAAAAAACTTTGAAATCATTTTTCTTGAATTCAGTACAAATATTGATTTGGCTTTCAAACAGACAAGTTCCAACCAAGTTCAGGACATCATAGAGAGCAGGGTGGAGAAACGTACCAAAGGGGTATATGTACCAATCGGGGGGAAGAAGCTCCTCACCTTCATGGACGACTTCAACATGCCAGCCAAGGATACGTTTGGTTCCCAGCCTCCACTAGAGCTGATGAAACTGTGGCTTGATTACGGCTTCTGGTATGACCGTCTCAAGCAGACTATCAAATCAATCAAGGACATGTTCCTGCTGGCAGCCATGGGGCCACCTGGTGGTGGTAGGATGGTCATCTCACGACGTCTTCAAAGTCGATTTAACCTGATCAACATGACTTTCCCACAGGTATTTATAGACATTACATTATCATCTTTGAAAACAAAAAACAAACTTATTTCTATAAATCCCCTTTCCTTGTTTTACTTACTGTAAATTTTAATTTTGTTCTTGATATATAAACTCTAAAGCCCTTCATGATGCCAAAATTAAAAAAAAGAAAAGAAAAAAAAACCTCAAACAGATATTGATCTCATTATTTACCATCTCATTAAGAGCCTTCATCTATTTTCACATGGCTCAAATATCACGGTTTTACAAAAGTATGCTTTTTCGTTGGCAGATGATTTTATGGTTAAATCATGATTACAAAATCCACAGGTACTATAACCTATATCTGTCTTTATTTTCTAAAGATATAACTTAGGGGATTAAGAGTAATTGCAAATTCAAAGAAATTTAAATAAAAAAACCTTGAAAATTAATGATTTTAGATTTTAGAAATCCCGCTCACAATTGACACAGTGTGGCTTTTATTTTACGAAGTTGAATTTTGTCCTTTCATGTTTTCGTAGGAGTCGCAGATCAAGAGAATATTTGGATCAATGATCAACCAGAAATTACAGGACTTTGAGGAAGATGTGAAGCCAATCGGTGATGTACTTACCCAAGCAACCATTGAGATGTATCAAGCTGTTGTTTCCAAGTTCCTCCCGACTCCAACCAAGATCCACTACCTGTTCAACCTCCGAGATATTTCCAAGGTTCAGGAAACTACTGCTTATATCTAAACCATATATTCTTCGTAAAAGATGTTTAATATACATTTAGGCATTGGTTTTAAAATAATTGAATTTGCTGTCTGTTTTTTTGTGCATGCATACATTCATTGCACAAAACTTTTGTATGAATTCTATCATGAGCCCCTCTGGGTCAAAGGTCACACTTTTGAAATAAGAGATTTATAGGAAGGAGGGTGTATATGTGAGCCCCTGCATGTTCACTTTGTTTCATTCTCAGTATTTCTCTGAAAAGTGAAACAGAGACAATGGTGTTGTCAGTAACAGGTATCATTAAATCTGTTCCTCATAAGAAATTTGTCTGAATCTTTGTAGGATTAAAGTTTTAATTGTACAATGGTAACGTTACAGATATTCCAAGGTCTATTGAGGGCACACAAGGACTTCCATGATACAAAGAATGCTATGACAAGGCTCTGGATCCATGAGTGTTTCAGGTAAAAAACAAATTACTTCAGGTAAAACATACAGATATTGTGTTGGTCTGCTTCAGGTAAAACATACAGATATTGTGTTGGTCTGCTTCAGGTAAAACATACAGATATTGTGTTTGTCTGCTTCTGTTAAAAAAGACTTAACAACTTCCAGGGTATTATCCAAGCTGAATTCATACAATGCATTGCTATATATACACACCAGTAACTGTACGTTAGATTAAAAAACTTCCTAGCTTTAAGATAGTTTTTAACATTTTAAGTACCTGGTGGTACCCTTCAAACTATCAAAGATAAAAAACCTGATAATTTGCTATTTGTGTTGATAGAGTGTTCTCTGACCGTCTTGTTGAGGAAAAGGACCACGAGGCTTTTATCACCATCCTTACAGAGAAACTGGGGACAATGTTTGACCAGACCTATCACAACATCTGTCCTAACAAACAGCCTCCTATATTTGGTATGGTGATAAATAGATAAGATTGACTTGAATGATGATTGGATCTGTTATCATATATATATTTCATTTCTGACTCAAAGTCAGGGGTGGGCTTATTAAAGGACAGTAAGAAAATGCATTGACAGTCTGTATTCAGGTTTGTGTGAAAGTCTGTAAACCCCATATAATGTTGTACATATTACTAGTAAATCTACCTGTATTAGTGGAAGGGAAGTAACTCTGTAATGTAGTATGTGGGCAAATTATCTCCCCTGCCCATACTTGATCAATGAAGACTCTCTACATTATCCATTATGATAGAGATTTTTTAACAGAAAAACCTGGAAATTTTCTTAATACTCTGACTCTTTATGTGATCTGATCAGTGATTGGGTGAATATGTTATGATTTGATTGATTGACAGGTAAGCATGTGATTTAATTGGTTAACAGATGATTTTATATGTAATTTAATTGGTTGACAGGTGACTATATGAATCCAGACTGTGTGTATGAGGATATAGTAGACATTGTAAACCTCAAGAAACACATGATGGACTTACTTGAGGAGTATAACAGCACACCTGGTGTAGTCAACATGGACCTCGTGCTCTTCAGGGATGCCATAGAGCATGGTAAGTCACATGCCCTGGACTTTCATCTGATAAAGCTGAAGGGAGGATATTTACAAAGTTTTGTGTCAATATACGCTTCCCTTAATATTTATTTCTGAGCACTACTGGGTTAAATAACAATCCCATTCCATGTTGTTTTTGTATTTTAGTGTCCAAGGTGGTGCGCGTTATACGACAGCCTCGCGGGAACATGTTGCTGGTGGGCGTCGGTGGTAGTGGGCGACAGAGCTTGACCAGACTGGCAGCCAGCATTTGTGAATTTACCATTTTCCAGATAGAAGTCACTAAACTATATCGCAAACAGGAGTTTAGGGACGGTAAGATTTTTAGTTTGATCTGACAGAAGTTTGGGTATCCAAAATTTTGTTTATTAAACAGGAGCCAATGGATGATGTTTTGTTGTGATATCAGTTTGATTAAAGAGAAAATAAGGGATGAAAAAATTTTGAGTGTTTTGTTAAAAAAAAATTCGATATTCAGTTAAATTGCCGAGGTTAGATCTGAGGTATAACTCCATAATAAAAGACAACATATTTCTGAAAATTATTGTAGTAACAAATTTTGGCATTAATTAATACTACACATTGTAATGAAGAACTTGATACACCATACCATAATGAATGGCGTGTAAATTGTATGACAGAATGGATGATGTATTCTGACTGGGATATGGCTGATATATAGTGTGAACAGTGATGAGCGGTGATTGGCAATATGTGGCATGTGTTAGCTTTCTTTCTCATTTGAAATATTTTTCTCTAGCCAAAAAAAGGTACTTTTAACATGTGATATCACCATTAGCAAGGGAGACAATTTCTGTCATCCTTGTTCTTTTTTATGTAGGTTGCTGAAGTCAATAATCCTGTTTTAGAAAAGTTACAAAAGATTTCATATCAATTACTGGTAACCAATTAATGAGTTGCAAAAATTCTTTGTCCAGAAGTTGAAGTTGGTTTTCTCTAGATCAGTTGGACTAATCTTTGAACATGATTTCAAATTTCAGATTTGAAACGACTTTACTGGCAGGCAGGTGTTGATAATAAACCAACAGTGTTTATATTCAATGACACTCAGGTAGTTGAGGAAGGGTTCCTCGAGGATATAAACAACATCCTCAGCAGTGGTGAGGTGCCAAACCTCTACAAGCCAGATGAGTTCGAGGAGGTATGTTGGCGTAGATCTGTGTGGAAGTAGCTTAACTGGGCAAAGCTTTATGGCTAATAAAAGATATTCTTATGATGATTTTATACATTTCATCCCCTGCTCAGCAGAAAGTGGAAGGATAATAATTTTTTTTCATTTATCTATCTAATTACCAGGCTTGGAATTCTTAACTTAACTGACAGGAACTTTTTCCTGCAAGTCTCATATACAGTAATGGATTTTAATAAGAACTGGTCTGGAACATCCTTTGGTGAAGGGTTTTCCAGTTTTGTAGAAAAGGAGGGTATATCCTCCTTGTTGGTTAGAGGATGGGACCCTGTAGGGGAAACAGAGGTAAATGTTAAAACTCTTATGTTTTTGATACTGTGATCATAATTTTATGTACTGAAATAATTACCATTCTGATTGAAGCCACAATTCATCTTTAAACAATTTTTCTTAGAAAAATATAGTGACATTGTATAGCGATTTTTGTTCATAATTGCAGTTTGTCTAACTCCTTGATAAAATGTTCTTTTGAGTTTGATGTGGAGCTCTAAATGTTATAACTAATTTTGTTTGTGTACTGTAATTTGTGTTTTAAATATAGATAGGATCAGTTTATTAATTGAGATTTAGAAATGCTTAACTAGGTAACTAAATTTTAAAGAAACTGAATGTGATTAATCTAACTGGAAATGCAACTATTCTATTCAGATTTCTGGTTTGAAATTGACAACTATCCTGTTTCCCTTAAAAATGACATAATGAACTGGTCCAGTTGACCAGTCTATTTGTGATACAAAGGGTGCGAGAACTTACTATCTTGTGCTTGATAATGGATTTTGTAGGATGTTTGTGTGATTTGTTAAAAAGCCGGTAGATTTGCTTTGTGGTGATGCTGTAACTGCTGTAGATTGGTGATGTGTATTTTGAAATATCTGGACTCTTGTTGGTCAGCGATGAACACTTTTCTCTGGTTCTTGTGCAGACTAGTGTAGAATTCTGTTATAAATTTCCCTGATAACAAGTATTCCTGTCATTCTGTGATAAAAGATACTTTAGATTTAAATGAAATGTTTTTTTATGTCAACGTTAACACCCATTCTCAAATTTCAGATATGGTGTTGAGATAATTTTTTTCAAAAATTTTAAATATTTATTAGATCTGCAAACATTCAACTCAAGTCAGGACAAAAATCTGAGATTAGGATGACTGTGGTTCATGTCTTTGGAATAAAAAAATAATCAGGAAAAACTCAAGTCAAGTTCCCATAAAAAAGAAATTTTTGAAAAGCAGAAAATTTTAAGTCAGATAAGTGAGATTCTGGTCCACGACACAGTATTATATAATCTACAGTCTGCTAGTATGATAAAATGTTTATCAGCAACACCATCAAGTGTCCATCTAACATCTCCAGGAGACGTGATTCCTGTGTTATACCCTGGATACCATATTGTTATAGTACAGATCTACTGCCTGTTACAACACTGCCCTCTAACACATCAGAAATCAGGGGAAGATAACTCACACTGATTCTTAATACAGGATTTAATTTTTCATGAACAGTGTCTGAAAAATTATTCACAAAATCAAAAAGTTTAAAGAAAACTCCACTTCAATGTTACCACAGGACACCTAGATGTTACCACAGGATATATCTAGATTTTACCACATATTATATCTAGATTTTACCACAGAATATATCTAGATTTTACCACAGAATATATCTAGATTTTACCACAGATTATATCTAGATTTTACCACAGAATATATCTAGATTTCACCACAGAATATATCTAGTTTTTACCACAGATTATATCTAGATTTTACCACAGAATATATCTAGATTTTACCACTGATTATATCTAGATTTTACCACAGAATATATCTAGATTTTACCACAGAATATATCTAGATTTTACCACAGATTATATCTAGATTTTACCACAGATTATATCTAGATTTTACCTCAGAACATATCTAGATATTACTACAGAATACTTAGATGTTACAACAGGACACTTAGATGTTACCACAGATTAAATCTAGATGTTACCACAGGATATATCTAGATGTTACCACAGAACATATCTAGATATTACTACAGAATACTTAGATGTTACAACAGGTCACTTAGATGTTACCACAGATTAAATCTAGATGTTACCACAGAATATATCTAGATGTTACCACAGAACATATCTAGATATTACTACAGAATACTTAGATGTTACCACAGAATATATCTAGATGTTACTGCAGAACATATTAAGGTATTACTACAGAATACCAAAGCATTACAACAGTATATAAAGATGTTACCACTGCACATATTTAGATGTTACCACAGAACATATTTAGATGTTACCACAGAACACAAATCTGTTGCTGAAGAATCAGTATATTAATACTATTAACAGTGGTCCCCTGATGGCTGACTTTGGGCGTGATGTAACAGGCTACAGAGGTATACAATCTTTGTCATCAAACACTTGGTGTACATTGTAGTAGCCACACTAAGTCAGGCTAACTTATCAATGACATATGTGCAGCTTGTGTTTGATATTATCATTGCCTAGGTGCGAACGGCTCTGAGTGACATTGTCAAAAAAGAAGGAATCGATGATAGCCCTCAGAGTGTGTTTGCATTCCTCATTTCCCGAGTGAGAGCCAACCTCCATGTGGTCCTGTGTATGAGTCCTGTAGGAGAGCCTTTCAGGTAAGGTAGACAACTCAGAATCAAGGTAGACAATTCCAACAGATGGCAGACAGTTGGTCAGTTACAGAGTAGAAAATTTGGGTAAAGGTGGACAGTTGATAAAAGTTTAGCTAAAATGGAGATAGCTCTGAGTATAAAATAAACAATACAAAAATTGAAGCTTGGCAACTCAATACAGGGCTGACATCTCAGAATATAACTCACAATACAAGGTAGACAACTCTAAATAAAAGATAGACAACTCAGAATATAAGGCAGTCAATTCATGATACAAGGTAGACAACTCAGAATACAAGGTAGACAACTCAAAATAAAAGATAGACAACTCAGAATATAAGGCAGTCAATTCAGAATACAAGGTAGACAACAGAGAATACAAGGTAGACAACTCAGTATACAAGGTAGACAACTCAGAATACAAGGTAGACAACTTAGAATACAAGGTAGACAACTCAGTATACAAGGTAGACAACTCAGAATACAAGGTAGACAACTTAGAATACAAGGTAGACAACTCAGAATACAAGGTAGACAACTCAGAATACAAGGTAGACAACTGAGAATTCAAGGTAGACTACTCAGTATATCTATCAGACAACTCAGAAAACAAAGCAGACAACTCAGAATACAAGGTAGACAACTTAGAATACAAGGCAGTCAACTCAGTTTGAGTGACAGACAATTCACTTTCTGGTACAACATATAATATGTAGTTACATAAATAACTTGTACAAGAAATAGAGATGTCAGAGGTACACAATTTGAGTGACAGGCATGGGAGGTAACTCAGGTCTGAAACATCTATCTAAATTCTACATTATTTTGAAGATAATGTACTCATGAGTGCTCTTAGATTTTGGGTTTATAATTGGAAAATATTTCAATGGTAAATAATAAATGCTTAAATCAAAGGAAAAAACAGGAATTTTTTCATAATAATTTGCTACATCGAAAATTACACTCAAACACTTTTTGAAAGTTTGAAGAGAAATTACAATACATAAAAGAAAATGTACCACAAATGACTTAAAACTAAAAGAAAAGGATAAATTAATTGTAATTTTAATGCAAATGAAACAAATATGATGTAATTGTTGTTGAATGCCATGTATGATTCGTACATATTTGGGTTTTCTAGGAATCGTATGCGTATGTACCCTGCATTTGTCAACTGTACAACAATCGACTGGTTTAGTGAGTGGCCACAGGACGCTTTACTGGAAGTTGCCGACAAATACCTGGCAGAGATCAACCTGGGTGGTGAAGATGAGGTAAGGTGCCGGAACACGAAATTAGTTACCTACCTGTTGTGTTGATGGGAGTAGTCTCCCTTCAATGAGGTCTGTCCATATCCTATTAAGTATCTGAGATTAAGTAGATAACAGTGGGATATTAATATTAATTGTGCGTGCTAACAGTATGATCAGTTACTAAAACAAGATCTAATGATAAACAGCTCGTTTCATCAACAATTTCTTCAAGCGACATATTAATGTTGCCTTTTGTTTATTGTCATCCAACTTCCCTTGTGGCTACAGATGGTCCAAAATTGTGAATTATACAGTTGAACTTATCCCAAGGGTTTAAGGAGAGAGTGCAAAAGGGTCAACTTCATTGAAATATGAATGATTTCTTGAGGCCAAGATTTGGTAGAATCAAATACTCTTCATGGATGAATTGACCTTAAGGTACTTTATAAAAAATATTACCTCCATTTGTACAAGAAAAAAATCTTTGAGGACATGGAATGATACAGGATGATGTGACCCTGATCCACACCATAGTTCATAGGGCAAGGGCAGAGGAGGTCAAATGAACTTAAACTGGAGCTTTCTTCACTTATATACATCAGTACTAGATTTATACAATAAGGTAGTTGTTTTGATTTAAACAGTCCTCAAGGTACATATTTATAACTGTTTATATAGCATTTTCTTGGCGTAAGCACTTTCTACATTTGAATTTCATACACTTCAAGATATTATACTTTGTTTACGTCCTGTCACTACAACGAAATAGTTCATCAAAGCCAGATGACCATGAAGACTTTTGGGCCTCTTGTTCAAGTAATTTAGTATACATTCAAAAGTTTTTTTTTTTAAAAATCGTATCCTAAACGATAGTATCTCAAAATTTTTGAAAACTTTTTTTATAAATTAAGAAGTAATTCAAAAAATTTTCGGTATCTGATGTTAAGGAAATCGGTGTATTTTTTGTCACAAAGAAATTTCTTTGCATAGACAGTTTAAATACTAAAGAAAACCTGAACATTGTGTGTTTTTCCCAGTTATTATTTTTATAAAAGTTTGGAAGGGTTTAGTCGGTGTGTTTTATGTATGAGGGTTTAATTGTGTGTGATTGCTTGTGGTGGCAGTATCATGCTGATGACAAATTATACTTCTGATAAGCCCACTGGGCAACATGACCCCATTTATTTTTCAAGCAATATGCTCATGGGATTAAAACGTTCCTTCTGACTCAAAGCAGGGAGATGGGCTTATCGGACGACATGTATAACCACAGTTTATAATAGTACCGAGGATGGGCTTATCAGCCGACATGTATAAATACAGCAGATAACAGTACCGAGGATGGTCTTATCGGACGACATGTATAAATACAGTAGATTATAGTACAGAGGATGGGCTTATCGGACGACATGTATAAATACAGTAGATTATAGTACAGAGGATGGGCTTATCGGACGACATGTATAAATAGAGAAGATAACAGTACCGAGTATGGGCTTATCGGACGACATGTATAAACACAGTATATAATAGTACAGAGGATGGGCTTGTCAGCTGACATGTATAAACACAGTAGATAATAGTACAGAGGATGGGCTTGATAACAGTACCGAGGATGGGCTTATCGGACGACATGTATAAACACAGTAGATAATAGTACCGAGGATGGGCTTATCGGACGACATGTATAAACACAGTAGATAATAGTACCGAGGATGGGACATATATAATAACACCACTAATCCCACAGAAAAATGCCTCTCTATATGTTAATATTTCTTGCAGGCAGGACGGAATTTACGAGTGGGTACTTGTTTTGGGTGGCCAGCTAAGCTTTCAGTGCTTTTGTTTGTAGCCATGAATATTCATATCATTATGTCATAAACCTATTGTCTTTGTCATCATGTAACTGACTTACTGACAGAGATTGTTTAACTTCATTCCATCTTTAGAAAAGCAAGAAAAAGGCGGTAAGCTGTCCTTTGTCTATGTATACATTAATATGGAGACTACCTCATATCACAGTATCCTTTCCTTGTACTAAACACCATTTTTTATTTTCCTTTTGGTTGTGGGACTACAGCAATACAGTACATTTATAGAGCTAGGCTGCTGTATAAATACATGTACAAATAATTCTGATTTACAGCGAGTGTTCGGTGCATCTAGACAAGGAACATTTTTGTCGTGGATTTGCTAGATAGATTTGACTAAGGGAGAAAAACTTATAACCTGATAAGATCAAGAAAATGAGAATTAATACTTATCACTTATTAGCAAGCTTTGCTCTATTTTCAGAAGAAATATCTGGTAATTATATAGCTGTTGGGACATATTGTTTTTGTTCTGTTTCTCGTTCGTGACTGTCCCCCAAGAAATGGTTGAAGAGACTTATTGGTAATGTTACATTTCTTGGCTGTTATCACTGAACCTCTGGTGAAATCCTCCACGGATTAGGTCAGGGTAGTTGTGTTACTGTTCTTATTCCTTAGTATATACATAATTGTTATTCTGAGGAATTTCCTAAAATATCACATACATTCTCATTATAAAGTGTACATCTTATCATTTTTTTAATTAGTAACTAACATCCAAAATGACTTCAACTGCCTCTGGTTAGCTGAGTTTTTAAAAGGCCATAATTTTTGTTCTAGAAGATGGATTGAAATAAAATATTGTAAAAGTGACACTTATACAACATGATCATTAATTGAAACAAGAAAGTCATGATTTTCAACAAGATGGCTGCCATACAGAGGCGTCTAATTTGTCAGACTATTCTTTGTCAGATAACCTGTCATGTAATTTGTGTTACAGACATAATGTTATGACACTAACTTAAAACTGAAAAGGTTATCTTTAATGACAAATTACAATACTATATTTTCCCCCTAAAAGTCTGATTGAAAGAAATGTGATTCATGAATAATTCATGATGTCATTGTCTTTCTCTTTATTGATCCTGATTCTTTGGGGTTTTTTTTGTTTTGTTTATGTGAACTGAATTTTATTTCCATAAGTAAACAGTTAATTTATTAAAATATAGAATAATGGTTTTTGATAAATGATGTTACTCAATGTTGAGACATTCCTAAATTGTTTTAAAGGCTACAAAAGGCTATATAACAGTTGGAGCAGATATAGAGCTAAAGATTGTACGGATATCACCTTGATTCTATGTCCCTAAATTTATAACCTGTCTAATTACACATTATAGTGTATGGATATCACCTTGGTTCTATGTCCCTAAATTTATAACCTGTATAATTACACATTATAGTGTATGGATATCACCTTGGTTCTATGTGCCTATATTGATAAGCTGTATAATTACACATTATAGTGTAAATAATAAGAATAGGAAATGCATTGCTTATCTTAATATTTCAATGTACAAGTTTTTCTCTGTTATTCTAAACGCAGTTAACATTTTCATTTTTTTTCTTCAAATTTGTATAGTTTGTTAGATCTGGCCATTATATGAGCCAAATTACTTCTTGTTCTTTATCTCGTCTCTATAATCAGTAAAAATATATCACGGACTAGAACTCATATCCTCCATATATCATTTTATTCATCTAATTATCCACCCATTAATTAGACCTTGATCCTTCCTTCTCAATTAAAATACTGTACAGTATAAAATGATCTTTTAACCCTGTGAATAGTATATGTTTATTGATTAAAATATATATATGTTGATATCATTATATGTAATATCTAGCACATACTGATATTTTCTGACATAATTTGTCATTTTACAGAATAAATATATTTTTTACAAAGTATTTAGATTTTAATTCTATATTGAAATAATTATGAAAGTGTAATTCAAATGAGAATACAGTATCGTTTTTTTTATTCAAATTATGTTAATTTAGTATACTTTTTAAAATATTATAAGTCTTGAGTCTCCCCTGTCATAAGATAAGGGAGATAACTAGGTCAGACAAGGGAGATAACTAAGTTATACAAAGGAGATAATTAGGTCAGCCAAGATATATGAGTGAAAAATGGGAGTCAATGATGGATATCAAGGAGTTAACAAGTAATTCAAAACAGGTGATACACAAATTAAAGCTGAGAGGTATCAACAGAAGCATTTTTGAATGCTAAACATTTCTTGTAGAGAAATTCTGCATTGCATGCCTTGGTATCCAGCCTCCTCTCTGTCTGTCCCTCTTGGTAATGGTATAAAGCATGCTCCTCATTATGCCCTTATAACATGCTTTCATCTGTTCTCATGCATGCCAGGTCTTTTATTCACTTATTCATACTTACTCACTGTTATATAGATTTTTCTTCAAATAAATTTTTTTTCCTTACAGTTCTTTGTATAATTATACTGTACAAGTTGAATTTTTTTGAGGTTCTACTTTTTTGTTGTTTTGAGAAATCTTGAAAAATTTAATTGAATTGAAAATAAAATTAACAGAGAAAATTGTAGTCCATTTTATGACTTCCATGGAAAACAGGATTATTCTTTTTTGCTTTAAGCATTTGGTAGAACCACGAAAATTTTAACCCTTGAAAAACTTCTTTTATAGCATGTTCTGAGAATAAAAATTATAAGGAAAACTTTAGACGTCACGAGCGTCCATGGAAAAAATAGGTCAATAGTGTTAAAAAAAATACAAATTTTGTCCTTCAGGTGTTCAGTTATTGTTTTTTTTTTCTCCATATTTGTGTGATAATGACTGTAACAAATGTTACAGGATGTAAAACTATATGATGAATTACAAAGATAATGATTGTTTCAATAGAAAATCCTTTGTTCATTTATAGGAAAAGTTGAAACCAATGCTGGCCAAGATGTTTTCTGTTATGCACAAGTCCGTTGTGTCGTTCTCCCTGCGACTTTTATTGGAAATGAGACGTCACAACTATGTAACACCAACAAATTACCTGGAGCTCGTCAGTGGATACAAGAAGTAAACATCTACTTTATGATCAATTTACAGTGAGACTTGACGGTTAAACACAGGATTTCTTCTCCTGTTTTGATTTTGGATTCAAATTTATTTTGCAGCAAAATCATTAATTTTAATAGGGATTTATTTCCACGGGTCTCGGATCTTTATCCTGCAATTAATACATAAGAATTATCTTACTGTTAGAATAAACATGATTTTTAGTATAAGTATATTGATTGGCCAAAGAATGAAGTTCCCATGAAAATATGATAATGAAATTTGATCCCCTCAAAAAAAGAGTATTTTGAAGAGTGGAGATTTGAATAATCAATGGGCAGAATTACCAGAATTTTTTTTTTTTTTTCATTCATAATTAGAAAGATTAAAGAGATGTTTATAGTGAAAACACCGAAAAATATCCTAGCCAGTGAATTTTAGGGGGTTGAGGATTATGGGCATGTGGGGGTATGGTGACAACCAGAGGTAGGAGAGTTGATCACCATAGCTGCAACATTGCATTTCTCAGGAAGCTGAGATCATCTTAGATTGTCTTGTACTGTTTTAGTTGTGGCCTTAAGCAAAACACATTACTTTCATGACTAATTGTTATGGGCCTGTTGCATAAGGTTCATTGAGGTCATTACCATCTACTTTATAAAGACCCCATTTCAAAAGAACTTTGATTTTTCATGAGACATAAAATCCAGCAAAAAATATAAACAAATATTGTCCAACATCTTGTCAGCCCTGGAATGATTTTGAAACAAAATACATGTATTGTTTCTCAGTTGTTTACAGTAGATATACTGTTTACTGTAGATGTACTGTTTACAGTAGATATACTGTTTACTGTAGATATACTGTTTACTGTAGATGTACTGTTTACTGTAACACTTCCTGTTTTGTTTCAGACTACTGTTCAACAAAAATAAAGAACTTGGTGATGCTTGTAACAAATTAAAGAACGGTCTCAGCAAGATTGATGAGACACGAGAGAAGGTCGAAAAGATGTCAATTGAACTGGAAGACGCCAAGATCAAGGTGGCTCAGTTTCAGAAGCAGTGTGACGACTACCTGGTCACTCTTGTCCAACAGAAAAGGGAGGCAGATGAACAACAGAAATCTGTAGCCCAAAAGTCCGAGAGGATTACTGAAGAGGAAAGCAAGTGTCAGCATATGGCTGATCTAGCTCAGCACGACCTCGACGAGGCTCTGCCTGCTCTGGAAGAAGCTATTAAGGTAAACAATACCAGAAATTCTATGAAAATTATTAATTTTGAGTTTTCAAATTTTTTGCATTTTTTGAAGATGGAATAAAATCGCAAAAAATATTGTTTTTTTTTTTTATTATTAATAAAAATTAATGCATAATTTTTTTCTATGAATAACAATGATAACTATACTTGATTTTGAAGTAGTGTTAAAAATTTGATAAGAATTGTTCGTGATAATTAGGACTTAGAGAAACTCAGTTTTAATAACAATGGTAAACAATAAATTGTACTTGAGGACAAAAATAAAAATTTCAATTATTTTGACGATAAAAAAAAAAGTTTTGTAATAAAGGATGTAACTGAAACTGAATGATAAGGGTGATAAAAATAAGTTTTTGGTCAGGACACAAAAATCACAGATAAATGTACACTTTAACAAAATGAATGAATAGAAAAAAATGGTGATATTTGAAATATTATAGAGATAATATCATCACACAAATCGTAGATCACTGAGAGCAGGGTGTTTGGTGTCCTGTATTCCTAACTCTATGATAAATTACAGGGAAAGTTTGGAAACTGGTATTCTGTAAAATCATTCATTTTAGTGGGTTTTTATTTCTGTTGAATTTGTGGTTACACTTAATTCATGAATTTAAATGTTCACAAAATGATAAAAAGATAAAAAAAAAATTGGCATGGATTATAGTAAAAAAGGATTTAGCAAGAGTTGTCAACAAAATTAAGTGTCAATGAAAATGCAAAATTTGCAAAACCATAAAATTTAAGCCCCCAAAAAATTCATCGAGTCGCTAACTCTTAACACAAGTTTTAGTATATTTTACAATGTCCTTACTAGGTTATCTCCCCTTGTCTTGATTAATATTTTTACTGTTTATGTTTTAGGCTCTGGAGTCTCTCAACAAGAAGGATATTGGAGAGATCAAGTCCTACGGTCGACCTCCCACCCTTGTAGAAAAGGTCATGGAGGCCGTCATGATCTTGAGGGGTCAGGAGCCGACATGGGCTGAAGCAAAAAGACAGCTTGGTGTGTATTTTGTTTATCATTTTCCCTAAATTTACTGGTGCAATTATGGGTTTAATATTTTGTCTGCTCGTCTGCTTTAATGATAAGTTGGGTTATTGTATCAGTGCATAACTGTGGAAGTCATTTGATTAAAAAAAAATAGAATAACATATTGATCCCAAAGTAGACACAGTGAAAACAACACATTATGTCAGGGGATGGGCTTATTACAAGAAAAAGGAAATATCATAATTTCATTGAGAATTAATAGATAGGGATCGGCTTATTTCCAGGAATAGGGGTTTTGCTGGATAGATAAGTTAACGTAATTAAGTGAAAAGAAATACTTTTCTGTTGCTAGGTGACAATAATTTCATCAAACAGTTGATGAACTTTGACAAGGATAACATCTCTGACCGTGTCCTGAAGAAGATCGGTGGGTATGTGGCTCAGTCTGACTTCCAGCCAGAGATCATTGGACGTGTATCTGGTGCTGCCAAATCTCTGTGTATGTGGGTGAGGGCTATGGAGGTGTATGGCCGTGTTTTCAGGGTTGTGGAGCCTAAGAAACAGAGACTAAACGCAGCCATGAGCCAGCTGAAAGAAAAACAGGATGCATTGGCTGATGCGAAGGCAAAGCTGGCAGAAGTATGTATTAATTTGTATGGTCAGACAAAATGTGTCACTTTATTAGAGCAGAATTTATCCTACTTTCACTATATATTAAAGCAAAAAATGCATGACACATGGTTGGGCTTAATATGATTAACATCATTAGAACAGAAGGCAGATAAATAAAGCAACATTATCAATAACTCAGTCACATAAGTGGCAGTTAGATAACATACATATGTAGATGATTCAATAGATCACATATAAATACATGCATTGCCAATAAGTTAAATTTATTTTTGTTTATTTCATGAGAACTCTTCGGGTTCCAATGTCCACAGACTTGAAAAATTAGTCCATGTACATTTATTAATCTGTATTTATCCACAATTTCCAATGTCTAAGAAAACGTGATTTTTTAAAAACCACAAAAATTGGATTCCACAAAAATATATAGTTTTACAGTATATTACATATATGGTTACTGTAAATCATGGAGAATTCTTGAATACTTCATTTCACGAATGATGAGCTATTAGATATCTTGATTCTGCGAGACTCTGATATCACTGACGTACTAAAACAGGTATTTGTATTCGAGATTGTCTCTTCTCGCATATTAACGCGAAAAAAAAATCCTACACATAAATAAGTGATTTACAGTATATTACATCGGTGAACTGATAGAGATAAAAACCTTGACGATTATCTCTCACTGAACTTACCTCGACCTACATACCTGTAACAAGTGATTACCCCAAATTGATAGGCAGAAAGGTAAAGGCAAAGAATGCAAAGTCTTAAATACTAAAATTGTTTATGATTGTCTCCCCTAGGTCGAGGCTAAGATGGCCGAATTGAAGCAACAATATGACGAGAAACTCGCTCAGAAGGAGGAGTTAAAGAGAAAAGCTGAGTACACAGAGATGATGTTGGACCGTGCAGCCAAGCTTGTATCTGGACTGGCAGGCGAGAGGATCCGATGGGAAGAGACAGTTAAGGTGAGTTGATGTTAATGCTCTGTGGTATATTGGCACCACCATCTGTAAACTCTATAGATGGGTGTATGGCTGCCATCTTGTAAATCACTGTTATCCTAGACTTTATCAAGACAAGGCTGCACTACTGAGTGGTACACAGATGGTCCAGACTGAAACTCATATCAGACCGACAATCCTCTTGGCTGACACCTTGAAAATGTTGGCTTTGTCAAGTCATTCATTATCATTTTTATACATATTTGTAAACTTATCTGTTCCACCTATAGTAACAGTAATACGCCATGTAATTTAACCACCATAATGACATTAACTGAATTTTGCAACAAATAAGCTCCTTTCTTCATTTTCTACACAAGCATTAATTCAGAAACAATAAACTATAAATTTTATACTTAACTTTTACACTAGGGAAGGGGACTTATCTTAGGATAAAGATGGTGCTGTATTTAGTTGAGTCAGGATGGTTTTGTGGGAAAATAAAATACCAGATTTATCCCACATTAATTATTGTCTGGTAATAAGCCCATCCGGACCTATCACAGTTTCAGACGGCATGCAGACAAAGGGTCTATCATTGTAAGTCCACCTTGATACTGTGAGTCACATATTGTGTTATAGACTCCCTAGATAACTGTGATAATCATGTTTATGATGGGAGTTTGAGTATAAGGTGGCTGTTTTTGTAGGACCTGGAGGAGAGGATGGGCTACCTAGTAGGTGATTGTTTAATGGCTGCCGCGTTCATGTCCTACATGGGGCCGTTCCTGTCCAACTACAGAGATGAGATGGTGCAAAAGATTTGGCTCACTGAGGCAAGTAACACAAGACACATTGAATTATAACACGACTAAGCAAAGACTTTATCAGATGTCCATGTGAAATCTAATATCTTAGTGTTGCTCTAATTTCTTAGAGTTTCTTATTTTTTTCAAAAAATATTTCACAGGACATGATTTCTTAGATAAATTTGTACTCTCAAAAAATCCACTGAGGTCAAAGATTCATATCATTTTTTTAAGAAATATTAACGATACAAACAAAAAATTTTTTAAAACTATGAATGATAAAATACAAACTAAGAAAATATGATGATTTGGCAGTATATCTTTACAGATTATCAAAATGATGACTTTTGTAAATTTTATCAAAAAATAACAATTTACAAAAAACATACAAGACGGGAAAATTTCATATAACAAATTGTGTATATCAGTTGACTTATATTTACAGATAAGGAAGTTAGCGATACCTTGTGCACCTGACTTCAGCTTCTGCAATTTCATGGCTAAGCCCACAGACGTCAGAGACTGGAACATTAAGGGACTTCCCAACGATAGCTTCTCATCTGAGAATGGTGTCATCGTCACATCAGCCAGCCGTTGGCCGCTCATGGTCGACCCTCAGGGACAAGCCATTAAATGGATCAAGAACATGGAAGCTGAACATGTAGGTTATTTCTGTAGCTACCGAATTATTTATCTCCCCTTTCGGTGAGGGACATTTGGATAAGACCATTTTTCCTCAGAAATTCTGAGCACTGTCTTATATTTCCAAGAAAGAAATGATGAGGTCCAATAGGGTCAGGGTTAATTTTCAAAGATTTCTCATCGACAGAAAAGTTCATCAGTTACAAAACTTTTCATGGAGGGAAGTATCCTTTGGTCAAAATCAAAATTTTGAGTCTTGAAGTTCATTTCCTTTTAGGTTCAACTTTTCTCTCACTGGGAATGATTATACAAAAGTTTCAATATAAATTTTGGTTAAGGTGCATTGTATGCCATATAATGATTTCAACTCCATCATGCAGTTGTTTCGTCCAAGTGTGGAAATCTACCATTCTGTATAGTTCTGTATGTATGTATTCTCTGTATATACAGGGTCTGAAGGTGTGTCATTCTGTATAGTTCTGTATGTATGTATTCTCTGTATATACAGGGTCTGAAGGTGTGTCATTCTGTATAGTTCTGTATGTTTGTATTCTCTGTATATACAGGGCCTGAAGGTGATAGATTTACAACAGTCTGATTACATGCGAACCTTGGAGTCGTCCATACAGTTTGGTCTGCCAGTGTTACTACAGAATGTACAGGAGTCCCTTGATCCCTCTCTTGATCCTATCCTCAACAAATCTCTCATGAGAGTCGGTAAGTAGGACACTTTTGTTGTATAATGAATAATGTAAACATGAGTTTCAAAAAGATGTTTCTGGAAATATATCTGTGGTCATTTACAAGATAATAAATCTTTATGGACAGAAACAACATCTTGGTGTTTTATTGAATTTTCAAATTTGAAACAAGTAATGCAAGATCTAAATGGAAATTAAGATCACATGTTCCTAAGGGGCTAAGGTCTTTCTGTTTGGGGGGGGGGGGGGGTGGGCATGATAGATCAGTCTGGCAGAGTGTTAACAAATGTAACCTCAAGTGAAGATCCAAGGTTCCTGGTTTGATGTTTGTTACCCAGGATGGTTTGTGGTTCTCAGGAAACTGAGAAACAGATTAGTTTGCGCTAATTTGGTTTTGTCCTTGTGAGAGTCATTTTGTTCTAATTGCCATGGATGACCTAAGACAGGCTTCCCTCATGTTGTTCAGTCAGATAGCAACCACCTGCTTCAACTAGACCCGGTCTCAAAATGACCCTGGCTGTTCATGGTGCAATTAGCCCAGGAAAAAAAGTGTTTTATCGCCAACACATCTGTACAATGCCTTAATGCAAAAATAAGCCCAGAATGCTAACACAATGACCTTAGGGATGGGCTTATTACAGGGCACTGACATAGTCATTTCATGTGAACTTGTGTATTGAAAACAATGTAAATTCTTACAAAATATTTCCTTGTCCTAGGTGGAGCCTACCTCATCAAGCTGGGAGACAAGGAGATTGAATATAACCCAGACTTCCGTTTCTATATCACTACCAAGCTCAGCAATCCTCACTACACTCCAGAAATCTCTACCAAGACCACAATCACCAACTTTGCAGTGAAGGAACAAGGTGAGTACACACCAAACCATCTGGTACTACCTGACAAATCAAATATGACCCTGTAATAGGGATCACTGTCTGACTATAAGTTTTCTTCTGTGGACATTGTCCCTGGGCCATAAGGTGAGCTGGATTGAGATCCCCATTCTTTTAACAATTGTATCATACAATTGCTGTTAAGTATTAACACTATCATGCTATGATTTGGTATAGGAAACAACCCCTGCTTCTAATACCTTTGTTCCTTAGTCATCAAATACCTGACTAATCAATTCCATGATTGTTATCTGAACCTTTTAATCAAACATAGTATTGCTGGGTATGTCAAGATGGATACATTCATGCCAGGCGATTGACCCACAAGGGCTAATACCCACTTAGGAATGTAGCTCCCTAGGGGGCTAAGGGGCAATGTACCACCAAACATGGGAAATTTAGATATTGAATATTGTGAAAAAAAAATATTGTCTTGACCAGTTGGGTGCCATATTACATGTACAACCAAATATGCTACACAGCACCATACAGAGCAAGGGGTAGGTATACATATGTATCTTTTTAAAGAAGGATTTTGCAACCTTAGACAGAGTTACTTTAAATGGGAAGAGTATTCTATGAACTGGATGAGTTAAACGCCCATATGAGTGATACAGGCCCTCTTGACCTCTTGTTTACTAAATCGTTATATATTTATTATAGATCTGAGATTATTGAAAAGTTTCTTCAGGGTAAAGATTTTCTGACGAATCATTCTTTGTGACTAGGTCTTGAGGCCCAGCTGTTGGGTATTGTTGTACGAAAAGAAAGGCCAGACCTTGAGGAACAGAAGGACAGTCTGGTGAGAAGCATTGCTGCAGGAAAGAAGAAAATAGTGGAGCTAGAGGATGAAATTCTCAGGTAACAAAAGATCAATTTTTTTTTGTTTGTCAAAAGATCCATGAAATCCTTACAGATTGTTTCCCAGTGAAAAGTATCCAGAAATCCAATTTTATGAATACATTTGATTTGTGAATTGTCTTCTTGCAGACTTCTAAACGAGACGAAAGGTTCACTTTTGGATGACGAACAGTTAGTAAACACTCTACAAACCTCAAAGGTCACATCGCAGGAGGTCTCTGAACAGCTACAGATCTCTGAACAGACTGAAGTGAAGATTGATGCCGCTCGTGAGGTACATATTATTTGTTGATGATGCGTGTGTCAAATATTCATATCCAGCTAAATTTTTTTTCAGAATTTAGTTGAATGCAATATGTTAAGAAAAACAACCATTTTCTACTATTTCTTTCAGGGATACCGTCCGTCTGCTGAGAGGGCTTCCATCTTGTTTTTCGTGCTCAATGACATGGGACGAATTGACCCTATGTACCAGTTCTCATTGGATGCTTACATAGAGCTCTTCATCATCTCAATAGACAAGAGTCCACGCAGCAGTAAACTGGAGGAGAGAATTACCAATCTCAATGAATACCACACCTATGCTGTGTACAGGTAAGTCAACGAATACCACACCTGTATGCTGTATACAGGTAAGTCAACAAATACCACACCTGTATGCTGTGTACAGGTAAGTCAACAAATACCACACCTGTATGCTGTATACAGGTAAGTTAACAAATACCACACCTGTATGCTGTGTACAGGTAAGTCAACAAATACCACACCTGTATGCTGTATACAGGTAAGTCAACAAATACCACACCTGTACGCTGTGTACAGGTAAGTCAACAAATACCACACCTGTATGCTGTGTACAGGTAAGTCAACAAATACCACACCTGTATGCTGTATACAGGTAAGTCAACAAATACCACACCTGTATGCTGTGTACAGGTAAGTCAACAAATACCACACCTGTATGCTGTATACAGGTAAGTCAACAAATACCACACCTGTACGCTGTGTACAGGTAAGTCAACAAATACCACACCTGTATGCTGTGTACAGGTAAGTCAACAAATACCACACCTGTATGCTGTGTACAGGTAAGTCAACAAATACCACACCTGTATGCTGTGTACAGGTAAGTCAACAAATACCACACCTGTATGCTGTGTACAGGTAAGTCAACAAATACCACACCTGTATGCTGTGTACAGGTATGTCAACAAACACCACACCTGTATGCTGTATACAGGTAAGTCAACAAATACCACACCTGTATGCTATGTACAGGTAAGTCAACAACACCTGTATGCTGTATACAGGTAAGTCAATATATACCACACCTGTATGCTATGTACAGGTAAGTCAACAACACCTGTATGCTGTATACAGGTAAGTCAACAAATACCACACCTGTATGCTATGTACAGGTAAGTCAACAACACCTGTATGCTGTATACAGGTAAGTCAATATATACCACACCTGTATGCTATGTACAGGTAAGTCAACAACACCTGTATGCTGTATACAGGTAAGTCAATATATACCACACCTGTATGCTATGTACAGGTAAGTCAACAACACCTGTATGCTGTATACAGGTAAGTCAATATATACCACACCTGTATGCTATGTACAGGTAAGTCAACAACACCTGTATGCTGTATACAGGTAAGTCAATATATACCACACCTGTATGCTATGTACAGGTAAGTCAACAACACCTGTATGCTGTATACAGGTAAGTCAATATATACCACACCTGTATGCTATGTACAGGTAAGTCAACAACACCTGTATGCTGTATACAGGTAAATGTAAAGATATCTATATTTTTTCTCAGTATCCATTTTTTTTTCTTTTTGATTTAAATAGATCCTTGGAAAACCAAGATTTAGTGTCCCATCAACAACCTGTATCATGCCCTTATACTAAAGAGCACCACTTACTTGTATAATGGTGATAACATGGTAAACATTGTTACCAAAACATCCTGACAGACGTTTCAGATTGAATGTGTGATATCAAACTGTATATTCAGATGAATTTAAAAATTGTTGACGTTGTTTTCAAGGTACACTTGTCGAGGATTGTTTGAGAGACACAAGTTGTTGTTTTCCTTCCAAATGTGTGCCAAGATCCTTGAATCGGCTAACAAGATCAACATGGACGAATATAACTTTTTCCTGAGAGGCGGCGTGGTATGTTTTCTGTACAAACAATCTTCAAGACTTTATTATCCAAATCATCGTGGTCCTGATAGAAAAGATCATGGTTACTTTACTTAAAAAGGGAAAGACTGCACACACTTTTACCCTGAAACATTGCCACCCATAAATAACATTGGTCATCACTTTCTGAGACAATGTCACACAATCTGATGATGTCATCAATTTTTGCTGTCACACATTTCATATTTCATTCATTATTACACAAGGAATCAAACTTACTTTTACCATTATGCATAAATTTCCATAAACTTGAAACAAAATTAGTGATTGTTTAAGTCTCATATGAGACACATGATTAAATCCCTTCTTTGCAAAAAACAAATGAAAAATATACTTTTCATGTCAATTTTTTATAACCATCTGTGTGATGTCATTCTGTTGTGATTTTATGACATCCCAGTTGCTCGTATTACATCAGTTCTTATGACCTGGCCATTCACATAATAACACAGAAATCATGTGATGAAACTTGATAAACTATATAGTTAGATGTTGTATTCTGTATTTCTAAATTTCTGGTCATTTCTGTTAGCATAATATCATTTTTTTTGAAATTTGTGTAGTTTGTGATAAACATAATTGGATGATGTTGAATAGCTGTACTTATATCATGTTTTGTTTTTGTGTAAAGGTGCTTGACCGAGAGAACCAGATGGACAACCCTTGTTCAGGCTGGCTGTCTGACATTGCTTGGGACAACATAACAGAACTTGACAAGCAGACAAACTTCCATGGCGTCATCACCTCGTTTGAACAATACCCACGTGACTGGAATATCTGGTACACCTCTGCTGAACCTGAGACAGCCACACTTCCAGGTCAGTTTCTTTGTTTGCAGGACTAATTGCCACTTGAGCAGCTAGGGTCATTTTGAAACAAAGGTTCCATATAGAAACTGGTGGCTATTACACAGTACATCTTGAGGGATGCTTGCCCTGTAATGCCAACAGCTGACAACACAGCGTGTGATTTCAGTTTCCAGTAAATCAAGAATCACCCCAGACACCTGTGGTTGAACAGACTGATGCTCTACCAATCATGTTAGGAAATTTGTATAGATGTTCAAAACCCAAAGTAGCAGAACATTTACAAGCTATTTTCCTACTTAAATACAAGGAGTTAAGTCCCTTGAAAACTTTTATACAAAGTTATAAAGCATGAGCTGGGGTATGACATTAGAATTTAGATTACAGTTCTGTTTTACAAAAAAATGTTTTACAAAAAATGTTTGAAAATTTGTTCATAAAATGCTGCCATTCTGATTCAGGTGAATGGGACAACGCCTGTAACGAACTGCAGAGAATGCTGATTGTACGCTCTCTCCGATCGGACCGTGTCTCATTCTGTGCCACATCCTTCATCATCAACAACCTGGGATCAAAGTTCACAGAGCCTCCTGTACTCGATATGCAACAGGTTGTAGAGGACTCGACAACAAGGACCCCCCTCATCTTCGTTCTCTCTGCGGGTGTGGTATGTATATCCTTAAAATAGTATTTCTGTTTAGAAAGTACCTGTGATCAGTATGTAAAGTGTGCTAAATGAAGCTACATCCTGATTGTGATCCTTTCTAAGAGGGATTTTTATCTCCTATGTAGTCATAGATATAAATAAATCTTCCAAAATGTTCATAACTTCCAAAATTAGACATCATTAAGTGAAAACCTGTCTTTAGCAACCACTTGTACTTTTTACTATATACAGACCACCTATACAACCTAACCTTCCATATTAGTCCCAATATTGGTCTATAACGACAGATATATAATTTCACTAGTCAGGCTATAGTGACTAGTCAGGCTATAGTGACTAGTCAGGCTATAGTGACTAGTCAGGCTAGTCAGGCTATAGTGACTAGTCAGGCAGTGACTAGTCAGGCTATAGTGACTAGTCAGGCAGTGACTAGTCAGGCTATAGTGACTAGTCAGGCAGTGACTAGTCAGGCTATAGTGACTAGTCAGGCAGTGACTAGTCAGGCTATAGTGACTAGTCAGGCTATAGTGACTAGTCAGGCTAGTCAGGCTATAGTGACTAGTCAGGCTATAGTGACTAGTCAGGCTATAGTGACTAGTCAGGCTAGTCAGGCTATAGTGACTAGTCAGGCTATAGTGACTAGTGACTAGTCAGGCTAGTCAGGCTATAGTGACTAGTCAGGCTATAGTGACTAGTCTGGCTAGTCAGGCTATAGTGACTAGTCAGGCTATAGTGACTAGTCAGACAGTGACTAGTCAGGCTATAGTGACTAGTCAGGCTATAGTGACTAGTCAGACAGTGACTAGTCAGGCTATAGTGACTAGTCAGGCTATAGTGACTAGTCAGGCTAGTCAGGCTATAGTGACTAGTCAGGCTATAGTGACTAGTGACTAGTCAGGCTAGTCAGGCTATAGTGACTAGTCAGGCTATAGTGACTAGTCAGGCTATAGTGACTAGTCAGGCAGTGACTAGTCAGGCTATAGTGACTAGTCAGTCAGACAAATCAGAATATCATTTGTCAAAAATTCATGAGTTGACCTCAATAGTACATGTGTAAGTCAGAAAGAACTCGTGCAAATTAAAAGGAAATCTATAAAAGCAAGAGGCTTGAAGTTTTGATCACATGTGAACGTCCTGTTTACAAGTTTTGATCACATGTGAACGTCCTGTTTACAAGTTTTGATCACATGTGCACGTCCTGTTTACAAGTTTTGATCACATGTGAACGTCCTGTTTACAAGTTTTGATCACATGTGAACATCCTGTTTACAAGTTTTGATCACATGTGAACGTCCTGTTTACAAGTTTTGATCACATGTGAACGTCCTGTTTACAAGTTTTGATCACATGTGCACGTCCTGTTTACAAGTTTTGATCACATGTGAACGTCCTGTTTACAAGTTTTGATCACATGTGCACGTCCTGTTTACAAGTTTTGATCACATGTGAACGTCCTGTTTACAAGTTTTGATCACATGTGAACGTCCTGTTCACAAGTTTTGATCACATGTGAACGTCCTGTTCACAAGTTTTGATCACATGTGAACGTCCTGTTCACAAGTTTTGATCACATGTGAACGTCCTGTTTACATGTTTTGATCACATGTGAACGTCCTGTTTACAAGTTTTGATCACATGTGAACGTCCTGTTTACAAGTTTTGATCACATGTGAACGTCCTGTTTACAAGTTTTGATCACATGTGAACGTCCTGTTTACAAGTTTTGATCACATGTGAACGTCCTGTTTAAATGATATACACCACTTTATAGTAACTATAATTTGAACAAAATGTGTAATAAGACTTAAAGATCAAGTTTCCAAAGAATTTTTTTCATCTATTGCAGAATTCTGTTTTTCACAATCACTGTTCCATATATTTCATAATCCTGTTATTGTGTTTTAGGATCCAACAAGCTCTTTGCTACAGCTGGCTGAATCCAGTGGAATGGCCCAGCGGTTCCATGCACTCTCCTTAGGTCAAGGACAGGCTCCAATAGCCACCAGAATGATCAAGGAAGGCGTGAGAGAGGTGAGAGTGGATGATATGGCTAGGAAAGTGTATCAATGAGGTCTGGTTATCATAGATGGAAATGTGCTCCTGACATCGTGGAGTTTGTTTACTGTAAAATTAATCATTTTCATCGAGTATTTATCTTCATTGATTTTGTGGAACCTCTTCATTCATATGTCCATGAACAGAAATAGATTTATTTATTCATTAATCAATGAAATGAAGTGTCCATGAAATACTGATTAAAAAAAAAAAAAAAGAAAGAAATCCACAGTAATTGAGTCCCAGGAAAACATCTGACTTATGACAGAATCATGATAAATGATGAGGGAATATATTACAGGCAATTTCCGGCTGAATGACTTTACAGGGAAATATTTGCCTTTGGTATTTTTTGTCCTTTAAGAAAAGTGTTCACTTTGTCGAATCTAAAACACATGAACCATGTACACCTACAGAGTATTCCAACTTTAACAGCTTTTCATTCTGTTGCAAGTAAAACTGGTATATCTGAGGTGGGAGATTTCAGGTTTCTTTTATGAAAAAAAAATTATCTAATCTAGTCCATGGTAGATTATACAACAATGATTCACCTTTAAAAAGCTGGTACATTTCTCTCAGTTATTAAATGTTTCAAAATTGTTTTCTTTTGATTTCAGGGTAACTGGGTGTTCCTGGCCAATTGTCACTTATCCCTGAGCTGGATGCCCCAGCTGGATAAGTTAGTGGAACAGTTACAAATAGAGCAGCCTCATCCTGAGTTCCGTCTGTGGCTGAGTAGTAGTCCCCATCCTGAATTCCCCATATCCATCTTACAAACCGGCATCAAAATGACCACAGAACCACCCAAGGTAGACAACTCAATCATGATACAGATGTAACTGAAGTCTGTTATCGGGAAATTTTAATCTGATGAGACGGGACCTAGAGAGTGTTAATGTTCCCCCTATCTTACCCTCTTTGTTGTAGGGGGCATACAGAACTACCGTCATCGGTCTATCCCATTTCGTCCCGTCGGATTCAGATTATATGTCATATCTCGTGAACCTCTCAACAGATTTGATTCATATTTATCCCTGTAGTATCACAACATTAAGTTCTACACCTTATCATATTATGGCAGCCCCAGTCTAAGGGTCAAAGGTCACAGATATGTTTGACATCAATCAATACTACTTACATTCTCGGGAGTGTCGGACAATCATGTTAATTAAAAACATAGTTTCTAATTCACAGTTTTATTTAAGTTACAAACAAAACAAAGATATTTTTATTGTAATTATTACATAATGCAGAATTTTTTATGGTTATTGAATAAACCTGAAGCTTTCATGTATTTTTCTATTATTTTAGGGTCTGAAGGCAAACATGAAACGTTTGTTGAACCTGGTGACAGAGCAGCAATTTGCACGCTGTACTAAACAGGACAAATACAGAAAACTGCTATTTGCTCTGTGCTACTTCCATTCCATACTTCTGGAGCGTAGGAAGTTCCTTATGCTGGGCTGGAACATTGCCTACGAATTCAATGATGCAGATTTTGAGGTTTGTGATACTGTAAAACTACACTAAAATGACCAGATTATGAATCTTAAGAGTTTGTCAAAACTTCAGGTGCCATCGATCTGTCACGCCATTAACTCTGTGTGTATTTGTATATTTTTCCAGGAATTCACTATGACAGCTATAACATTAAAAATACCCAGAAAAAGGTTACACCAAGATATCTTGATATCGTGTATACTGTAAAAACATTTTTCAGGTTTAATTATTTTTCTTACTTTTGTGTGGAATAAAACCACAAAATAGATGGAATCTATAAAATTGGAAATGAAAGAGAACCCATTCTTTGTTTCATGTTTTCAGTGAAAAATAATTCCAACTGGTTTTGACCTTTGTAAATACCTTGAAAAATATAAACCATAAAATTTTCAAGTTGTCTGTAACGTGTCCGTTCCTAGTGTTCTTTAGATATTGTGGTTTTTGTATTCTGTACTGTTTTAAATCACTTTTATCTTTATGATATCCACAACGTGCAGACATATATACTTTACACTTGACAGGTGTCAGAGAATCTACTCAGTATATACTTGGATGGCTACGATGAAACACCTTGGGATGCCCTCAAATATCTCATTGCTAACATCAACTACGGGGGTCATGTGACTGATGATTGTGATCGACGTCTGCTCATGACTTACGTCAATGATTATTTCCATGATGGAGTCCTTACTACTCCATTCTACAAGTGAGTATCATCAGAGGATCTCACGACCACAAAAACAAATATATTCAAAATTATTTCTCCTTGTGTTAGGGTGCTTGTAGCAATGTTCCCAGCCATTGTTATTATGATAATAATACACACATTGTTATACTTCAAGACATGCAGAAAAGAAGCATTTGTCCAATTCACATTTTTGAAAAGATTTGACTGTAAAACATCTGACTATAATTTATCAAACATATCACTATGATTGACCTAGATTTAATAGTGATAGACCTAGATTTACATGTCATATGGCACTCTATAAGTCCAGCCTTTAATCACCAGAACTGATGATGGGATATTTAGCAATTGAAACCAAATCATCATTTAATACACTTACCCTTCTGGAACACCTGGTCTTAATTTTGCTTGTTCTTTAGAACGATATAATCAAATATCAAATATTTTTTGTTTAAATTAGGATGTCCATTTTGCCTACATACTATGTACCAAAGGATGGACCGCTGTCATCTTATAAGGAGTATGTTAGTATGTTACCAAATGTCGACCATCCAGAAGCCTTCGGCCAACACCCGAACGCTGACATCGCCTCTCAAATCACAGAAACCCGTCTCATGTTTGACACCCTGTTGTCCCTGCAACCGACAATATCTGCGGGTGGAGGAGAGAGTCGAGAGGACAAGGTTACTATCTTTATGGTTTTCTAGATATACAAATGTAGTGCAAAATTTAATACACAGCTGACATTTTAATAGCAAATCAAAATATTGGCAAATGTCTGTTTTTGCCAGTATACCTGGATATCCAGTAGACATGTAGGAAAAATTTTCCCTTGTATATAGTCTAAAATATTAGCTCTCAAAATTCAACAGCTACATGGTATACCATTGTCAAACATTTCTGATATTGACAGGTGCTGGACCTAGCAGCCAACATCTACAAACAGATCCCAGAGAATATCGACTACGAAAACACCGCCAAGATTCTGTCAATTGACCCTTCACCTCTCAATGTTGTACTCCTGCAGGAGGTAGGTTCTTTCTTAGGAAAACAGAATTCAATTGTTGTATTCAGTTTTAATGTTGATGGCAGGACCGTTTCAATTTTATCATGAAAGTTTAAAGTTTTATCCATGATAGGAACTTCTGTACCAGTAGAAATTTGAAAATATGTTTCCTCATCACTTGACTAACAAGAGAGGACATTGTGAATTTCATCTGAGGCATGTGCAGGTATTTTGAAATTATCAAAACTATGTATAACTACAAGTGCATACTATTGTTATCCAAATTTACTTTGAACGGGCTTAATACTAGACTACTCTCAAATGGTTGATTGAATTTACTCATTTCACTGACGGAACATAAATCTATATAAAACAGATCATAATTAGCTCACCTGGCCCTAAAGAGTTCTTGGCCCTAAATCTACAGCGCCTAGTGAAGGGGAGAGGCCCCTTAATTGGTCCTCAACTGGACAGCCAAGGGATCAGGACCGTAAAATAATTCAGACTTCAGGAATGAAAACATGACGCCCATGTAACTCTTTCTATTTTCAACAGATACAACGTTACAATATTTTGCTGAATGAGATCCGGCACTCCTTGACTGACCTTGAGAGAGGTATTCAAGGTCTGGTTGTCATGACACTTGAGCTGGAAAACATTTTCACATGTATCTTTGATGGCAGAGTTCCTCCAAGTTGGCTCAAGGTAGGAAATTGCATTTTTTTTGCATCAGCTGTAACATACCTGTATAAATTTAAACCTGAAGAAAAATTTATGTATTGTGAAAAAAAAATTGCAGTTTTGAACACACTGAACAGCAATAGGCCAAAAATGAAAATGAGAAATACCTTGATATCATTCACATTGTGTTCTACAGTTTATGGAACTCGGTGTATCACACTAAACAAAACCAGGAATTTTCAGAGTCTTGGTGTAATAGCTGTTATTTAAGTCATACATAAGAAAACTGACATGAATTCAATTTTTTTGTATATCTTCAGTTGCTTTTAAATCATCAAAAATTGAATAAGTTTGATTGTATTCTAAAATATATTGTACATTTGTAATAGGCTTACTCGTCACTAAAGCCCCTGGCAGCATGGACTCGTGACTTGGTCCAGCGTGTTGACCAGTTCCAACACTGGGCTCTTACAGCTCACCCGCCAACCATTTTCTGGATGTCTGCCTTTACTTTCCCTACTGGATTCTTGACCGCTGTCCTCCAGACTTCCGCGAGACAGAACAGCGTATGTACACAAAACATCTGCTTACATTTGATAGTAAAATTCTATATTTCTGTATAGCTTGATTTCGAACATGAATAGGTCATGATACTTAATGAATAAATGTTGTTATGACTCAGAACATTGATAAAAGTCTGTATTAAAATTGAAAAAGTTATTAGTGAAGAAAGGATTTTTGCTTCGTTGGTGGCAATTTCATAATAAAATAAGTTTTGCGATATATTCCTTCTTATATTGATTTTCGTTATTGACCTCTTGGAATACAAAAGTATTCTTCGTACATTTTGTTTCTTTTTTATGGTACTGAACTGATATCATAGTCTACTGAAATACAGAACAGAATCTGGAATTGTTTGATTGAAATTCTTGTTAGGGTCAGTGTGTAGAATGAATGCCTGCGTATAGTCTATATCAAAATGTGGGGGGAAATGATTTGAAGTTGATTAGAGAAAGTCCTGTAATTGTATTATCATATTATTATTTAACGCCTGTTTGATCATTGTGTGGTGTTACAGGTATCAGTGGACACGCTACAGTGGGAGTTCAGTGTTCTCACAGTGGATGATTCCAATATAACAGGGCCACCTAAGGTAATGATGACAAGGCAATCTACTTTTTATACAGAAATGATTATATACTTCATTACTGGTACACCCCTGCCACGTTATAGGAGGGGGGAGGGGTAGAGGGGTCGGGGAAGGGTAGAAGGGGTTGGGGAGGGGAAGAGGGGGTAGAGGGGTTGGGGAGGGGTAGAAGGGGTTGGGGAGGGGTAGAGGGGGTGGGAGGGGTAGAGGGGTTGGGGAGGGGTAGAAGGGGTTGGGGAGGGGTAGAGAGGGTAGAGGGGTTGGGGAGGGGTAGAAGGGGTTGGGGAGGGGTAGAGGGGGTGGGAGGGGTAGAGGGGTTGGGGAGGGGTAGAGGGGTTGGAAAGAGAAGAAGGGGTTGGGGAGGAGTAGAGGGTTTGGGGAGGGGTAGAGGGGTTAGGGAAGGGTTAGGGGGGTTTGGGAGGGGTAGAAGGGGTTGAGGAGGGGGAGGGGTAGAGGGGCGGGGAAGGGTAGAAGGGGTAGGGAAGGGGTAGGGGAAATGTAGGAGGGTAAAGGGGGAAGGGTAGAGGAGGTGGGAAAGGATGGAGGGGTGGGGAAGGGTGGAGGGGTTGGGAAGGGCAGAGGGGTGGGAAAGGTTAGAGGGGGTGGGGAAGGGTAGAGGGGTGGAGAAGGGTAGAGGGAGTGGGAAAGGGCAGAGGTGGTGGTGAATAGCTAAAGTGTCACCATGTACATGTATGTATGTCCTGTCCCAACCCCAGTAGAATGGAGAAAATGATTTCAGTCCAGAAATAGTGGTCAGCTTTTCTACTTTGATTTTGATTTTCCAAACGACACATACAGTTAACACTGTTTGGTTTTGTTGTAGGATGGTGTATACATAAAGGGCCTATACCTCCAGGGAGCAGGCTGGGATAAGAAGAATATGTGTCTCGTAGAAGCCAACCCCATGCAGCTCGTGTGTCCCATGCCTTCCATACACTTCAAACCCGTGGAGAGCAAGAAAAAGGCAGCTAAAGGTTAGTGAAGTTGTCGGCTTTAAGTTTAAGGAAACTCTTCGCACACACTCTTTCCATCCATTGGAGAAAATATGATTGAAATGATTTTAAAATATTTTCTCTGTCTATTTGTCCTGATCTGTATACATCATCAGAATTTAGAATTAGTTGTAATATTTTAGAAGTTCGAATAAAGTAGGATTTTTGAGGAGAATTTTCACTGGTATGTAATTGACACCTGATGTTTGTATCAACAGGTCTTTACTCCTGCCCATGCTACTACTATCCTAACCGTGTCGGTGTCACTGGGCGTGCGTCTTACATTGTCTCTGTCGACCTGAAGACTGGAGAAAAGGCTGCAGATCACTGGATAAAGAGAGGTACAGCTCTGTTGATGAGTTTGGACTATTAAAGACACTGACCAGTGGTTTTAACACTGACCATGGATAAATGTGACATCTAAATACTTTAGAATTGGATGTGTTCTATTCTGACCTGTGATGATTATTGGTAACAGTATTGTGACCTATAATGGTGATCAACGTAAAACGATCATCATGTCAGCTTGTGATATTTACAAATTTTGAAGTTCCTGCCAGACAAAAGTGCCTCTTTGGACTTTCATCTACAGGAATGAAACGATGTTGACGTGTGTTGATTTATTTTCACACTTATCTGAACTTTGTTTACAATCACAGATCTTACTGAAGGAAGTAACTGTGACCCTCATTTTTATCAATAGTGCTACATCAGCTTCATCACAAAGTTTGTGGAGATTTTTTTTTTTCAAACATGAATTTTGTTTTTTTGTTGACAATCAATATTAGATGTCAGGTGTTAGAATTAAGTATGAATTATGATTCAACATAAGATTGTGTGCCAAATGTCAGATATTATAATAACTTGTTTGTACATTTTGTACCATTTTTCTGAACAATTACACAAACGCTCAACACACCAAATACAAAGCAAATATTGCAAACTTCAATTTGCTTCTCTCATACATATATATTGAATGTAAAACATTTTAAATACAAAGCACAAGTCCTTTCATAATGAGTAGAAACATCCGCCTTTGTCTTGTAGCCTCTGATACCTTCCACAGCAATATATCTCTTTCTCCTTACTTCTGATACACGCCACAAAGATATCTCCCTCCGTTACTCCTAACTTCTGATACACGCCACAAAGATATATCCATCCGTTTCTCCTTACTTCTGATACAGGCCACAAAGATATATCCCTCCGTTTCTCCTAACTTCTGATACACGCCACAAAGATATATCCGTCCGTGTCTCCTAACTTCTGATACACGCCACAAAGATAGATCCGTCCGTTTCTCCTTACTTCTGATACACGCCACAAAGATATATCCCTCCGTTTCTCCTAACTTCTGATACACGCCACAAAGATATATCCGTCCGTTTCTCCTTACTTCTGATACAGGCCACAAAGATATATCCCTCCGTTTCTCCTAACTTCTGATACACGCCACAAAGATATATCCGTCCGTGTCTCCTAACTTCTGATACACACCACAAAGATAGATCTGTCCGTTTCTCCTAACTTCTGATACATTCCACAAAGATATATCTGTCCGTTTCTCCGTACTTCTGATACATTCCACAAAGATATATCAATCTGTGTCTCCTAACTTCTGATACGTTCCACAGCAATATATGTTTCTCCTTACTTCTGATACACGCCACAAAGATAGATCCGTCCGTTTCTCCTAACTTCTGATACATTCCACAAAGATATATCTGTCCGTTTCTCTGTACTTCTGATACACTCCACAAAGATAGATCTGTCCGTTTCTCCTAACTTCTCATACATTCCACAAAGATATATCCGTCCGTTTCTCCTAACTTCTGATACATTCCACAAAGATATATCCGTCCGTTTCTCCTAACTTCTGATACACTCCACAAAGATATATCCGTCCGTTTCTCCTAACCTCTGATACATTCCACAAAGATATATCCGTCCGTTTCCCCTAACTTTTGATACACTCCACAAAGATATATCCGTCCGTTTCTCCTAACTTTTGATACATTCCACAAAGATATATCCGTCCGTATCTCCTAACTTTTGATACATTCCACAAAGATATATCTGTCCGTTTCTCCGTACTTCTGATACACTCCACAAAGATAGATCTGTCCGTTTCTCCTAACTTCTCATACATTCCACAAAGATAGATCCGTCCGTTTCTCCGTACTTCTGATCCATTCCACAAAGATATATCCGTCCGTTTCTCCTAACCTCTGATACACTCCACAAAGATATATCCGTCCGTATCTCCTAACTTCTGATCCATTCCACAAAGATATATCCGTCCGTATCTCCTAACCTCTGATACACGCCACAAAGATATATCCGTCCGTTTCTCCGTACTTCTGATACACTCCACAAAGATATATCCGTCCGTTTCTCCTAACCTCTGATACACGCCACAAAGATATATCCGTCCGTTTCTCCGTACTTCTGATACACTCCACAAAGATATATCCGTCCGTATCTCCTAACTTCTGATACATTCCACAAAGATATATCCGTCCGTATCTCCTAACCTCTGATACACTCCACAAAGATATATCCGTCCGTTTCTCCTAACTTCTGATACACTCCACAAAGATATATCCGTCCGTTTCTCCGTACTTCTGATACACTCCACAAAGATATATCCGTCCGTATCTCCTAACTTCTGATACATTCCACAAAGATATATCCGTCCGTTTCTCCGTACTTCTGATACACTCCACAAAGATATATCTGTCCGTATCTCCTAACTTTTGATACACTCCACAAAGATATATCCGTCCGTTTCTCCTAACTTCTGATACATTCCACAAAGATATATCCGTCCGTTTCTCCGTACTTCTGATACACTCCACAAAGATATATCTGTCCGTATCTCCTAACTTTTGATACACTCCACAAAGATATATCCGTCCGTTTCTCTATACTTCTGATACACTCCACAAAGATATATCCGTCCGTTTCTCCGTACTTCTGATACACTCCACAAAGATATATCCGTCCGTTTCTCCTAACTTCTGATACATCCTACAGAGATATATTTGTCCATTCCTCGCAGCTGACATATTTTGTGGAGCTACGTCTGTCAGAGAAGTTTCTATACATGCAAAAGTATGTTTTGATGTTGTATTTATATTCCGAAATGAAAGTTTCATGAAGACTTGACAAGAAAAAAAATCTTTATTTTTAAACATCCATTAGAACAAATTCTATTGCAATTCTTTTTATTGTAATTTATCAATTTTACCGACTTTGTTTGTTATTTTTACAATAAATTATTTACATTAAATCTTGATGTTTGGAGTTTTCATGTCAGCATTGTGAAATATCTAGCAACTGATAGCCTTAGTCTGTCTGTCTGTCTGTCTGATATATATGTATTGCTGACTTATGTCAGCTGTTTCTCAGTTTTTCATTGTTGCAGGACTGTTTTCTAGTTGCCTGAAAGTCTCAACTGATCTGTTTGGATAGTTTTGGGTTTGATATTTTTTGCTATCTGTCCTTGAACAAATTTACTTTTTCAGCTTCTCAGAAACTCTGGATTGGAATGATAAGTAACGGTATTAAAGAATGGCAGACATCAAATTCTTCAAAGTTAAAAAATTCTTTATGTAATGAAATTTGTGCAAACCAAAATGAAATTTGCTAATTTCAACAACATCAAATATTCGAAAAACAAGCTAGCAACCATGGCAACAACCATGAATTAGTTAATGTCTGGCATACACACATCCTCAGCTTCCTACTCCAATAGTACACAATACTACGAATTCCGGATGTATTTCTTTATTCACTTCCATCGTCGAAAACATTTGTTAATAACAGGAAATTGATTTTTTTCAATTGTGTAAAATTCTGGTTGCTATGGTAACGTCATATTAGTAAAACGTGTTTTTTGTCAAAAGATATGGAAAGCTTGTATTCTCATGTTTCTAAATATATGGCGGCTGCTTACCAAAAAGCTGACTGGAAAAGAGTGGAAATTCATGTTGAAGCAAAATCACAGATTTTCCTTAGTGTCATTAAAAATTCCTGGGAGTTAGGAGTTCATGTTGGCAATCAATATTTTTATTTTTTATTTACATATATACATCTTAGTATAATCGAAATTATTCCACAGGTAAGTTGTTACCCGAGAATCGGTCGCTTTTCTAAAACAGACTATAGTCTTACCTAACATTAGTACCCATTGTTTTTCCCCTGTCACAACCACCTGTGTCCAATGCTAAAATAGAACATGTTGGCTGAGAGGGAAGACAGCGTGACCCTATCTCCTGTGATGTCAGTGTTCAATGACCGGTAGCAGCAGCTGTGGAGGAAGCAGACGACATCGAGAACAGTTTGTCACGCTATGTAAGGATACAAATGAACGTTTTGTAGTTTTGAGGAATGAGATAATTCTGAGTATAACATTATATTCACCATAAACAGACATATGGAATTTTGCTTAAAGTGATCAGTTCAAACATATTTATTGTCAACCTAGCACAAGGGACGAGGCACCAGTTATATATATCTATATATAGAAACAATTATTACCGTGAGGATATGCATACATTGTATATCTACAATAATTATTACTATTGAAATCAAATCTGTTACTTGAATTTCCGAACAATATCGTATCCAAATTAAACGCAACATTTATATTAGTGAAATTTTAGATATAAAATTGCCTTAATCTGTCTAAAGATGACGATTAAAAGTAGTAGATACCGTTTAAATAAGGATTACTACAAGAACACGAAGCATTATTTAAATTTACAAGTTAGTTTAATTGAAACCAAAACAGACTGCTGAAGGATAACGAAGCCCGGTGGTATATATAGAGTCTGAACATGCTGAGGAATTTTCCGCACGTACATGTATTTCTTACACATAATTTCTATAATCTAAACTTACATACCGTGGTACCACTTCAGTTAAAAGATACAAAAAGGTAGCAGTACATGTATTTTCATGTCTTTAACATCAACAAGGTTTGTGTTCGCTGGGGTTTTATTTAATGATAAGATGTATGATCAGGGACGTATAAATACATTATTATAATACTGTATTATACGTCCCTGGTCCCTGTCTTTAACATCAACCAAGGTTTGTGTTCGCTGGGGTTTTATTTAATGATAAGATGTATGATCAGGGACGTATAAATACATTATTATAATACTGTATTATACGTCCCTGGTCCCTGTCTTTAACATCAACCAAGGTTTGTGTTCGCTGGGGTTTTATTTAATGATAAGATGTATGATCAGGGACGTATAAATACATTATTATAATACTGTATTATACGTCCCTGGTACAATATAGGACAAATTAACATCATTATATTTTCCTTATAAGTCGTCAATGCTTGGTTTTGTTAGAAGTACTTTTGTATGAGATGCTAAATCATATGACGGACTTACATAAAATATACCTGTAAGTTATATACAACAGTGTCTGAATGTCGATCCTTGTAGGGTCGATGGTATTTGGTGTTATTATATAGGAAGGAATTCTCTATTCTCTTATAGTGTATATGTCATATTTGAGGGAATTTTGAGAATTGGAGAATTTCGAAAATTTTAATGTAATGTTTTTACAGTACATCAATATCTATATCGACTACATATGTATCCATATTATTTTTTAATCAACTTGGACATTTGGAGGAAAAGACTTATTAGATTTTTATTTTGTATTGGCATAAAATTACCGTACGAA